CAGTGCTCCAGAACTTAAGTGTTTGAGCAATGCTGTGGAATGTTGGCAATCCTCCTTCATTCTGTTCTGAAGGCACTAAGAGACTGAGCCATGGACCCAGTTCAAATCTCAACTCAGCCATGAATTCTGTAACTACTCTTGAGTGAGATAATATTGGCTTACTTTACTTAGTTGTAAAGAAAAATGAAATGGATAGGCAACACATCACATCGTTATTACTGCTGATGCTGATATCAGAATTACAGAATTCTGGAAATGGATGATATTTTGTAAGACATCTAATCCAATGAGGTCAGAATGAAAATCCTCAACTATTTCATTCTAGTATGTGAAGATGAATAAATATGCTAATTTTAACCATGGGTAAAAAAAAAATTCCTCTTCATTATTCTCCCTGTAGTCAAGCCTTCTGAAACATTATGAGGGAATTATCTGGATAAAAAGCAGGTTTTGTGCATAAAACACATGTTTCTATTTGTATAATAATTCCTTTGCATCTGTTTGATATCAAGAGAAAAATGCAAAAGATTCATGGCGATCTATTGTTCTTCCTGGTGGAGTTTCCCAACTGTTGGAAAACCTATTTCTAACCAAGGAGTAAATAATAACAAATATCATTTCCATTTTTTGTCTCAAAATAGAAGCAAAGAGCAAAATCTCGCTCCCATTCCACATTAGCAGTTGAACCTTACTTCAGTCCTGGTCAAAAGCAGGGACAGCTAGTAGATCCATGACAGCAGGGATGGAGAATCGATTCGGGAATTTATTCTTGTTCCTTCTACAGCAGTCCTTAGCTGAGTGGGAATTTTTCCAGTCTGAAACACTACAAAGCTAAATTAGGAGCAGCTGTGGGAGGAGAAGATTTGCAATCCCATAGCAGTAGGTCCACTAGCCACCTGGACAACAAGAGAGTGTCTTTCACAGCCCATGAGGGAAGTAAGCTAATATAAAGGGCAGTGTACATGCCACATATTTATGCTCAGCTCTGTCTTCTAGCAAAATGTAATGACCAGGAAACACAGAAGGAATAACAGTTTCCCTCACCCCAGTTTTTGACATCTAAGTGGGGAACTGCATTTTGTTGTAGTTTGTTTCATGTTTAGGCCCTTCATGAGTCCAACACTCTGCTCAGTTTTTCTGAGACCTCCAGGAAAAGAGAACTCACAACCTCCCAAGGCAGTCTGTTCCACTGTCAGTGTTCTTCCCAATGGGAAGTTATTTTAAAGATTTGGTTAGAATCTCCTTCTTTGAAGACAGCTCTTCAATTCTGATTTTTGAAGACAGCTGTCCTCTTTTCCAAGCAAAACATACCTAGTTATTACAAGTTATTTTAGCTTGGCTTCCAAATTCATAGAATATAATCAAAGAGTTGGAAGAGACCTCATGGGCCATCCAGTCCAACCCCCTGCCAAGAAGCAGGAATATTGCATTCAAATCACCCCTGACAGATGGCCATCCAGCCTCTGTTTAAAAGCTTCCAAAGAAGGAGCCTCCACCACACTCCGGGCAGAGAGTTCCACTGCTGAACAGCTCTCACAGTCAGGAAGTTCTTCCTCATGTTCAGATGGAATCTCCTCTCTTGTAGTTTGAAGCCATTGTTCCGCGTCCTAGTCTCCAGGGAAGCAGAAAACAAGCTTGCTCCCTTCTCCCTGTGGCTTCCTCTCACATATTTATACATGGCTATCATATCTCCTCTCAGCCTTCTCTTCTTCAGGCTAAACATGCCCAGCTCCTTAAGCCGCTCCTCATAGGGCTTGTTCTCCAGACCTTTTATCATTTTAGTCGCTCTCCTCTGGACACATTCCAGCTTGTCAATATCTCTCTTGAATTGTGGTGCCCAGAATTGGACACAATATTCCAGGTGTGGTCTAACCAAAGCAGAATAGAGGGGTAGCATTACTTCCCTAGATCTGGACACTATGCTCCTATTGATGCAGGCCAAAATCCCATTGGCTTTTTTTGCCGCCACATCACATTGTTGCTCATGTTTAACTTGTTGTCCACGAGGACTCCAAGATCTTTTTCACACGTACTGCTCTCGAGCCAGGCGTCCCCCATTCTGTATCTTTGCATTTCGTTTTTCCTGCCAAAGTGGAGTATCTTGCATTTGTCACTGTTGAACTTCATTTTGTTAGTTTTGGCCCATCTCTCTAATCTGTCAAGATCGTTTTGAATCCTGCTCCTGTCCTCTGGAGTATTGGCTATCCCTCCCAATTTGGTGTCGTCTGCAAACTTGATGATCATGCCTTATAGCCCTTCATCTAAGTCATTAATAAAGATGTTGAACAGGACCGGGCCCAGGACGGAACCCTGCGCACTCCGCTCGTCACTTCTTTCCAGGATGAAGAGGAGCATTGGTGAGCACCCTCTGTGTTCGTCCACTTAACCAATTACAGATCCACCTCACCGTAGTTTTGCCTAGCCCACATTGGACTAGTTTCCTTGCCAGAAGGTCATGGGGGACCTTGTCGAAGGCCTTACTGAAATCCAGGTACGCTACATCCACGGTATTTCCCGCATCTACCCAGCTTGTAACTCTATCGAAAAAAGAGATCAGATTAGTCTGGCATGACTTGTTTTTGATAAATCCATGTTGACTATTAGCAATGACCGCATTTGTTTCTAAGTGTTTGCAGACCACTTCCTTAACAATTTTCCAGAATCTTGCCTGGTATTGACGTGAGGCTGACCGGACGGTAGTTGTTTGGGTCATCCTTTTTTCCCTTCTTGAAGATTGGGACCACATTGGCCCTCCTCCAATCTGCTGGAACTTCTCCCGTTCTCCAAGAACTCTCAAAGATGGTTGCCAATGGTTCCAAAATGACTTCCGCTAGTTCCTTCAATACTCTGGGGTGTAGTTGATCTGGCCCTGGGGACTTGATTATTTACCAATGGTTCTGAAATGACTTCCACTAGTTCCTTCAATACTCTTGGGTGTAGTTGATCTGGCCCTGGGGACTTGAACTCATTTAGAGTGGCCATGTATTCCTGGACGACTTGTTTCCCAATGTGGGGTTGGATGTCCTCTAATCCCTCATCCACTCCATCTTGCTGAGGTTGAAGATGACTTTCTTTTTGTGAGAAGACCGAGGCAAAGAAGGTATTAGTTCTGCCTTTTCCCTATCCCCTGTCAGCATTGCCCCATCTTCTCCTCGAAGAGGCCCTATCGCCTCCTTGTTTTTCCTTTTTCTACTGACATAAGAAAAGAATCCCTTTTTATTGTTTTTAATGTCCCTGACAAGCCTGAGTTCATTTTGTGCTTTAGCCTTGCGGACCTTTTCCCTCCAGGTGTTGGCTATTTGTTTGAATTTTTCTTTGGTGATTTCTCCCTTTTTCCAGTTCTTGTGCGTGTCTCTTTTGTGTCTCAGCACAGTTAGAAGTTCTTTGGACATCCAATTCCCTACCATTTTGGTGGGATGTCAGGCAGAGGGGGGGACTATTGCCTGCATAGCATTTCAAAAGGAAGTAGCGAAGAATAACTTCTAGTGTGACCTCATAAAGCAAGTTTGGAAATATATGGAGCTGAAGGGACTATTTTTTCATTTATTGTTTCCTACTGAAAACTGTTATGTCCTTAAAATGCTTATGTGATGCTGGCAAGGCCATCTGTACTAGCTTTGGACAGGGAATTGAGCTGCTGCTGCTGCAAATTCTGTTCTCTTTCATGGTTCCCATAAAGTCCCTACAGAGCTGCCTGAAAGAGCTACAGTCATGGCCTCCCTAAATAATGGCATTGAAGATTTACTGAGGAGGAAGGATTGTTGCCCAAAAGGGAAGAGCATGGCAGCTAAACTACATTATTTCTGGATGCTTGCCCATGGTCCCTCAAGCTTACTGCAGGGACGTTGAGGCTGTTTCTGAGCCTGGACCTCCAAGGGAGAAGCATGTCTTGTTGACTGACATATTTACTACAGAGGCCGTATAAGCCATAAAATGTGAAGAGCAACAGAAATACTTCCTCTTGTTGATAAAAAAGCCAAACTCTCAATGTTCATTGGATGATTGGTTAGGCAGAAAAAGGATGGAGGGAAGTTGTTCATGGGACTTTGGGGGAGTTGCACTCTGGGAGAAAAGCCCATAGATTGCTTTTTGAATAGTTTAAACTATTTATTCCTCTTTACAAACATGAATCCCCTCCCCATTTTATTAAGAATAATTATAGCAGACTCTTGCTAGACTATAGAGACTTTCTGGATCACATCTGTTAGAAGCCAAGGAGCCCTAGTCCAACAAAATAACACTCCCAAGACCTGATCAATAGAGGCTCTTCATGATGCATACTAGGCAGTGGGGACTCATATAATCCAAATTAACGCAGAAAACCTGGGATCAGATCCTGGGATAGAGGGCCTGTCTGGAAGCATTCTTGGAGAAGGCATTTTTCTGTCTTTCCCTAGCTATCCCAGATGACTTCCTCACTCCGTTTAATGGTATGGCTGGCCCTGTCCTTGGATTTGGCCCACGTCATGCAGTAAATCTAAGGAGAAGCAGAGACTGACTCTTTAGTAACAATTATACTCTTGGCTTTGACTTATTTGTTCTTTTTATTTTTTAAAAAAATTAAAGACTGCAGACTCATGGAAGCTGGTTTTCACCCATCAGCAACATGATAGTGAGGCTGATTTCATTCTCTGGCAGACAATTGGATACCGCCTTCTTTAACTATTTTCAGCTACTAGTGTGTTAAAGGAAAGGCAGTAGATTATAATTTACTTAGTACATGATTAGTTTCTATGTGCTGAATTTCAATGATGTTAGGATTATGACTCTAAAGAAGGAGTGAACTCAGCTGTGAAATTTAAATGTAGGGGATTGCTGCAGAGATGGCATAAATGTAGCTGCCTGGATTCCTTGTGCAAGATCAAACAACCTTTCCTTTCTGCAACTGTTGTGAACATATCTGTTTCTATAGAATATTTTCAATATGAATGTTCAGTAGCATGACGGTGACTGGGGGGGGGGGGGCAGTACTCCAGGGAACAAAATTTGGCCAAATGTTCTCTTGCAAAAATTGGTGCATTCTGTCTTCTCTTTGAAGAATGAATATCAATCCTTCAAATCAGAAACAGTCAATTTAGTGTTCTCCATATGCTTTGTAGCACAACTGCTATAACACCTTACCATTGGCCATTCTGCCTGGGATGTGTGGGAACTGTAATCTCAAACATCTGATGAGTATCAGGGTGTCATTCCTCTCTAACAAACCACATAATGTTTTTTTTAAAAGTGTGTCAAAAACGGGAGTGCTGAAAACTAATTAGAAAGAAATTAGATAAAGTACATCCACACCTGGGACTTGGGAGATGCAAAACAAATTCCATGCAAAACAAATCCAGCACACCCAAATGCACCAACAAAACTACATCATTTTGTTTTCATCATTACTGACATACTACATACTGCTTGTTGAAATGGCACTAATAAAGCTCTATTCAGATGTCTTATGAGTGAACTCTAGGGTATTTGTACTTTTTTAAAATGAGGATGAATGAGAATAAAACGCAATGGTGTTTTAAGAGTTTAAAACTATTGATACCTTTATTTTCTTTGCAGTTCTTCCTAACCGCTCTATAAAGGGGAAGAGAAAGAAGTATTTTGATCAGAGGCATGGTGCCTCCAAATGTAGCACATTAGCCTTGAAAGATGCTGCTGGGCATCTTGCCCACCTTTGACTGAGATTTGTTTACTGGGAGTGAATGTCTTTTCTCCATGGTGTTGCCTTGACAAGAGGTCTGCACTTGCTTTTTGGACAGCTTTCTGGACAGCTTCACTGGCGCCAGGACTGTTCAATTTGGAACAGTCCTTTTCTGATCCGATATGGGGGAGTAGCATTTATGCACTGAACTCAATATAGAGATTTTAGTAATTGTTTGTAGGATTTGTAGATTACTTTAGAAAAAAAGGATCATATAGCCCAATAAGCATCTTTATGAAGTGAATTTCACAGAATTCAGTGGGATCTACTATGAAATAAGAGAGCCTTGCTTCACAATAAGTCCCATAGTGCTCTGGTTGAATAAAGCCAATGTTGTTTTTGATACATTTTCCTAATGTTTGGTAGCAAGAGAGAAGAAACCCCATTATGGTTGCATCTACATTTGTGTCTTTAATCATTTAAAAAATTGGGAAGAGGATTCCCAATCCAAGTTCAAAAGGAAGGTTGTCATTGACTGGATATATACTTATATGGTCTTGAATGGACCAGCTTAGATGGTGTTGTTGCTTTCCTTCATTGCACCTTGAAAAAGCAATATTGTTCATGGCATGTGCTGCTGCTACCATGCTTGCATACCCAGTTTACTCTCTAGCATATCAGAATCCTGGCTTAGGCCCATGGCTTCAGATACGTAGAACTGGTCTTCCTGTCCTCGTGGTTTATTTTATGCTCAGATAAGGCCAAGTGACCCTTTGATTTTAGGCTCAAAAAGCATTCAGCATGTGCCTAGTTTGGCTTCAGCTACCCTTCCACAGGTCCAGCTCTGCTCCTGCCGCGCTTCGCCTGCTTGATACTCCTCCCCATTGGATTGCTTGTTGGGAGTGGCTGACCTGTTCTCTATCTTCCCTCTTTTTTTCCCGTGCGAGGATCCCCCGGACAGGAGATCTCTTCTGATAACCCGTCTGCAATGCCATCACCCAGGCACCAAATAGGTAGTATTTTCCTTCCACTTCCAAATGCATGCATGCTGGAAAGGAAAGATCAAGTTCGGCTGGGTACAAATTATCCTGCATGCTTTATTCACCTACAATCATTCCCAAAGAAAAGTGGGATGGGGAAATTCTGGAATTCTTTATGTGGCTGATTGAACACTTACAAATTCCTAAACCACTGAGACTGGTAGCAATGCAGAGGTATGTATACACATAATCTGATGAAGAAGGAAATTATTTGAATGTGTTTGCTTCTCATTTCCCATTTATGGACACCATGTTTTGTGTACAGCCAAGTTGTAGTCCTTTTTTTGTATAGTGTATCAATACTGAAGGTCTACAAAATCTGTACTGAAAGTCTACAAGATTTAAATCTATAAAATGACCATTAAAAAGAGAAATATGTTTAAGATCACCTAAAATTCACTAGCATGATGAGTGGCTAACAGATTGTGAACTAGAAATGATGGCCAACTTTTTTTAAAAAAAATAAGACATGTTTTTCAGCACTGCAAAATAGTGAATAGTGAATAGTTGTAGTAACAGGAACAAGAGCTATCTGGCTGTCATTATTATCATACTTTAGTTATAATAAAAGCCACATTGAGATGAAAAGTAAGCATTGATGGCAAAAGAAAAACTCAACCAATTTTAATATTAATTAAACCAGAATGGAACAAATGATAATTGAATCAATGAGTTGGACTAATTCAGATTTAACCATGCCTAGAAAGGTCTTGATCTTGAAAATACAAATATTATAAAGTATTTCTCTGAAATACTCTATAGAAGGTATTTGTTTTTAAAAAATCTCTGAGTTTAAATATATGTTGTTCACCGCTTTGAGTTGCCTGAGGGCTGAGAAAAGCGGTATAGAAATAAAGTAAATAAAATAAATACATAAATAAATAAATATATCAGAGTTGATTACTTGCTCTATGAAAATAAGTCAGCTTTTCTGCATTTAAATCTAGAAATTATACTCAAAGCCAATTTTTATTATTGAAAAAAATCATTTCCTTGGTTTGATAGGAAGGGTGAATAACTATTTCTCTCTCGACATTTTCAGACTGCAATTTCACAATCCCTCACTGTCAGCTATGTTTGCTAAAGGTGATAAGAACTATAAACCAAAAAGTCCTGTCATATTGTGACATGACCAAGAAAATGGTCTTACTAGCTTTCCTCAACCTGTGTTGTCTTGATGTTTTGACCTGCAGCCCAATCCAACATTGCCAAAGGTCAATATGAATAGGAAGCATTGTTTAAAACATCTGGAAAGCACCAAGTTGGAAAAGACTGCCCCATACAGATGAAGAAATGGGCCCATTGGCTCCCAGAGATTTCTATAAAGCAATGTAAAAAGATTGCAGTCTCTGACAAAATCTGTCCATCTCACAGGAAGGTCATTAAGCAAGATTAATGTCCATCCTATATCATTCAAACATTGTAATTGTAGATACTGTTGAAATGAAAAAAAGTTTAAATCTTCTAGGGAATCATGTCATAATGAAGGGGATCTTATTAGTGTCAAATAAATATAACCACTCTGCAGTCAAATTATTGGATATATTTAGAAGAACGATAAAACATTTGGAATGGATGATAAATGTTCTGAGTGTTCCTCCTCATCCTAGTTTTTCTCAGGAAGGCAGATTTAAATATCTAAAGATTAGATCACAAATTTGATGCCTGTAAAGAAATCTTACCCTGGTTTGGTTGAACATGAGAAATTATAATTGACCAAGACTCTTGACCACCACCAATGGGTTATTCTTTCACTTGTTATGGATATCATTGTGGAAAACAACAATATTTTGAAGTTTAAAAAGTGGAAGCTGTTATATTTAGTTTTACCTATATTCTAGGGAATAATAAAACTGGGAAAAGTTGCATCTCAAAAACAGTGAACAAACATTAACGCCATTGCCTTTTTGGTGTAAAAAGAACATTTTAGTTACTTTTCCATTAATTTTTAAAGTGTATTTTAAAGTATTTGTAGAGAATTTTTAGTTTTATGTCACCCTCTTACCAATTATCTCTAAAATCAATTGTGTAAAGCCATCTCAGATCAACTATACCAGATCTGGTCAGCAGGATAGATCCTGCTGATCAGATTTGGTGTGGCTGATCTGAGATGGTTTTAAACAATTGATTTTAGAGGTAGCTGATTTTAGTGTTTGTGTATGTTTATAGATTATTTTATGTTCTGGCATTGAATGTTGTGCTCTGCTCTGAGTCCCCCTTGGGTGAGAAGGGTGGAATATAAATGCTTTAAATAATAACAATAATAATTAATTAATTAATCTTTAAAAAATTGTTTAACCTAAAAAAAAAAGCAATAGCGTGATGAATTTTCATTTTTAAAAATAACAGCATAGAATTTGTTTCTTAACATTAGAAACTAATTTGCTTTTTTTTTTTAAAAAAAAAAAGTAATTTTCCAAGCCTTGAAAAACAGTTCTCGTGTGCTATGTTTACAGTGAGAGCAACTTTATCCTTAAAGTCGAATAGATAATTAGAACTCCTGATTTTTGCTTAATTGATACTCCAGATACTCCAGGATATTAGGCAACACAAATTTATTTTGCCACACTAAGTGCATAATACACATGTACACTGACTGAATGCTGACATTTCATATCGGAACAGAAACTTGCATGCTCTTCTGTCTGTTGACCCATGCATGTGCTGCACGGGGAAGAAACCATCCAATTTCTGGGGTGCTTGTATGTTGCTGGGAAGAAGCACAGAGGTTGTCGTGGTCTATATTATATCCTGTTCTTTGAAGGGCTGCCAGAATACAATTGTCTGTTTGAAGATGTTTGAAAGGCTATACAGACCAAGTCCATTTTAAATGAAATGAACTATAAAGCAGAAGAGCAGGAAGCTTGGTTCAGTATTTAATTTATTATCTGCAAAGGGGGCTGAGGAGGTATGGATCACAAGGTCCCAGACTGCTCTGTTATGGTGAAATGTCTTCTCTATCTTTTTATTTTACAGCAATTGTTTCCAGATTTGCATCTATATATCGAAATGAACACAGGCACATTTTAAGCAAATTACTGTCCAATTTTGTCTTTGGGGAAGGCAATGCGTATTTGGTCAACAGTTTTGCACTTGTGTGAACAAGCTGTTCACTAACTTGTGTCCGTTTTCCAAAAAACAAACCCTGGGATATTGACAAATAATCTTTGTCAATACCTCAGGTTTTAGGAAAGTTAGTGAAAATGTCTAATATTTTTTTGAAAATTGAGAACATCAAATGCAATTCTTTTTACAGGTTTCGAATCTGAAAAGTTTTTAAAAACCTACACACACTAGCATTTCCCACCAACCCCGAGAAACATTTTAAACATATATAAACATAAATCAACAGTCATTGGGATATGTGACCTGAAATAAATGACATTTCAGTTTTTACTATCTCACAAAACGGAAATAAAAACTGTTTGAAGTCATAGGTGGGAAATACTAAGAAATGTAGTTTCTCCTCTGATCAGAAGCTAACACTTTGATACTAATTTAATATATCTTCCCCTCTGTCCCCCCCCCCCCCATGTTTTCCTCTTCTATCCATTCTATAGGTGACTGTGTGCTGGATGGAAGAGACACCAGGCAATAACAAGAAGTCACTCTCTCCCCAGGCTGAACATGCTGGTATCCGGACTTATTTCTTCAGTGCTGAGAACAACGAGGAGCAGGAAACCTGGATTCAAGCCATGGGCGAGGCTGCCCGGGTGCAAATCCCACCAGCTCAGAGGTCAGATGCTTAAAGGAAGTCTGTATGTCCTATCGTTTCTAACTGAGCCAGAGATTTGAGATACTCTTGAACTCTCTGTCCAAGGAAGCTAGAATGACCCTCTCCCTACTGTCCTTCCAGCAGTGGGCTAAAACCTTTTTATTCAGACGGGCTTTTAAAGAGGAAGGTTTTTAAGATCATGTTGTAGTTTTTATGGATTTAATCTGAATACTAATGACATTTAATACTGTTATAATATTTGTATAATTATATATTTTACATTGTATTGTAATGCTTTTAATGTTAACCGCTTTTAGTCTCCTTATGGAGAGAAAAAGCAGGGTATAAATAAACATAATATTAGTAAAAACATCAACAGTTCTTTCCTCTTGCCTGGAGATGAATCCACCAAAATTGGAGAATTTTTCTTAGGCTTTGATATTTGAAACCCTACCCAAAAATAACTTCCTGTTCACTCCCTGTTTAAAATGCTTAAAATGACCAGGTGTGGGGTAGAAAACATGGATAAAATGCTCCCATATAGCCCCATAGAACATTTGGGGATAAAAAATGTGGGGAATGTGCAGGTCACACTTTATCCCACCCTGTTTTAGCAGATATTGTTTGGCCCTGGCTCACCCCAATGAGAACAGGATAGGATATTTGATTTTTTTTTTTTTGAATTATGATGAAATCAGTGGGCAGTGGACGGAGTGAATGGTTTTTTAGGGTATTATGTTTGTCTCTTGGAAATCTGATGTACATTGTCTGTTCTATTAGTGATAATCTGTTCTGTTGACATCACACAGCATCTTGATCCCTCCATTAATATGTTTTCACTGAAGTCTTTAAGTATTGTATTTATTGCACACAAGATTCATAGGGCCTACAGAAAACAGATTTGAAACCACTGAAAGTAGCTACTCTCCAAAACACAATGAGGCTCTTTCAATTGGATGTAAAAAAAAAAACACGGGGTTGAGGTCAGTGATCAACATGAGAAATGTTTTGGAGAAAATGGCAGGGTCTAAAAATGAAATATATTTGTGAGGTTAGCACTTATGTGTTTTCAAGAGATTGAGAAAAGCTCATTAAAGCTAAGATCCCTCTCTTTAAGATGACGTTATGAAGTAAAGCCATGATTGTGACCTCTTCTACTTATCCATCCCTATAAGGCACGAGAAGATTGATTCTGAAAACATCCCTCCTAGCAAGAATCACCATCGCAGCATTTCAGCCAGGGACTCTGCCAAAGCTGAACCAGAAGTCAAGACCAGAGGAGAAGGTGATGGCCGTGGTTCTGAGAAGACTGAAAGGAAACAAGAGCGAGTAGAAAACAAGAAGGAGCCTCTGGTCAAAGCCAATGGCATTGTCAGCCAAGATATTCCTTCTGAGCCTGGTAGCCCTTATCCAGAAGCCTCTCGGATGCCAGCTGGAGTGGAGAGACCTACACAGCCAAATGGCTGGCAGTATGCATCTCCAAGCCGTCCTGGGAGCATGGCCTTCCCACAACATGACAGTGAGACTGCTGTGACTCGTCGGAGCTTTGCTCCTCGGACCAATCCTGAGAAGATTGCCCAGAGGAAGAGCTCCATGACCCAACTGCAGCAGTGGGTGAACCTACGCCGTGGAGCTCCATCTTCTGAGGAACTCCAGAGGTGCGGTGATCAAATCCTTGGTATAATTGCCCTGGAAATTAAACAAGGGAAAATAGTAAGGACCTTGACTGAGAACAAAAAGGATCAATTTACTAAATGAAAAGAAAAGGGAATATGTACACTGCAACGTTAAATCAGTACTGATGTAGATGTTTATTTACACATGATCAGGATGGCTAATTTGGCTAGTGTCATACAAAATTATGCGGGCTCCATGTTTAAGTGTTCCCATGGGAAGCACCATCAGCCCCCACATTTGTGGGTTAACTGTTACAGATCTGATTATTTGGAGATTTGAATAATATGTTATATCTGGCAAACTCTGGGTTCCTCGGTGAGATTCTGTGGTCAATGTCTGGTCACTGAGTTGCACTGAACAATAAACAATAATAAAATATAGAGCAAAGAAAACTGTTCAGCATAAAACATTAAATAAAGATGAACATCTGAAAGATCTGACAATTTTTAAAAAAGTTTTTTTTCATTTGGCACAAAAAAGACATCAGAGATGTTGCCAGCCATATCTCTTTGACTCTTTGCAGACTGTCACCAAGTCTCCAAATCTGCAGTGCAATGTGTTAAAGTCCAGCGTTATTGTGTTTTTCCCCTGAAAAATTGAATAACTGTTCAGTTCTACAACTGAGCCATATAATCCACAGAATCTTATATACTGTTTTAAACAGCAGATATATACTACTACAACATCATAATAAAAAGGTGGCTTACATGTAGGAGTGAGAGCAATAAAAAGATTACAATTGTAACAGATGATAAGGATGATGGTGGTGCCAATACCTTTGAGATTCACCACCAAGTTAAACATTTGAAGTGCATAAAAAGTGGCATTTGCAGTTGTATATTTTGTACATTTTTGGGATTTAAGTTTTTAAAAAGTCTGTACAAACATCGGCATTTTAACACAGATCTAGAGAACTTTTATTAGCAATGTTCATCAGAGAATGTAGGCTGAAATATAATTGTTGGGAACACATTCCCAAATGTCATTTGAGCTAATCTAATAATGGGTTTTTTCTTCATTCTTTCCTTTGGGGCATTTAGCCCTACCAGGTTCTATCCAATGTCCCGAAGAGCCCCTGACTACTATCCCCCCTATTCACCCCAGTTCTCTGAGGATTACCAATACTACCCACCTGGCGTGCGCCCTGACAGTATCTGCTCTATGCCTGCCTATGAGCGCGTGAGCCCTCAATGGACAGTGGATGACAAACGGCACTCCTTCCGTAACAGTGGCTCGTACCAGTTGCGGGATTGGAAGGAACAGCCTGGCTATGGCAGACAGGATGTACCTATCTGGATTCCAGGCCCCACACGGCCACCAGTGTACTTTGATGAAATGGATGCTGCTTCAGACTCCTTACGGAGGATGTCACTCCAGCCTCGCTCCCGGTCGGTCCCCCGCTCGCCAAGCCAAGGTTCCTACAGCAGAGCCAGAGTATACTCCCCAGTCAGGTCTCCAAGTGCCCGCTTTGAAAGAGTGCCTCCCCGGAGTGAGGAGATATATGCTGAGCCAACGTCTTATATGATGAGGCGATCGGTTAGTTCTCCAAAGGTAACCCTCCCTCATCACTCCACTCCTTTCCTTGGCACTTCCTGCCACTCTTAAATGGAATAATGCAGAGATTGTGAGTGCAAATTGAGGGGTTCTTGTGATGTAGCCCATATTTATCTCTCTGTATTTATGTATTTATCTGTGCAGAAACCAAGGGATAGTGAAAAGAGTGAATATAATTATAAGGGAAGAGAAAGAAATGCAAGGTGGAAATTTCTCAACTAACTGAATCAATTAGTTGAGAGTGGTAGAAATGAGCAGGGCTTCATTTCTAGGATAGTCAGCATTATTAAGTCCATAATTCAGCCCATCAGAAAGTTGCTGTCTGATCTATAAGTCCTGTTCTCAGTAAATATCTCAGACATATCAGAGATTGTTTTAGTCACTTGCTAGTATAGGAATACCAGTTTACAGATGCTGAAATATAGTCACAGTTTTTTTGTGCCCCGGAACTAAAAGTAAGGGGCTTCACCTTGTCAAATTAAAAACCTAGTGTAAGAGATTGGGAACTGCAACCAGCTTCAATGAGGCACATGGGTTGAATGTCAAGACTGAAGGCAACTTGCTTGTAAGCTGCATTGAGGACAGAGAGCATGGCATATCAAAAGGGTTGCTGACATGAGATTCTTAAAACATTGGCCATCATAATGTAGACTTTAAGCTACACAAGCATGATGGAGACCACAGAACAATATTAAGCAGTGCACTGCTCAATATATTTTTCCAGGACTGAGACTGGAACTAGACCAAACAGTGAGTGGCATTACAAGTTTCAAGGGCAAGAACTGGGGATGAACATATCCTTCCTTTTCCTCACCTTCTAACAGAACTAGGCTTAGTTCCAGCTTATAGAACCAACTTTTCTTTTCCAAGAGCATTCTTACCTTGTGTCCAGGTTGCAACCCCTTGATCTTCCTATAGTTTGCCAACCTATCATCCTTGCATTGAATGACACCAGGCAATTGCTTTGCCTTATCTCCATTTCTATATGATGAGTCATGATAATTATTTTGTATGATAGAACAAGTGATTGAGGATTACAGTTATCCTATTATAGTGATATAAACATGTAATGCATGATGTGTGGTTTCTTCTCTTTCCTCAGTATGATTATCTGGGTGACAGGAGGCCCGTCCCTGCAGGGATGTTCCCCTTCAACTATCCAGCATCCCCTACGGTTCATGATAAAATGGTACGTCACATTGGTGTTCCAGTATCTCATTAGAGATATTCCATTTCCTTCTCAAGGCTGGGATTTAATTCCAAGATGGGATAAAGAGACATATGATGATGTGATAGTAGAAAGCTACTTACTTGGCACTATACTGTCTTCTTGAGATGGCAAATTATTTATTTATCAAGACATATATGTTGGCTGCATGTGATCAATCTGGATATGCAGTACTCTGTGATTATGCAAACCGTTAAATGGTTTAAAATATTGGATGGGTTAAAAATGAGAGTCCTTTAATAGGTCCAATTTTTGGAAGACGAAGGGATGAATTAAGTATGAGAATTATGGAGAAGGGGGAAAAATAACATCAACACATACATACCTTTACAAAGGTCAGTGAGGGTTCTGGAATTCATTAGCATCCAGAAAGTGTAACGTATTTTGATATTGTAATATTGAATGGGCTCACATCATTTTAAGTTACAAAAACCTTGTGTTGAAATTTCATTTTACACCACAGGCAACCTATATGACGAAGGGGAACACTTCTATATGACTTCGCCATCATGTTACTGGAACAATATGTAGCAGAATGTGTTGCTAATTGTTTTTGCAAGCTTAATCCAGACATTTTCTTTTGGTTCAGAGTTTCTCCTGTCACATGGCTTGGGCCTTAAATAGATAGCTCTGGTTTATTCTTCTATTTTTGTCCCTCAAATGTTGCCAGACTGTAGTTCCCACAATCCTTTGTCACTGGCAATGCTGGCTAAGGTTGATGGGAGTGGCAGTTGAACCTTTAGAAGGCCACACATTTTCCACCCTAGTTCTAAATGAACAGTACCTTATCAATTGATATAGTGATAGGAACTGAAAATCTTTTACCTCTGGGATAGTTTCCTAATCTAAGGATTTATTGCTGGATTGTTTATAAAGACTAATAAAGCATCGGTGAATTATACTTTTCACTGCTGGTCCTCTCAGACCTCCAGTGTAGTTCTGGGACAGCTGAGTATGACAAAAAGAATCTGGGATACCAACTGTGAAGTTAAGAAGGACACGTAGAAACCTCTGTTCCCCATTGTTGGCTGCAGTTTCTTTCTTTGTGGTTTTCCTCACTCATTCTACTTCTCTCTTTGTTTGGTTATTTCCCTCCGGGGGAGGATCCATTTGGTGGGGGCTGAAACCATAGGGAGTGGGACTCTGCCAAGTGAAACTGCCAACTTCATTTGCTCCATGCCAAGGCTCTTGACCCTGTCTGACACCTTTCACCTGTGGGAGCAAGCAGTAAATCCTGGACTGGATTAAGGTGCCCTGTGGAACAGACACTAGTTGCACGCCTGATGCATGCAGCTTTTCCCTTCACTCTCCCCTGCCTTCTCACCAGCTATGCACAAAAGCAGATGCATGTGGCTGAACTAGAAGTGCAATGAGATGACCCTGGTAGCTCTAAATAGGTCTATAACAGTCTCTTTTCACAAGAGACGCTTTGTCCCCAATCTCCAGGTGTTATGAGAAGAAAAATTGATTTCAGCATTAGATTTAGAAGGATGGAGGTGGATAAAACCCCTGGCCAAACTATCTAAACTTTTGTTATTTTTCAAGGAGAAGGGGAGGGGTCTAGACAATTTTAGTACATGTTAGCTAGCTTGACCTAAACATATGGCCTAAACTACCAAAGTGATCGCAACACTTCTGCATGTGTTGAAAGGGATGCAGACACTTTCAAAAAGCAATCAGAAGTAATGTCTACTTGCTAGAGTAGACATTTAACCTATATCTAAAATGTGATGTTAGAGGTGGCATAGCAGTTCCAAAGTATTTACTAGCTGCTGGAACATAGTAGGGCAACTTTGGAGCTCTAAATGTTTGGACTCACAAGTCACAGTTCTATAAGCACCACAGTGCATAGTACCAAGTAAGAGATGGTGGGAGTTGCAGTCCAAAACATCTGGCAGGTCAAATGTTCCCCATCCTTGAAGAATGCAACAACTATACGATCTCCAGTTTTGTAAGAGCCTTTTAATACAGTGCAACTGATGCTGCAGACAAGAGAGCCTGAAAATGTTAAATGAATCATTCTGAATATGGCCAGAATTATTCATTGTATGCAAAATTGTTGCATACTTACTTAAACACGTATCACCTTTCCATTTAGTTTATATTCGCATTACAGTTGTGAAGCTGTTGAGGGTGGATTGAGCAGTGGAATAGTCAGTGGGGATAGGGAAATTACAGAAGTTTCTCATCATGCTGGACTAGTCACGAGAACAGAATGAATGCTGATACAGGTGGCATTTTAACCTAATCCCATGCTTTCAGAACAAGATAGCTCAAAGTGGAAATAGACAGCGTGTACCCAGTTTTTGATAGCAAAATCAGCCTAATCAAGAACCAGTTGCCCAAATGTATTGCCCACTACCACAGAAAAAATTCCTGACTATAGTTTCATGGAAACTGGTACGGAAACCGCATTTCAATCAAATGCAGGTTCATGTCAACTTGCATTATAGTTTGAGTGAAAGTGGTTTCACACCAACAAATTTGGTAATTCACTCTCTCCAGGAACTGTTTAAAATAAAATGGTGTACTCTAGGAGAGGACACTATGGTCCTTTTTTAAAACGCATACCTATCTATCAGCAGGCAATGCATAGGTTGGGGACAGAGCATCAACTATGAGCAAGGAGCTACCAGGATCTCTTGTTAAGAGTTCCTCTAGAGTAGGGAAGGACAACCTGGTGGATAAGCTTCTGATTTTTGGACTACAACTTCCATAAAACCCCAACCAGCACAACCATGATTGAGGATAATGGAAATTGCCATATAAAACATTCTCCCATAAGCCCTTGACAGCATGGTCTATGATCAGGGATTATGAGAGTTGCTATATAAAATATCAGAAGAGCACCAGGTTACCTACTCTTGTTCTAGAGAACGTAATCAATATACCAATACCTCAATCCTATTGTTAGTCCGAACCAAAGCAGACTCCTTTAATCAAGGGGATATGGTTAATGAACCCTTATTTCCTTCCGTTGATCCAACAACAATCTTGTAATAGGAACTAACAATGGAATTCAGGCCCAAATGTGATCTCAAACAACTGTGGAACAGCTACCATCCACCACCCCACTCACCTACCCTTCTTTTTTAAAGTGCTTGTGAGGCTGAATATTTCCTTTTCCTGTATGGGGGAGCTCTGTGCCTGTCTCTAGCTAAGTTGCACCTAACTGCTTTTGCTTCTTCTTTGTGTTTGTTTGTTTCTTTTGTGTTTCCATTTTGCCGCATGCCTAATGGCTCCTGATAGGATGAACTATTAGACCTTCAGTTGCAAAGAAACCTAGAGTATTTGGACCAGCAGGTAGGCTGAGCTGGCTGTGTTCCTCTCCCTGCACCCACTACTCCCAAGACATCCTACCTTTTGTTCTATACCTTCCTTCCCTCCCTCCCAAGTCCCTGTTGTCAGGTGGTTGTTGTATTTACCTCCCCCCTCCAAGTGCTCCCTCCTCTTTCCTCATTGTCCTTTCTTGGCATTACTATAGCAATTGTTGGCTTTGGTTTTCTTTCTTTATCCTTCCTGCTGATGGTGACACTTGTATGATTGGTGGAAATGGGGAAAGCAAGGGTTGGCTAGTGTGGAAAATTCCTGGATTCTGTGTTTATACAGGATTTTAGTTGAATTTGGTCACAGTTGCAGGCCAGTGTTCCCAGAATTGTAAATTGGATTTAGGATAGGATGTGTGTAGACAAGTGAGCAATAATGAAATAATGAAACTAACGCTCAGGTAGCTGAGCATTTTTGTGGCAGTTGTATTTTGAATTCAGGTTTTGCCTTGACCACTGATTCCTCTCCACAAGCACCAGAGCAGCAAGATCTCTTTAGCCCAGTGCTTGACACTTCATATGAAACATTCTGCTACAGATGCTGGTGTCATAATAAGACAGAGATTCACAGGCAATGCTGCTTGTTTGATCCCACCTGTGCTGATAATTTTTTTGGCCATGCTTACATTTCATTTGTTTGGCTATAGGCTTATCTGGTTGCAATGGATAGGTTTAAGAAGGTACCCATCATGTTTAATTTCCTAACAGTATTCTGGAGCACCCAGTGTAATGTTGCTGCAGGGATTCTGGGAAATTAAAATAGTAGGAAAAACATAATAAAACATTGTACTCAATTTGTGGACTGATTATTACTTTAGACGCAAGAGTTAGTCAGCTACTTATTTATCCCAGTTCTGTAGTGACTCAGACACACATTGGTATTTAAAGGCAAAATGATTTGTGACACAGGACAACCTAATAAAATTTCCTAGTATTCCAGCAAGGTAATGAAGTGTTGCACCTGAAGACAGGGTTCAAATCCATGTGTGCTGTACACCTCTCTAGAATTTGTAATCTTTTATTTCCTATGTCATACTTAGCTTGGCCTTTGAAGAAACAGCAGGAGTAGAATCACTCAGAGCCCTTCCACACAGCCCTATATCCCAGAATATCAAGGTAGAAAATTCCACAGTATCTGAGTGTGGACTCAGATAATCCAGTTCAAAGCAGATATCTGGGATATAAGGCTGTGTGGAAGGGCCCTTAGAGTCTGCACTTTAATGCAGGATTAAAATTGTGCATCCCCTCCAACTGTTGTTGAACTGTACCTCCTAGCACCTTTAAGCAGAATAACCTTTGTTAGGGAACTGTGGAGGACCACAAATTGCCTATCCTTGGATCAAAGCATAAGTAGTCCCTCAGACTTGCTCAAACTAAATAAACCAGTTATTTCTTGTCAGTTATTGACAAAAATGTTAAATTCTTCACCTCTTTTACTGCATTGTTCTCAGTCAGGGTCCTTCCACACAGTCACATAACCTAGAATATAAAGGCAAATGATCCACAATATCTGCTTTGAACTTGATTATCTGAATTCACACTGCCGTATAATCCAGCTCAATGTGGATTTTATACAGCTGTGTGGAAGGGGCCTCCTCTTGGGGATGGAGAATCGTCCAGTCAATCTTTTTGAAATTCAGACATAAACTACAAAAGTGCCATGCAAAAAGGATGCAGTTTGATCCAAAAAGCCAAAGCTGGAGGCTTCTGCTGTTAAAAAAAATCTGTACGTATTCTGAATGGTTAATATGGTAGAAGTGTATTTGGATGATAACTTAATGATGTTCCTTTTTAAACTTTACCTTGCACAATATTCTACCCAGCAGGGTCAGTAGCCATACTAGTTGGGATATTCTATGAGATGAGATTCAAAAAATCTAACTTGCTTAGTTTCTCAACCAGAATCTAGTTAATCAGCTGAAAATGTACAAATGACAAAGATCAGAAAGAAAATCTATTGCCTGTGCTTTTGGTGATTCCATGTATGCCTTGAAGGGTGATTGTCCATATGAGAAGTCGTGTATGAGAAAACAATCTGTACATAAATGTGAGAAAGAATACATGATGTGTGGTGGTGAAATTTCACACATTGGACTATATGTGCTCATTTGAATCCATCTGTGAATGTGTGAAGCATTTATACAAGATATTCTGTGCAGGCGCATGAACTGAGTTCTCACCTACTCTCATAACTAAGATTTTGATCAAGGATTGTAGGTGAACAACTATTCAATGTCAAAAAATTTCAAGGGCTTATGTTGCAAATAAGGGGCAAAATGAATGTTTAAAGTTTAATCTAATTCAAAAATACTCATAATAATACTACATTTGTGTATGAGAGGTAAAGTCTATATATCTATGAGACTCCGTGTAGGTGGGGTCCACATAGCTATCCTGAAATTCAGTAATACGGGTTGAACATTCCTTATCTGGAATTTCAAAATCCAAAATGCTCAGAAATCTAAAATTTGTGAATAAGAGTGGCTGAGATAATGACACCTTTTCTTTCTGTTGGTTCAATTTACACAAACTTTGTTTCATGCACAAAATTATTAAAACTATGTTTAAAATTTCCTTCAAGCTATCTGTATAAGGTGTATATAAAATATAAATTAGTTTCATGTTTAGACTTGGGTTCCGTCTCAAAGTAATCTCATTATGTGTGTATATGCAAATACATGTATTTCAAAATCCAAAATACTTTTGGTCCTAAGTATTTCAGATAAGGTATGTTCAACCTGTATGCACACCGTGTTTTACATCACAATTTTGTTCAAATATTCCCAGGAAAGTGAAATTTCTCAATTAAGTGTTGTAATTATAAAATGAAGCAACAAATCCAAATAAACTCCCCCATAACGGTTGACATGAAATGGAGCAATCTCCCTTGCCTGTTGTAGGCTCAATTGGTGATTCCTGCCTAGGCCCTTAAAGAGTGAAGGAAAAGCCTTTCGGGAAAACTTCAGCAAGAAAGATGAAGCTGGAAATAAAAAGGAAATCCCATTGCAAGCACTGATGGATGTCTGATATTAGCCTGCAAAAAGCCTGTATTTCAATAAACAGCCCTGCTACAAAGGCAATCTCATTATGGCTTTGGAGCCTGTAAATCCCCCATCAGTAGAGTAATGGCTAAAACGCCTGTGTCTGCTTTGGGCTACAGCCAGGGAAGAGGAGACTGTTAAAAACTCCCCAGTCGTATTCTGATTTTTAAAACGACAACCCACAAAATCATTGAGTCTTTCCATCAACTTCACTCTTCTTTCTTAACTCCATTCAAAAAGACTGATTTCAAGTAGGCTGAGCAAATGCAGTTGCCTGGGTCTTATTTGTTTTTTTATGCTCTGGTGACTTGTGTTTGCAAGCGTGTTGAACATTTGTATGTGAGAGCCTCTAGAGATGTAAGCCCCATCAACTTCACTTGAGTAATGGAGACTGATGTCGGCAAAAAATGGTTTGAGATTCGGGATTTTTGTTTCAGCAACTGTTGATTCATTATATTTTCGTTGCTCTTCCACAAAACCTTATGGAATTGGAAGCAATTATAACAGATACACTCATGCATATGCAGCCAATTGGATGCATCCACTTTTTTCCTAGAATTAATCTGTGTAACCTAGGCCAAAGTTTTAACAAGTGTTTTCTTTGAACTATTCTTCCCAGAATCCTCCATTAAGCATGGCTGGGGTTTCTGGAATTTGCAACCTAAGCTCTGACATAAGGTGCTATATCTAATTATACACAGAACAGAGGAAATAGTGAACAGATTCTGATGACTAAAGCAAGTCAACAGATAAAATGCAATTTCTATGTAGTCACTTCCCCACTACCACTAGCTAATTTGGCCTGGGGGCAAGAATCCTTGTCCTATTAGATATCCCTTGTCCTTAGATATCCCTCAGCAACGGAAGAGATGGCAAGAACCAATTTGATCCTCTGCATGACCCGGCTGGCCACAGCAATGTACTGCTCCAGTATGCCTGATATGACCAAAAGTGTCATCATGTACCCGTTTCAATATCAGCCATTTTTGGCATTTGGGAATATGCAGAGAGCATATTCAGGTGGAAGTAGTTTTGAGCCAGCTGCCAGGAATTCTGTGAGTTGAAGTTCAAAACACCTGGAAGACCAACGATTGGGAACCACTGATGCAGAATATTTAAAGTTGCTTTTTTAGGGCTATCCCCTATCAAGGCAGTGTAGAGAAAAAGTGAAAAATAAGGTACAAAATATAAGGGCTTGCATCCAGACATGCCCACAAAAAGTACTTAAAAAATTCTACTTATGACCATGGCTAGAAAGACAAAGCCTCTAATCCATGCCAGCCTTTTTTATCTCAATGACAGGCACTCAAAAAAGATTCCTGACATAGATCTTAACATAGTCAGCCCTCCATATTCACAAGGGTTAGGGATGCAGGACATCAACACCCCCCCCCCCCCAGGTATCCCCCCAAAAAACCTGATTGTTTAATATTGTTTACCATATTTAACATACCCAAAATAGTATACTACATATATTTTATGCATTTATGTGTTATTAGACTTTTTTTTTAGTTTTCTTTACATTTCCTCATCTACATGCATTTTTGCAATGTTCTGCAGTAGGCAGCAAAACTCTCCCCAGAAAAAAATCCAATTTAATTATTAATGGAAAACTCATGAATAATCAAATCTGCAAAAGCCAAGGTTCAGCTATATATACTTAGATGTGGATGAAGACAGTTCTTCAGATAACCTGGATCCATAGTGTTAAAAGTGCTTGAGGGGAGGGGGGGGGTGTATGATTTTTCAAAAGTGTCCTGAGGAAAATATTTTAAAGCAATAATCTCTCTATTATTGTTGATTAAATTAGCATGTGCTTGCTCTGAAATGACCTCCCATCTAAAAAAAGTTCAAAAAATTCAAGCCTCTACTTCAGCTTTAGAAACATACAAGGTCCTTGGGCTGAGTCCGAGTCTTTTCTATAATACATTAGTATAGGCAAGACCCATTCTGCTCTCCAGACATTGTTGGAGTGCAAGTTCCAAAATTCCTCACCATTGACTCTGCTATCTTGAGCTGTTGAGAGCTGCAATCTCGAAATATCTGAAGGACTGCATTATTTCTATTTCTGTTCACATAGCACTGTGACGCATCAATTCACACTCCCAGTAAAGATGACTGGCTGGAGAAGGGTTCGGGGCCATGTTTCTTTAAGATCTTGTAAATGGGAAAGGAGCAAACTTTCTTTTCTCACTCCCTGAAGCCCAGATCTACTCAGGCTGCTCCTCTTGGCGGCTGCTCTTTACATAACAAAGAATGTGTGCCACCACCTGTGCATTGTAGTCAAGCAATGGCATGTTTGTTTGACTCTAAGCCATCTCTCTTAGTACTGATGACATGTGTTTCAGTTCTGTGGGATTCCCTTTGCCATGTGCAATCAGAGCTGAGGCACTGGTCCAGGTATTTCCAGTTTCATGGCAGTGGAAGGATGGGGGTGGGTTGGGGGAGTGGTCACAAATGTTCACAGCTGAACTGAAGTGACTCTGCTTCCTCCCTCAGCATCTTGACTTTTTTACTTCTTTGTCTGCTGCAGATGAGCGAGAGCGAGACTTTGATCAGTATGGTGAACAGAATGGTGGAGAGCTCCTCTCCTAGGGCTCAGCTGTACATGCAAGTAAGACATCACAGCAGCTCTGCCATCAGCCATGCCATCCCAGCTGCTTTTGCATGGCAGAACCATTCCTAGTATCCCACCACCACCTCATATCTCTCTCCATTTGTGAGATGCCCATATAACATCTCATCCCATAGTCACTTTCATACATGAAGGAGCCCAAGAAGGCACCCATGTGCTTTCACATACTGATGCCTCTCATATGGGAGGATTCCTTGTAGTATTTTCAAATCCATGTCTTTTCTTACATATTGAAGAAAGATAATTCCGATACTTTTAGTCCCAATTAGAATAGGCCCATTGCATCAATGGAACTTACCTAAATCCTGAGCTACCATGTTAATGAGGATCCACTCTAGTAGAACTAACGAAAGGATTTAGTCCAAACTCTGTGCAAGCTTGTGCCCATCTCTTTTCTTTCTCTTTATACTTTCAATAAGTATGTTTAAAAACCTGGCTACAGACTTAAAGCTCTTGGTTAAAAAAAATGTTATTTTGGTTTATGTCCATTATTGATTAGTACCAGACTTCTGGAAAATGATTAAGTATAAGAATGTGCATGATTGACAACTGGAAAATAGAGGGAGAAAATGTGGAGGCTGTGACAGACTTTGTATTTCTAGGTGCAAAGATTACTGCAGACGCAGACTGTAGCTACAATCAAAGATTACTTCTTGGGAGGAGAGCAATGTCCAATCTCAATAAAATAGTAAAGAGTAGAGACATCAGAATGGCAACAAAGATCCGCCTAGTCAAAGCCATGGTATTCCCTGTAGTAACCTACGGATGTGAGAGCTGGACCTTAGGGAAGGCTGAGAGAAGGAAGATCGATGCTTTTGAGCTGTGGTGTTGGAGGAAAGTTCTGAGAGTGCCTTGGACTGCGAGAAGATCCAACCAGTCCATCCTCCAGGAAATAAAGCCCGGCTGCTCACTGGAGGGAAGGATACTAGAGACAAAGTTGAAGTACTTTGGCCACATCATGAGGAGACAGCAAAGCTAGAGAAGACAATTATGCTGGGGAAAGTGGAAGGAAAAAGGAAGAGGGGTCGACCAAGGGCAAGATGGATGGATGGCATCCTTGAAGTGACTGGATTGACCTTGAAGGAGCTGGGGGTGGTGACGGCCGACAGGGAGCTCTGGCGTGGGCTGGTCCATGAGGTCACGAAGAGTCGGAGATGACTGAACGAATGAACAACAACAACATAAGAATGTGCTTCTATGATAACTCTACATAGCTACAAACCTTTGCCTCATCTAGGATGTTCAGTCAGGACACTGTACTCAACTCTCTTTTCAGTGTCAAGGCTTTGAAGTATGTGGAGTAGAACAGGTTTTGTCCAGGCATCTCAAGTGTAGAATAAGTAAGTGGGAATCCACTTTTAGAAATGCTTTCTGAAAATCCTCCCCTCTATCTGAAGGTATCTTCTGTTTGAAGGGCAGTCCAGTTCAAATCCATTTTAAAGACAGAGTAAAGAAGGCAGAGGAGGTGTAACTACCCATTCGTAATTACTGCCATTGTTAAGCCTTTGAATCAGAATTTCCCATATCATGCACTAGGTGAGACAATTTTTGTATGCCACAGATTGGCAGAAAATATCATGTTTCAGAGCGTTTGGAAAGCTTTGGGTTTTTGTTTTGTTTTGTTTACATTCTATTGTAACTAGGCTAAATATTTATAAGGTTGGATCTCCAAAATCACTGGATCAGAAGGAGAGTCTTCTCAGCAGGCTTGCGAGCGCTCATTTCCTACATTAAGCAATTGTGCCAGTAATATGATCATAAAAGCTGCATCACATTGAATTTGCAATCAACCATCTGCCATCCATTGCCAATCCTCAAGATTTAGCCATAGTTTTTCACCTTCTTAAATACTAAAATGTACTTACTATTGACTTAATTTGTTATGCTGTATATACCTGAGGTAGATTGCAAAAGAACATGGTGAATAATTTCAGGTTAGACCAAACTTAGGGATGAATTTAAGATAGACTTTAAATAGTTTTATTTGTATGAGAAAGTAGAGTAGTATATTTTATAGGACATTCTAATTGTTGACTCAGACTTGAGGTTTCTGCTGTGCCAAATTACCCTGGGTTCAAAGATCTTTTACCTGAGAAGTATCATGGCTCCCAGGCTGATCTAGCTGCAGCAAAATATTGGTTATCTTCAAATGTAAGCTAACACTGTGTGGTGGGGGGCTCCCCACTTGAGAGAATAATAGGCCAACTCAGTTTCCCGCTGATTCTTAATTCACAGTGACTACCACTGCCATTTCTTCTCCACACACTGATATCTAGGTAAATAGTAGTGTCTAGTTAATAACCCCAGCCAGGAGTAGTTGGAATAAATGTAAAACTTATGCTTCCCTTTGTCATGTAACAGGGGCTTTCAAATCTTATCATAACTCTTCTCAAGAAAGTGATATCTCTGCAGCGCAATACCAAGTAATATTAAAGCATACTCACTAGATAGTGCTTTAAGGCAAAAAAAGTAAAGGCACCAGAATACATTAGAAAGAAAAACTGGTATGATAATATCAAACATATCAGAAAATGTTCAGATTTAGTACAATTCTCAATCTGGTATTTTCCAGGGAGATTTGTTCTCTCCATGAGAGAGCAAATAATTACCACTCTCAACATTTATTGCCTTCAGGCTAGCTGTATAAGGGGTGTATGAAATATGAGCCAATATCACATTTAGACTTGGATCCCATCTCCAAGATAGTTCATTGTATACATATATGCAAATACAGGTTTTCCAGAATCTCAAAAAAATCAGAAATAAAGTATTTATGGTTCCAAGCATTTTGGATAAGGAATAACCAACTTGTACAAGTAGTTTTGTTAAATGAGCAGTGTGAACTGACCCAAGATAATTTCTGTTAATTCTAAAATCGTCAAAAGACTTGATCCAATTTTTAAATGTGATAAGGGCATTGGGAATGTTGCTTTTTGAACTGCAATTTCCAGAATCCCTCAGGCAGCATCGACACTGTCTAAACGTTGTGCAAAACTAGCATTTCCATGCTCTACATTTTTTTTCTGTTGGAAGCAAGCAGATTTCCAAAGGGTCATGTCTGCCAGGAATAAAACAATTAGATAAAATAATTAAAACTGTGAATGCTTCCCATACATAACAATAAAGAGAGTGGGAGATTTTATCTTTGGTTTTTGAGTACATGATCAAGAGTTATTGGAACCAGTATTCCTGATAGTTCTTATAGATTGCACAAGCCCATAGGAGTGTGTTATATATTGAGTCAAACCATTATCCATGAAGCTCATAACTGCCTAAGCTGGTAGGCAGTTGGCAGTCAAAAAAATGTGATAGAAATCTTTCCCCATACTGGAACTTTCCACATGTAAAGCAAGTAATTCAGTTATGAACCATTACCTTAACAATGAACAATTATTATTAATTATTAAACTTTATTTATATCCCTCTCACTCTCCCCGAAGGGACTCGGGGTGGCTTACAGTAAAACAAATGAATACAGTAAATGAATATAACACAGACAACAATTATATATCAATTAATAAAAACCAAATAGCACAATAGTGTAAACATAAATAAATAGTTTAAAATACCTTTTAGCCTTCTAAAAACAGTGTATATATGAATGTTGTTTAGCACAAGCCAGTTCCTATGATCAGGGTATCCAGCATTATAAATTCTCATTTTAATAACCATTTGAAGTCCAGTCTGATAAAGTGGTTGATACTTTTAGCCATTATCAAAAGCTTGCTTAAATAGCCAGGTTTTCAACTTCTTCCTGAAACTTATGAGGGTGGGTTCTTGTCTTATGTTATACAATGTTATATTTAATACTTGAATATTGAGTGGTATCTATGGCATGGTATGGTCATGCTTGTGAACCAGCATTTTTTGCAGTAGAAGAGTATCAACTTAGTAGTTCCTATTGAGTGGTTGTTAAAATTTTGTTTGGTCCAGTTGTGTTTTTATAAAGAGGTGGTTTGTTTGAAAACAATAAACCCTCTTTCTGATGTGGTGCCTTTCTTCTGTGCTGCATTGCATCAATGTTAATCAGAGTTCTCCTGTGATATTCATACACCCCTCTTGGGTAAGTAGCACTGCTAGCTATAAGTCACTGTTACAGAGGGAAATACAGTATTTTATTTTGATACTTTATATATTTTTTTTAAATCATGCACCAGAGGCAAGGCTCTAGAAAAGCTTCCTTGACCTTTTCTCTGCATTAAACAGCAGTTGCTCATAAGCTGGGGAGCTGTATAGGAAAAACCTCAGACCATATAACTACACAGCTGCATCTTGAAAAACATTGCTCTGTATATGTCCCACTTTGGAATTCAGAACAGAGAATAAACTGGTAGTCATATCAAAGGATTGTCTTATTCCTCACTCTGTAAAGTTCTTCATCACTGTTTCATTTTGAAAAGAGTAAATCAGATCCATTTCTTTGGTTGTTGAGGTTTTTTTTTCTTCTTAATCCAGCCTTCTTCTGAAGGTCACCCAGTTCTGGCCTATCATTTTCCTGAGGATAACTTCTTGATCAGCCACCCCCTTATAGCAACATTTTGGATCAAGCTTTCCCCAACTGGCGTGTTGCCCATCTTTCCAGCAAGCATGGTGCATGGCCATACTGGCTACTGCTGATGGTACTATAGTCAAATATACTGAGAGGGCACTGGAGTGTGTATGTCTTAGACCTTGGCCCCTGTCTCGCATGGAAAGACTTGCACCAGGAAGCTCATAAGATCCACTGCTGTTAAGCCTACAAAGCTCAGCAACCATACTTGGTCATGTATGCGGCATAGTAGCCTTGGACATCTATTAGCTAAATGCGTGTTAGTAGATGATGTGCAGCAGCCCTTCGGAATGGTTCCACCTACCACTTTTTATGGAACTCTGCCCCACTCCACTTATCATCAAATGAAATTTTGAGGTGGGGAAAATCTTTTATTTTTATAAACCTCACAATTGCAGTTGCTGTGATTGTGAGCTAAAGCTGCTGGTAGGATGGATGGCGTGTAATGTTCTGGCAAGCTGTAATAGTGGCTGCACATCTAATTTGCATGTAAAAATAGCATAACTGATATTTTGTGAATCTAAGCTAGAGAAAAATAGTCTTGTTCTCACTGTTTGATATGGAAGGCTTTTTCAGTGAGTTAGAAGATGGATGTTTTTAAGAGTCCACAAGTGTTAGATAGATTCCTAGGAATTGTTGAGTTTTAAAAAATGTGCATCTCAAATCACATGTTGACTTTTGACAACCCCATTAATTTTCTATTGTCATCCTTTGAAATGTAGCCTACAGCAGTCTCCCTTCCAAGTACTAACCAAGTCTGACCTTGCTTAGTTTCTGGTATCAGTCAGGGATCTGGTTTATCTTCAGTTGTCAAGTAGCAGCCCCTAAAACTATGGTGGAAATTATATACAGGGACCTGAATCTGCTTATATTAGTCCCAGTTGAGGTAGACCTATACAATGAATTGCTGAATGGTGAATATTTGCAATCTTGCAATTGATTTAATGGATCAGCTCTACCTGAGATCGACCAAAGGATTCAGGACATTGTCTTGCATTGGTTCTAGATTAGAGTAACAGTGTCTGCTTCCCCCAAGTAAATAAACTTATTATCAGAGAAATACTTGGAGGAGTAGAAAACGTGTGTATGTAGGAAAGAGAGAGAGACAGTTTCATGAAGCAGAAAAGTAGTCTTGGATTTCCCCTAGGGCTTGTCATGGCATGTTAACTTCAAGGAGGAGAGAGTGGTAGTAACATGTTCTTGTTGTTGCAGGTGTCTCATTTCCCTGAAGCCTATAGAGAGGCACTGCACACCTACAAGATAAGCGAGCAAGATACAGACGTAAGAACACTTCTCCCTGGCTGTCGTCTGTCTGCCCACTCCATTTCCCTTCCTGCTACCACTTCTCCACCCTCCACCTCTTGGAGGTTATGCCTTTTCTCCCATTTCTTTATCATTAGATGCACATCTTTTCTGCTGCTAGTTGGAGCTGCAAGGCCTCAAGTGTCATTGATCACCATCGATCACCAGTCCTGTGCTGTCTCTTTTCCTGTCGCATCTTTCCCTCGTACTCACTGTGTGTGCTTTCAAGCTGGTGTAATTGCTTGTGAGTTTTCCCTGCTCACACTGTAGAGTTTCAACAGCTGAGACTGGCCTCCTGGCTTGGGAGGGTATTGGTTGCTATCCATCAAAGCAAATGAATGCCTCATCGTGTCCTCTTGTGGACTTCAAAACTGTGCATCTTGTGCTCCACATTTCTTTTCTTTCTTTACCTCATGACAGAAACTCCTGGGAAAGCTCTGTGAGCAAAACAAGGTGATGAGGGAACAAGAGAGGCTGGTCCAGCAACTGCGTGCAGAGAAGGTAAGGAGTTTGAGGGATAGTGGTATCTCACACAATAGACACCTTGCCTGATGGCACTCTACCTTAAAGGAGGTAAATGGGAGCACTCTTGTTCTAATCAAGTTCCTCATCATAAACAGCAGAAGAAATCAGAAATAATAAGCTACCTTCTGCTCTTTGAATGGGCATACCCTGTAAGAAGCTTTCTGAGCAGAGAACCTCCTTGCAAGCCTTTCTTAAGAAGCAATAATCTCTGAAGAAAACATTTCCATTAAATGAGCATCCACACTGCAGAATGATAACAATTTAATACCACTATTGTTGCCATGGCTACATCATGTGGAATCCTAGGACTTGTCATTTAGGAAGTTAACTGTTAATTTGCTTTAGTGCACTTTCTTTAACTAAAGTACCAGAGCTTACCAACAGAACAAAGACAATTCCATAGGATGGAGCCGTGACAGATAGCAATATCAAACTGCTGTCATTTTGTAGCAGTGGCAGATATGCGGAAATAGATATTGCCAACTCCATCTCTATAATTTGAGAAATTATCTCAAATTTTAGGAATGACCTCAAATTATAGTCCACTCTTCTCAGATGTAGTGAGATGGGTGCTACCATGCTGTTAGTTTGGAGTAAGTTCTGCTATCAGACCAGCTTCTGCACATCAAAAAAGTGGCATCTATTTCCATCATATCAGGAAACAAACCTGTCTCAAACCTTGCTTTGCACTTCACAACTCAAGTGTTGATTACAAAACCTTTAAGTCGCAGTCATAGCTCATAAAGCAGTGATCTGTTTTTCTCTGGGAGTTGTAGTCTCTTTTCCATCCTCTGATCTTAGAATAATGTTTTCATACAATGCTGGATTTCTCTTGAAAGAGATATGTTTTTTTCTATTTCTGAATACAGGTTGAGTCTGTTACCCAAAATACTTAGTGCCAGAAATTTTTCGGAATTCAGACTTTATTCTGATTTTGAAATACCTGTATTTGCATATACATTACATAGTTAATGAGATATAGAGGTAAAAGGGAGCTAGTGACATATCCAGTCCCCACTGAGTTTTTCCTCAAAGAGCTTTGATGGGGGGAAGATAAAATGGCGAAGGGTTGGAGGACTCTGCTTATATAAGATTTTGTATAAAGCAGACATCCCAGACATGGTCCTGGCTGTCAGCACTCTTTCTGCCCTTTTAGGAAAGTAGTTGGTGAGGAAAGGCATTAAACTTTCTTCATTCCCCCCCTCCCTTAATTTTTTTATTTTATTAATGCTGCACATAGGCAGAAGTCAATGGGGTCACTCTACACTCAAGCTCGTGGCCCATTTCCAGGTGTTATCACTGATGGGCCTTGGACATGTGACAGCTCCCTTTCCCCAGAAGTAGGCAGCTGATAAAGTAGTCAGTGGCAAAAGTTTCAGGGGGTTTTGGTTTTTAGTATTTCAGATTTCTAGATAAGGAAGACTCAATATGCAGTATAGAAGAAAACTTCTCCATCTCCAGAAAACTATATCTGCTCATGGACTTCTTAGTACTTAGTTCTGTGACATGAAAATGGTTCAGTTACATTTAATGTAACATTTAATTATTTTCCTTTGAAAAGAGCAGGAAAAGTAGTGATCACTGCATTTTAGAAATGGGGGAATGAGAACCAAAAAAGTCTGGAAAAGAATTTAAAGTATTTTGACTCTAATTCATGTATGTCCTGCCTTTCCCCCAATAATGGGTCTCAAGGTAGCTTACAATTTACTAAACACAATACAGATTTACAATTATTTTCAACCAGTGTTGATTCCATTTTTAAAATGTGTATCCTAACCATTAGTCTTTTTCTTCTTGTTATTGTTCTAAAACATTACTTCCCTGCTGTATTCATCTCCAGGAGAGTCTAGAGAGTGCCCTCATGGGGACACACCAGGAACTGGAGATGTTTGGGAGCCAACCAGCTTACCCAGAAAAGCTGCTGCATAAAAAGGAGTCCCTCCAGAATCAGCTGATCAATATTCGAGTAGAGTTGTCACAAGCCAGCACGGTAATCACAGAAGCCCCCTGTATTGAAGGAATCCCTTCTACTTATTCTTGCAGTGATCTCAAATACCCAGGGACCTTCAGTGATGGAGGATAATTCAAGGGAGGGTGGATTGGGCACATGCTGGCATATTCTGCCCTTATTGATTATGATCGTAGCATTGCTTTATTTATGCATGCACACCGTGTGCAGCCATGCTCAGGATACTTTTTTGAAAGAAAATACAGACAGCACTGCCCAGCCCGCATGGCCAATTGGGACAAGTACTATGTGGACTTTGCCCAGCACTAAGTAATGCTTCTATAACAGTATGGCTGCATCAGCAGAGCCCAATGCCTCCAACTGAGCCTGCATGGCCTGTCTGCTCTTGTTGTATTCTCGGGCTGTGTGTGCCAGTGGATACCTGGTGTTGAGTGTTCTGTCGCTTTAGCATTGCAAAAATCATGTCTCTTCTTTCTCTGTGTTGCTTTTTTTATTTCATATAAATATATATGAAATGAAGTAAGGAGAGTAAATGAAAAGACAAATAATACCCTTCAACCCACTGGGAAGGTGCAGCAGCATACAAAACATATCCTTATGGGCTTGCAAGTAAATGCTTTGTATTTGTTACAGGCAAAGGGAATTGAAAATTCCTGGTTTCCTTAACTATGTAGGAAACCTTGCTGCTCTCATTGCTTCTTCATTAGCCTCCTCTGGTGCACCAATATCATGCCAATTTTAATGTAGACTGATTCTACCCAGTGGACCAGGAGAGGCACGCAAGAGCTCTCCTGGTCCTCTCAATACATTTAAGAAGATGCAAAGGAACAGCAGAGCATTTCTGAAGTGGTGTAGGTCTCATCTCTTGTGTGAGGTTTTTCCTCATTCTGCGATGTAGACTCTGGTTGGGCCAATATCCATATAAACGGTTTCATAGGGGTTTTCTAAAGTCAGTCAGTTTCTCTAAACTCCCAAGGACACACTGAGGCAATGCTGTGTTGGTATCTTGATGGGACTGTTTGCAAATCCCCACAGGCGCTGGCCAACAGCACCATAGAATATGAGAACCTGGAGGGCGAGGTGTCAACCTTGCATGATGACCTGTGGGAACAGCTGAACTTGGACATTCAGGTGAGAAAATGAAACCTCCAGATCAGCTGAATCTAAGGGGGGAAAGCAGGCAATCCAAAGCAGAATTGGGCATTGGCTTACATGGAGGTTTAGTGTTACCAAATCATTTCGTGAATAAGCCAGTAGTGTTCCTGTGCTAGATCTATATCTGTCGTATTGTGAACAATCAACATTAAGCCATTGTATACAAGTGTGAGTCATTGGGCTATACAGGTTTTTGTAGATTTGGCTAGGATAATCAGAGCCATATTTTTAAGAATATGCATGCTTGTGTACCTATACATAATGTAGTACTATTGTGATGATCTACAGCTATTGGAGACCCCTGTGGTGCAGTGGGGTTAAACCCTTGTGCTGTCAGGATTGCTGACCGAATGTTTGGCAGTTCGAATTGGGAGCATGGAGTGAGTTCCCATCTGTCAGCTCCAACTTCTCATTTGGGGAAGCCTCCCACAGGATGGTAAAACATCTGGGCATCCCCTGGGCAATGTCCTTGCAGAGCCAATTCTCTCGCACCAGAAGCGACTTGCAGTTTCTTATCTATTGTGCATGCACACACCAACTGTCTGAAGAACTGACTATCTGCATGTGCTGCCTACTGGGATCATATGCAAACTCCCATTTAACTATGTCTATATTTGAAGATATATTAAAAGGGTCCCCACAACATTCATCTGCTCTCTCTACAAAGCACTGTTAATACAGCAGGCTCACATTTGCTCCTGTAGTTTGTTTTGCTGGTATGCATGGTCAGAATTTTTAAATACATTTCATATCACACCCCTATATTCTTTCCGCAAACTTTTTCTACAGTGGCGCTTCTCTTTTCTGCTTTGAGGGTCATCACAGAACTGTTCCCATTTTGTATAAGCAAAGACCTATCTCCTTAACTATTCTAACCATTCTGATTAAGCTGCTTTAGCCAGGTATTTCAGATATTATCTTGGGTTTCTGCTATCTGATATTTTCAAGCAACCTGGGGCAATTCTGCAGCTTCACTGTGAGTTGTAATATGCTCTACAATTCTATGACCCTTATTATTGCTATGTTCTTTACTTTTGAAGTAGGTTACATAGGACATTGCCAGTATTGGGAAATGTGCTACTGATCTGGTAAAACAGCTGTGATTTCATAGTAATAAATAGTGATGAAAACCTCTAAAGTAAGGTGCATTTTCTGCCAGGACAACTAATGGCATCCTGTAAAGGCAGATTGTGAGACATGGGAGCAAGGAACTAGGTACACAGACATGCTCTAGTTAAACCTTTCACAAGTCTAGTAATTTGCATTAAGTGTAAGTGATCTGGATCCAAAGACCAAAAGAGTGTTCTCTGCCACACTGACACCAGATAGTGTAATGAGGTCTAATCCTTGTTTTCCTTCCTATTTAAATGACACTTGACCTTCCTGCAGTCTTACTGAAAGAAGGCATTGTTTTCTTTCCTTGCACTGAATTGCTCTGAAACACAAGATAGCACACATCTAAACATCTCCCGTGGTTTCTTTTAAACTCTGCATGAATCTGTGTTATATTTAGCATGAAAAGAAAACTTCTGTTCTTCTTGGTGTTTATTTGCAGAGTTAAACTAGGCAGAAGAAAGCAGCATGTCGTCTTAAATTGTTTCTTCCTCTTCATACCCTCAAAGCTGAATTGGCAAGCCCTGCTTTGGCATTGCCCTGCTGATACCTGACCTACCAATTGCTTCAGTATCCATCAGATGCTCTTAGTCCAAACAGATAATGAAAACGGAAACAGACCAGTTGTCATGGAGTACACAGCCAGCATGCCTTAAGTGTGCACTTTTTGCAGAGTTTCAGTGGAAAACATGTATGTTTTAAACTGGGACATGTCCCATGCTTTCAGCAGAATGCTGCAATGTAGAACCAGAAGTGTGCAGTGCTTCTGTCTGGGTGCTGCACTCTTAAAGACTAATTTAGACATTGAGTTGCCACATTATAATCTGGACCATTCAGCTGTGAAGTAAGGAAAAAAATTGTTGGAAACACACACACATATACCATAAATACTTCCTTTTGAATGCAAAGGTTGAACCTCAGACAGACAGATAGACTAGAAGTTTTCTCTTGTGCTTTTATTCAAGCAGATTTTTCACTGTATAGTCCAAAATAATTATTGCAAATATGAAAACTCTTCCAGTGGAACAATTAAGTCACTTTGAGCTTGAACCTTAACTTTAAAAAGAGCTTTCCAAAGTGCTGAACCTGTTTGGAAGATACTAGGGCTTTGTACTTTGGGTACTTCTTTGAAGTTCTGACTAAGCCTGGAGTGGATTGTCTGGTCCTTGCATATGGAAACCATCAGCCACCCCTATATCTCACCATTCTGCAGGCGAGGGTGGGGGAATTGTGGGCTCGCAATCTCACATATGAGAGTAGACTAGCAAGGATTTTCACTGTGAGCTCTTTAGTTTGAAATAGTCCCTCATTGAGAGCACCCAGTATCTGTTCCAAATTGTCATAAAATCCAGTCCAGGATATTTCAGTGACTTTTTTCAAATGAAGGACATGAGCTTCACTAGCTCTTGATGGAACTAATTGATTGTAATGGTAGACAGAGCAGCCTTATGCCTGTGCTTTGGCTGGAAGGATGATGTGTTCAGGTTGTTCTCATGATAAGACAGTACTTGTGTGTACTCTTGTTCACTGAGTAATTACAATGGACCTCTAAGTCCCATGCTGACTATTTTGCCTGTGGTTTGTCTGCACAAACACCCCTAATCTGATCCAATTTATCACTTGGATTTGCATAGGTATCTCTATGCCTAAATGGAGCTGTAAGAACAAACTGTTTCTGGCTGAGCATTTGAGAAGGGGGATGTGTCTTAGGGCCCTTCCACACAGCCATAAAACCCAGAATATCAAGGCAGAAAATTCCACAATATCTGCTTTGAACTGGGTTATCTGAATCCACACTGCCATGTATCTCAGTTCAAAGCAGAAAATGTGGGATTTTATTCAGCTGTGTGGATAAATGTTGTTGTTGATCTGAGACATAAACTAAGTTGACAGAGAAGCTTTTTCTGCATTGATTTTTATATAAAAATGGAGCACAAGAACATTTACTAATGTATATTATCTGCATTATAGATTATATTTAAGGCTTTTTATTCTTTGTAGTACAGGGGGATTGAATCCAAATTTATCTGCTTATAATCAAACAAATAAATTAATAGCAATTGATGCAAGTTTATTTACACTTGCATGTTTGACTGCATGTGAGTTTTGAGGAATTTGACATATTGGGGCAGAAATAGAGATACAGATATAGTAACAACAACAACAACAACAACAACAACTTCTTATATTCCACCACCTCTCCCCAAAGGGGTCTGGGGCAGCTTGCAGATGGCGTAAAAACAAGTGCATAAAAACAAAAATAAAAGTTAACACAATATAAATACAATAAAATAAAGCACATGCATTTATAAAAACATCAATTCAGACTCAATCAAGCTGCGATCCTCTAACTGTGGCAGTAAATTACTGTATGGATGGCCAGGCTGTAAACATTAGGAATAAAATAAGTGCCAGCTGCAGTAATGGAGAGAGGGCATGGGATACAGTGCAGGATGTGCAACTATTACGCAGGACAACTAGAGACTAAATATTCTCAAAGGCTTGATTGGAGAGCCACATCTTCAAGTCCCTACGAAAGGAGGACAGTGTGGGGGCCTTCCTAATCTCCCTAGGGGGGGAATTAGAAAGCCGGGGGGCACCACCGAGAAAGCCCTCTTCCTTGTCCCCACCAACCATGCTTGTGGCAGTGGTGGGACCGAGAGGAGGGCCACCCCAGCAGATCTTAGAGCCTGCACTGGTTCATGGGGGGCGGGGGGGCTGCGGTCACAAAGATAGGCAAGTCCAACCTGAGCTGTTTAGGCTTTATAGGTGATAAATAGCACTTTGAATTGGGACTGGGACCTTATCAGCAGCCAATGGAGACATGGCTATAAATAATAAAAAGTTGGTAAGGTAAATGCAGAACACAAAGTGCTGCTTATGAGTACTGTGTTGTTCATTTCAACATTCTGGACTAAAAACTATTTTGGAGGGAGAAAAAACAAAGAATTCAGAGGTACCCAATAATCCATATGATGATCCTTCTAGCATTTTTGTACTTTCTACCATATCAGAGGTAAGATAATTTCTCTCCATAATAGGCAACATCCAATAATTACAGGGGGGAGGGAGAAAGAACTTAACTTCTAAGCCACCTGCATTGCTTTCATTGCCCATTCTTTGATTTCCAAACCAATCTATGAAAACTGCACAGTGAATGGAGATACAGGACTACATTATGTGGTATCCATCTAACTCCCAAGATTGTTTAGTGCAATTGGAGGGACCATAGTATGCAGAGCTTGGCCTAGTTGTTTTTATAGGACTGCAACTCCCAGAGTCCCCCAACTAGCATGGGCACTGAGCCATTTTGGCTGAGAAATTCTGGGAATTGACTTAAAAATGACCTCCATGATTCAGGAGCATGTTCATGCCCTATTGTTCTTTAGCCAGAAACAATCAGGGAGCTTCTGAAATGTCATTAATTTAGATATAATCATCACTCACAATCCAGTGGAGATTTTGATAGTATTCTAATAGCTTGTTTGCTGGGAGATTCACAGACATGCTGATCTCCCTTCCCCCATAAAGAATTTCCTCTAAAAGTATCTGAACATCTTCATTGGGGAATTGTATAGATTGTTCATCGGCTCATTGCCGGGAGTCACCATATCAAACTGGCCTCTGGAGAGGCCAATCTAAAGCTCAAATAAAAATGATTTAGGATTAAGACTGGGAAACACAGATCTTATCACTTGGGTGCCATACTTTTACATTTGTGTTATTTCAGCAGAAATGCATCACATTATTAGTTTTGGAAAAGTATTTTTGTAACATTTTCATCTCTGCAAAAAGATGGAAAATCCACTTTTCTCTGGATTCAATTTTCTCCCTGCAGCTCACAGCTTTCCATTTCTCTGAACTACTCTGTATATTTACCTTTTGCCCACTTCTCTTTTCCACTCCATAAGACAGTCCCATCTCTTCCACTGCAGGTCTACACCCCTGTTTTTCCTTCCTTCTTTTTCTATTTATCAACGCTCTTTTTCTTTTTTGTTTATCCAAGCCCAAACTCTTCTCTCAAGAATCTCTTGTTGTTCTGTCCTTTCAACCTCCATTCTAAATACTCTAAAGGCATTAGATCCTGTCTGATCTTGAAAGTTAAGCAGGGTCATGCCTGGTTAGTACTTGAGAAACTGCCAGATAGTATACATCACCTATATTACAGAGGAAGGCAATAGCTAACCACCTCTGACCATATTTTTTTTTTGCTATAAAAATCATGATGTCCTTGTAAAGTGACAAACAACTTGAAGGCATTTACTCTTTTACCTGAAATTCCTCTCCTAACCCCTTCCTTCATTACCACAAAGACTAACATCTTAAGGAATAAACAATACAATATATGAAAATCCTTATTGAAATTACTTTTTCCTTGAAACAGTTTTGATGGGAGCAATTTTCCCTAAAGAAATGGAAAAGTAGAGGGTGTCTGCTCTTTTCCTGCTGCATCTCTCCAGGTGCTTTTTCTACTGCAGAATTCTAGTTGCATGTGCATGTAAATGTAAAGGAAACATAGCTTTTAGCCTTTACTGAATTAACACAGGTGCAAGGGCGGGTAATAGTTACTTCCCTTAAACCCAGGATCAGGCTTGTTTTGTTTCCTTGGTCTTTTCAGAATGAAATGCTCAACAGACAAATCCAGAAGGAGATCTGGCGAATCCAAGATGTGATGGAAGGGTTGCGGAAGAACAACCCCTCTCGGGGAACAGATACTGCAAAGCACAGAGGTAACATCCCACACCTTTAAGGTTTGGGATTCTTGTTCATTTTATCCTAATCCTCAGAGAAACACACAGCAGGCCTCACTGATATCTCAATATCTTCCACTTCTTCCCCAGTTCATACACCCATAATTTTGTTATCTGCCATATGAAAATTTTCACTTATTTCTCCATTTTGCTGTTGCAATCTGTGTAGAAGAACTGTTTATAGCAATTTGATGCCATCATTTCACCATTGTTGAGAAATGATTCAGATTTGAGTTCCAATTTCTCCATCTTGTCCATAATTGGGTTAATGTGTCATTTTCTTCTTTTAGCTCTTTTTTGAAGTAAAGTTTTAAAAGCCTTCAACAACATTGTGGCTTTAAAAATTTTAAAAGCCACAATGTTTAGCCATATTTTTGTGGGGAATAGGCCCCAATCACTTTTATGATTTAAAGGGCGCTTTCTGTACTCTTTGACGCTCTCCGGTATTTTCTTTGAAATTGAAGTGGACACAATAATGCATATTACAATTTGCCCTCCAGATGTATGGGTTTTACTGGCATGGAAGCTGCCACTTGACAGGTCCTCGTTCATAAATACATACATGCATACATGCAACCACACACAAACAAACTACTGTATCTCATTGCATAATAATCATACCCATTTGGAGGGGGAAAGGCAGGATATAAATAAGGAAGATCAAATCAGTCCATACTTCAGGAAATATAGCCCGACTGCTCATTGGAGGGAAGGATATTAAGAGGCAAAGATCGGGTACTCTGGCCACATGATGAGAAGACAGGAAAGCTTAGAGAAGACAGTGATGCTGAGGGAAATGGAAGGACAAAGGAAGAGGGGCCGACCAAGGACAAGATCGATGGATGGGATGGATCCTTGAAGTGACTGGCTTGACTCTGAAGGAGCTGGGTGTAACACCCGACAGGGAGGTCTGGCATGGGTGGTCCATGAGGTCACAAAGAGTCGGAAGTGACTGAATGAATAAACAACAACAAAATCATCATCATCATCATCATCATCATCATCATCATCATCATCATTTACGGGTGTGTGCCCACAAGCGAGGTCTCCATGGCCTGCCACACACAGACCTGCCAGAGAGAGCTAGGAGGTGTCTCTCAGCTGGTGGCAGCTGGGGAAAGCCTCCTAGCTCTTTCACCTACATTATCCTGCATGCCTGCCCCTCAGAGCTATGGGGGCTGCTCAAGGGGCAGGTATGCATGTTGCAGTGTGACTATTGTGCAAGGAATATAAAAATACTGAAACTGGGACCCCAAAAAGGGGAGGGGTGACTATCATGTGATAACGACTATTATGCAAAGAAATGCGAGGTTAATCTTTCCATTCAGCACCCTCTTTCCTTGATCTATCGCTCTCTAATTACTAATCCTTTCTCTTTTCTGCCATTTTTCTGCAGTGACTCTGGGCCCATCAGGAACTTACAGCTCTAATAGTCCAGCCAGTCCACTGAGCTCAGCCAGCCTCACAAGCCCTTTGAGCCCTTTCTCTCTTGTGTCAGGATCTCAGAGCTCCCCTACCAAGCAAGGCAGCAATGAGGTGAGCCAATCAAACCATTACACTGGGGGAGTTGAAGAAGAACACACACACAAGTTGGAGCAGGAGCAGTATTGCAATGTGTTTCAAAAGTTGCCATTCTACCAGTAGGTGGCAATCCCTGCCTTGTTCTAAAGTGAATGATGGTGGTTGCAGGGAATTCAGATGAGAAAGGTTGGGAATTTTGTTTCCAGTGACAACAGCATCACTGAACCAAGCAGCTCAACAGGAAGGATTTTAAAGAACCCCTCTTCCAGGGCAAAGATATAGGACTGGCAGGCCAGGGAAAGATCAAGATATATCAGGGCTAGGTGTTTGACAGAAGTAGAACTGTCATTGCTGTTTTGATGTAACACTATCAATACATACTAATCATTAAACAACAAAAAGGCCTGCAACCTAAAATAGTACAGATTGTAGGGAAATAGAACATCCATGCTTTCACTTTCTCTTGTTACAAGCAATAATCCCTTAAAATCTAAATTAAACAGTGCAGATATTGATAGCTGTATACAGAATTCTTTCCACTATTCCATTGACTTCTGTATGGTTAATTGCAACCTATGGAAAACAGCAATTAGGGAAATAATAATAGTTAGCAGACCTTTTCCCCTGCAGTAAGGCTCCCTCCTTTACTCTGTGTAGTAGCCCCAGATATGCCCAATATAAATGAAAGCCTGATAAATTGGTCCAAAGGAAAAAATGGTTAGATGTGGTACTGTCCCTAGTATATCCTTGCCTATTGAATGTATTACCTGTATTGACGTATGTTGTCTATTCTAAGAGGACATACAAAATTGCTTAGTGAAATGTCTAGCATAAGGATTGCATACCTTTTTAAAACACTCAAACCACATCTGTCAACAGACTGAACTCCTGCCCCCAATCAGTCGTAAATCCCTAGCCCCACTCACATTCCATCCTAATGCATGTATGGGGCCATCACTTTCTGTGTTGTTTAAGCCTTGTGACATCAATGCAGCATTATGAGGCCTTTCAAGCTAATAGCAGTTGAAAGCTAATAGCAGTTGACATCACATTGCAAACAGTGAGAAAATTTTTAAAATATAGCTGAATAATGTGCATTGAAATGACAAATATTCTGTAGACAGTTGAACTTCAAGTTCTGTCCCTTATTTGCTTCATGGTTCGGTGGATGATACTGGGTTAACAGCAGGCTGGTGTGGCTTTGTAATGGGTTGCCTAACAAGGAAAAAACCTAGCCATGTGACATCTGGGCTGTTCTGGTGCTCAATTGCAGCTGTCCTGTCTTGGGTTGTACACCTGTCTCTGTTTGAGTCTATGTCTCACTAATTCTCTTTTCCTTCCCATTCTCACAGTTTCTCTGCTCTTACTCCTAACACTTCTTGGCTTCCTCTCCACTCCAGGAGACTGGTCCACCTCGACCTCCCCTCCCCAAATCATATGTGCCCTTGGAATCTCCTCCGACTGTCCCTCCGCTCCCTGTTGAAAGTCGCCTTTGGCCGTATCCTAACTCCCCTTCTTGGCAGCAAAGCAGCGAGGCGAAGAGGGGACAGGTATCAAAATGGCATTTGAGAGTTAGAGGCTTGCTCTGTCCTTTGCCATACTCACCAGGAATTTGGGAGGGACATTGAGCCAATTGGTTCACAAGACAGCTAACCTGAGCTTCCTTAACCACTTTGTGGATGATAAGGGCAGATTCACACGGTATTTTTTCCTGAAAGTGGATTTTATCCTGATATAAGTAAGTGATCTGCCAAAAAGCCCCAAAGGGTTTGGGGACAATTGGCCTTTTGGAGACTGTAATGAACTATATCTCTGAATGGCTTGCTATAATTTAACTGAATTGTGGATAAGGGTAAAAGATAGGAGCAAATTTTGGAAGGGAAAAAATGACTTTGTTTCAACTATACATCCCAGGATTCCATAGCCAGAGCTGCCAATTGCCAAGCTTGCCAACAAAGTCTGAGAACTATAGTCAGGTTCATTGGACTACAACTTCCATAATTATCTGTGTCTATCAGCCATCCTGGTTAGAGTGGCTAGCCAACAACATCTGGAAAGCCATCAGTTTTCCATATTTGATCTACATTAAGACCCACAAATTTAGTTGAAATGCTTTAAAGCTTCTGAGTTGATCTATCATGTCAATATTTAGAAGACGCATTGCTAATTAGGATCTCAAAAGAATTAGTTTGAGAGCTGCAACCATTATAGGCCAATTGCAATGGCAGCTGGAGACAAAAACCTAAAAACCATTGGTCACTATCATTTTAAGGCTGCTCTTTCTTTCTTATGTATTTTTATGAGTCTTGTATATGAGAAATATGAGATAGCTTAGAAGCTTGAGGGATGTAGGGTTAAGCCTTCAAAATGCAGAGTAAGCAAATTCAAAGGAAATAAGGTGATAGACTTTTTAACAGCCAGTAACCTGGTATTGATTTTCCAGCCCAAATATTTTTTAACATCATAATATGTGTAACTCTCTCGGAAACTTACTTTTAAAAATTCAATTTGCAATAACATTAAATTTTGGCTCTTTCATAAGATGACATGTTGGCTATTAAATACATATGTAAAAAAAAATGAAACTGACAGATTGCTTGATGCAAGTGGCTAAATGGTTGCAACTGCTCCAGCCCATTCTGCCAGTCCATTCGGTGCCAACAATCCCTGTGATTTTTAGTTTTAATGCCTTTTATCATTTTGCCATCTACCTCCTGTGATGATAATCTATGTTGCCAGTAAAGGCTGCCTGCAAAGCTGCTATTGAGATGAAGCAAAACAAGAGCAACTTCAGCAGGGGTTTCTTTTATTGACCTTAAAATGTCCATCCTTGAAAGAAGAGGCAACAATCTTGTCCAAGTTGCTTGTGTATTTTCTGATGAAGGGCACAATGGAATTCTAAAGCTGTGTTGCTCTTAAACTTATTTTCAGGTTTCTATCTGCTAGAACAGAGTGGCAATTGCAGGTTATATAAAGGGTTTCATTCCCCTAGGTATGCATCCAGCCCATAATTTTTTTAATCCTATGAGCTGCTCAAAGCATGGTTTTCAATTTAACAAACCATATGGATTTTTTCACATAAACTTAAGCAAAACTCAGATTTGGGCTGGTAAAAAAGATTCTGGAAGGCTGAGAGCATATTAAAGACTATTATTCTGCTTTAAAGACAGGAATAATAAAATTCCATTAAACCTTGTTCCCAAGTGCTTGGAATATAATGTGAGTTATTTCATCCTCAGCTTGGTTCTGGTTCTCTAAAATATGAATCAATCTGAAATCCACCCCTTCTGTTTTCTTCATCTGATTGGATTTTCATTAGGGAACATGTTTTTGTGTGACTTAAAAAAACGAACGAGGGAAAACCTGCTCAGTTGTTTCTTCTTGTTACTGTTTCCTTTCTTTGTTTCTCTGTGGGCTTTTCTGTTCACTTTTGGCATGCATGTCTGTGACTCAGATCAATGTAGTTATAGAAAAGGGCAGCTGTATGGAGGTAGGACTTCTCACCAACTATATCCACACATCCTCATGGGAAATATAATTGTCCCCACAGTCCAAATCCAGCTATGAGCAGAGCAAGAAGGACCATCATCGAACATCAGCTTCTCATTCTGCAGCAGAGGCTGGTCTCTTGCAGACCAGGCAAGACCAAGATGTTGATAAGCAAGTTGCTCTTAACAAAGGTACCTGCAAATAGCCTGGTTTATGTGACTGGTTTTCGTTTCTGGGTGTTTTGGTACTTTTAGCATAGACCCTTCTATAACTTTGCACCTCTAGGAGGTACCAAGTTGAGCACATTCCTAGTGAGCACCGGCCATCCTGTCAGGCAATGGTGGGAGTTATACTACATCTTCATGATGACGATGATCTATAGTTCCTCATACCATGTGGATCTGATGTCTCCAAATTGTGTTGTTATTGCAGCACAACTTTAAATAATGTTGATGGTGAGCTGCCTTGGAAGTCACTGTCTTCATCTGAGAGTTTGTAATTATTACTTTTCAGAGTTCTGGCACAATTGAAAGAAAGAATATAAAGAGTTTATTGTTCTTTTATTTGCCATCAAATTGTCTTTGACTCATGGCTCTGACTTTTGACTTATGTGAGATCTAGAAGTCATCAACAGCCCTATGCAGTTCCATGGCTTCCTTGATTGAGTCAATCCATCTATAATTTGATCTTTTTGCTATTTTATTCTTCCCTTTATATTTAAATATATACACAACTCAGTGGAGAATGAATTATTTTTTGGAATAGCTTTGGTTGTTCAGCCTTGCTATTCCAGCACTAACTAGCTGAAAGTATTTGAATTTTGTATATGGGGGAGGAGACATTACATTTTAAAAAATTGAGGGCCTTTTCTTATTGCAAAGGTGTCACATTATCCTAAGAGAAGATTAGTAAGAAACAGAATCAAATCTGCCTCTCTGTGTTGCCAGTGCCCCAAACCTGACTTTTTTGCATCCCTAATGGAATTCATATTTGTCCTCTGACTTCTTCCAGTTGGCATTGTTCCTCCAAGGACCAAGTCACCCATGGATGATGACATCACACCCCCATCAGGCGTGGTGAGAAGGAGTGCCAGCACCCTATCCAATGGGCTGAATTCTCGAGTAAGGACAAATGTTATTTACATATATTTTTAAATTATTACTTACTCTGCAGCAGAGTCTGGTATGTTAGCTCTGAAAATTATAACTTTGGATATTAGAATTCAGCCACTGCCAGAAGGGACAGAGAGTTTCATCTATGCTGATGATCGTGCCATTACTGCTCAAGCAGGGAGCTTTGAGATGGTTGAACAGAAGCTCTCCGAAGCTCTAGGTGCTTACTGCCTATTACAGGGAAAACCAGCTGATCCCTAATCCATCTAAAACACAGACATGTGCTTTTCGCCTCAAGAACAGACAAGCATCCCGAGCTCTGAGGATCACCTGGGAAGGAATCCCACTGGAGCATTGCAGCACATCCAGATAAATACCTGGGAGTCACTCTGGATTGTGACTTACAAGAAGCACTGCTTGACTATCAAGCAAAATATGGGTGCTAGAAATAGTATCATACGAAAGCTGACTGCATAACCTGGGGATCACAACCAAACACAATGAAGACACCTGCCCTTGTGCTTGCTGCTGAGTATCCATGCCCAGTGTGGAACACATCTCACCAGACTAAAACAGTGGATGTGGCTCTTAATGAGACATGCCGCATTATCACGGGGTGTCTGCGCCCTACACCACTGGAGAAATTACGCTGCTTAACTGGTATTGCACCACCTGACATCCGCCGGGAAGTAGCAGCCAAGAGTGAAAGGACCAAGGCAGAGACATCTCCAGCTCATCCCTTGTTTGGGTATCAGCCAGCACGTCAACGACTTAAATCTAGAAATAGTTTTCTAAGATCTACAGAGACACTCGCTGGAACACCTCAGCAAGCGAGAGTCCAAAAGTGGCAGGCTCAAACCCAGAACCTCAACCAATGGCTGATACCAAATGAGAGACTCCCCCTCTGGGCACACAGAGGACTGGGCGACTTGGAAGGCGCTGAACAGACTGCGCTCTGGCACCACGAGATGCAGAGCCAACCTCAAGAAATGGGGCTACAAAGTGGAATCCTCGACATGCGAGTGTGGAGAAGAGCAAACCACTGACCACCTGCTGCAATGCAATCTGAGCCCTGCCACATGCACAATGGAGGACCTCCTTGCGGCAACACCAGAAGCACTTCAAGTGGCCAGATACTGGTCAAAGGACATTTAATCAACTACCAAACTCACAAATTTTGTATTTTGTCTGTTTGTTTGCTTTGTTCTGTTAGAAATGTAATATAATTTGACTGGTTGTCCTGACACGACAAATAAAGGAGATTGGTTCATTGCTATTTGTGTTAATGATCTGAAATTGTTTGAATCATTGAATTATATTAATTTGATGCTTAGGTCATTTGTTTTTGAAACGAGTCATGGGATTTATAGAGTATGGGATGGGATTTGTCAGTGTTGACTACTTAGGGCATATATTGTTTTTAGAATAGCAATTTTAAGTTGACCTTCCCTAATCTGACACTTTTGCCAAATGGACTTCAGAGCTCACTATATGATTATTATATGGGGATAATTTAATACATTTTCTCCAACCATAGCCCTGTTCCTGTCTTAATGCAGAGAAAGACTTCCTTGCACCTAAGGAATTTTAATGACTTAAAATACCCAATTCCTTTAGGTATAAATGCAACTTAAATCAGACAATCTATGGAGTTTAGAAATGGGGGCTATAATGAATTAGTTGTTTGTTTGTTTTTACATTTTGTGTAGTGACTTGTTTTCTGGTAAAAGTACAATAAAACATACAAAATTCCCAAATCCATATTTAGCAAAATTAAGACTACATTAAGACAATAATACAGAGGACTTTAACTGTGAAAGTGGTGGTTAGTATTTTCTGGCTGAGTTCTCTTCCTCCACCCCTTAAAAGGCTGTTTTTCTAGAATATTAAAATTTGTGAATATTCTTTGCATTCCTAAATATGAATATAGAGCTTATCTCCAGACCAGACATTTCCAATACAACTAAGCATGTTGTACTTTATTGGCTACCACCTGTCTAGGTACCACAATTCGGAATGTTATGACATTGCATCATTTTTTCTTTTCTTTCTGCCAGGCCTTCTGAGAGGAAAGGGGGATAGAGAGCTAGGTCTCCTATCTTTGTTTCACACAGTGTTGTCTAGGTCTGCCTTTAGCCACTAAATTGTACTGAAACAAATCCCTTCTAACTCAAGAAAGCATTTTCAGGAAAGAGCGATCAGACATAACTATATTAGCATTAAATGTTCTCTTGCAGTGCTTTGAAAACCCTCCCTATCCTATTGGCATTCCTCTTCTTCCCCTCCCTCATATAGTAGTGACCTGTTCTTTTCCATCTTCCACTCCCTCTTCAAATTCGTAAATTCAAGAAAGATTCCAAGGAGATGTGTAACCGTGAGGATTCTATATTTTTCTCCTCACTTCTTCAGGACAGACCAAAGAGTGCAGTGTTTTCTAATGAAGTGAAAGCAAAGATGAGTGTTGAAGAGCAAATTGATCGCATGAAGCGTCACCAGAGTGGCTCTATGAAAGAGAAAAGGAGGAGCTTGCAACTTCCAGCCAATCAGCAACAGACAGATAGCCCTGTCTCTAAAGCACCTGCATCATACAAAGTGGTAATGTATCTCTATATCAAGCAACATTTGGAACATCCTAAACCAGGATTGGGAATTGTGTAGTACTCTAGATATTGCTGGACTGCATTTCCAAGAGCCTAATTGGACACGCAATCCCATGCCCCCTTTAATGCCAAATATTTTCCAGGATCTATCTAAGCAAAGAAAAATCAAGCAGCTTCTCAGAGAGTGGATTCTGTAGGTTTTAAGGTTCTAGAATATGTCCAAAGGTTAAGGTTTGGAAGAAATGAACAAGAGGGTTCATTAGACTTAGCTTTCACAAGCAGCAACTGAAATGATGAAGGTGTTGCTTTGGTACCATTCCAGATTTCACTTTGAAAGTTCATGTTGAGGAAGTCTGTATCATCCACAGCGAAAACTCACATGCTAATGGAAAGGCTAGGCTTAAATTCTTCTCTCCTAGAATCTTCACTCCTAGAATCTACTATTAAAGTAATAATTTAATAGAGTGCAACCACAGTTTTGTTGTTTCACATGTTGTACAAGGCTACAAAGCAGGGTAGGGAAACTTCTGGAGCAAAATGCATTTAAGTAGTGTCTCTCCTCCTGGCTCTGCCACTGGCATTCAGTTAGAAGTAAACCAACTTGCAAGTTCTGGTTTAAAATGAGGCACATGAATAAGCATACACATTATTTTAAGCCAGAGTTGTGCCTAGCTTACTCTGGCACAAATCAGGATGTCATCAGGGAGTATGCTCTCCTTTACACTGCATTGTTTTAAATTTTGCACATGTAGGGGGTTTTTTTCAACAGTAACTTTGGAAAATACAAAAATGGATAAAAGGTTCAATTACAGTTAATGGATTGGTTTTTGTTCACTCCTGCCACAAAGTGTGACAGATAAGGAAGTGATATGCTGAGTTTGAAATAGTGATAGAAATCCTAACAAGTTCTTGAGGGCAGGTTCTCCACTGTTCCCACATCCTGATTCTAAGGTGGTATGGTTCCAGGTGCGCAGGCATCGAAGCATCCATGAGGTGGACATATCAGATCTGGAGGCAGCATTACGCTCTGAAGACTCTGGCAAGATGTATGAGACCCCTCGGGAGGAAATTGCTCGCCTACGCAAAATGGAGCTTGAGCCAGAGCATTATGATGTGGACATTAGCAAGGAGGTGAGGTCCTATCTCTGTTGGTTTCATCATCTCTCCAGAACAAGTTCTCCTTCATTCCCAAACATTTACAGTGAGGTATAATTATCTGTTCTGAAAATCAAAGTATCACAACATGGCTTTTGATGTAAAGTGTGGGCCAAGCATAATGTAAACCTGGGGAACAAGGAATGAAAGCCAAAGTCAGAATCCCGTTTCAACATTGTCCTGATATAACTTCAGGTTATGGTGACAGAACCCCTGTATGCAAAGATTTCTCCATTCACCTGTAGCCAGATGTGCTACTCCCCAACCCGCTAGACAGCAAATGGCCATCAGGGCAGTTACTGGAATTGCCTCAAATACCTACCAAACATCATGTGGAATGTCACTACTACATAAGTAAGCCACCAAAGCTTTATGAAATATAGAACAAAATATCATCCCAGTCTTTGCTTTCATGGCAAGATGCCTATACAGAGGACAACATTGAGACATTTTTATAATGAAAATCAGAATTTAGATATGTTTTTATATAAACAGAGCAAGAAAGTTTATTAGCAATGAGTAACATCATGGCAGGGGTTGGATACTAGAGAAAGGTTAGGAACATTGTTTTTATTTGGATGTATGTGCTCAAATGTTTTAAAATACATTTTAATGCTTTGTATATCAGCCAGAATATTAAGGTTACTGAGTGGTTTAAAGCTGCAGTTACTTATGCAAAGCTCACTTAAAGGTACCTACTTTCACTACTACCTTTTGAACTCACAGACTGCCTTGATCTGATTTTTTTAGCTGTCTACACCAGATAAAGTCCTTATTCCAGAAAGATACGTTGAACTGGAACCTGATAGTCCACTGAGTCCCGAGGAGATGAAGGAGAAACAGAAGAAAGTGGAAAGGATAAAGACACTGATTGCCAAATCCAGGTGCAATGCAAACCTCCTTTTCTGCCTATGTGCATTTATGGTCTTCCTTTGTAACATATGCTCGGTAATCTTCAGTCCACATCCAATTTAAGTTTTTGGAAATTCATAACCTTGACTGTCAGTCCACTCCTATTGCTGGTTATCTGAGCTTTCGGGGCTCCTTATTAGAGTTCAAGGAGTTGCCAGTCTTTCTTTATTTTACTTTCTGTCACACTTCCTTTGGTATCTGAAAGCCTGAAACCAATGTTAGCAGATAAGGTAGTGCTCTCACATAAAGCTTTTATCGTGAAGTCATCCTGTCTCATTCACAGAATTTTACAGAAAACAACTCTGTATTGTAAGCCTCCTGTGTTTTTCTTCCATTTCTTTCTATCTTTTTGCTTATTACAAAAAAGAATTGATAAGGAAAACAAAGAGTTACAGATTTTTAATTCAGAGCACTAGAAGTCCCCCTTGTATCTTGACTTAGCACTTGATCTTATTGGCATGAAGAATGCCACCATAATCCTACACAAAATGAGAACAGCCATTTGTACAGATAATTGCAGCAGAAAAAAACCCATATCTTTTGAAAATAAGGAGAAAAAAAGGGGGGGAGGTTAATATATATATACTTTGAACTGAACAGATTTTAAGTTTGCAAAGTTATCTGAAAAGTTACATTTGTTTTATATACATACATTTTGGAAACTATTCTGATTGTATTGCCCACCTTTTGTGGGGAGCAAGGAGAGAAGTTTTGGATTTTGAAAACTATTTCTTTTGAAAGAAGTAGCCTTTCCGGTTGGTCTTCACCTGTTCCCCTTCAGGCATAGTGACACACAGATGTTCAGTGGGAAGCATCTCATTCCATGTGTACCACCATCGATACTTCTCCCGTCCTGTTGTGACTGTGGAGAAATGTTCTGGACCAGCCAATTTCTGCTGTGCATTCACTACAAGCATTTTCTCTTGCAGCTTGCAGAATGTGGTCCCGCTCAGTGAGGGAGAAGTAGATGTGTCCCAGGACCCTGAGACCCAGCTACAAGAACAGGAGAAACGGATAGAAATCTCCTGTGCTTTGGCTGCAGAAGCCTCCCGCCGAGGCCGCATGCTCTCTGGTAAGGTGCAAACTCATACAATGTTGCAAGAAAGCTTATGTAATAGAGTCCGCGCAAGCACGAAGATTCCCAGCAGTGAGTTTTCCTGACCAAACTCTGTTCTGTCTTAATTTAAATCATATAGTTATAAATGTGTTAGAGCTAACTATAAAATTCCCTTGCACAATCAAGAAAGAAGCCAGACAGATTCAGCAACTGGCTGCTATGAATTTATGTTACTTTTAAATTCGATTAGTGAGTTATAAAGGCCAGAGAGTTGTCTTGGAGAGCTAAAGCACGGACTGTTGTACTGCTTCCTTGGGTTTACTTGGGTACCAAAGTGTCATGGGAACACGTGTGGCTTGATGCTGCCAAGTGCTAAAGAAGGTCACACAATAATTTCATTGGTCTGACCTGTCAAATTGTGTAGTATTTTGAACTGTACTATTATCTCTTATAATTTGTAGTCCTTAAGGAGCTGTCAGTTAGTTGGCAACCACCCTTTTTTCTCCAATTTTGATATGTAGCAACATTATTTCTACAGAACTGAATATACCTAAGATGACTAACATTTTCCTTTTATATGTTTTGGACTTTGATACCAAGAAAGTCCTGCCAGCATGTCCAAAACATGGGATTTGTAGTCCAAAACATCTGGAGAGCAAACATTCCTTCCTACCATTCTATAAGTTGTATAATCATAGGATCATAGTCAGGAGAAACCACACAGGGCATACAGTTCAAGATGTTTTGCCATTTTAGGAACTATTTTAATAGCTATCCTTTAAAAAACACATTTGAGAGTCTGCAGGGACCTGCCAGATGTGGTACAATGCCTTCTAACAAAGCAGTCCATTTCTTGAGCCAGAAATACCAATCACGTCAAAGTGTGCTACCTATTTGGAGAGATAGGGGATGATCCAGCATACTTTGAGCAGAGGAAGCAAAAGCTGAAGGCTGAAGGAGGTTCATACCTGCTACCACCATATTCATGGCAGCATTGTCCTCAAGAGCAGAGAACTATTTTCTCATGTCGCATATATCTGCTGCTGTAATCATGTCCCCCTTAGGGAGAAAAAAAAGACTGTATTGGTGTATCTTAAGGTATGGAGGATTTGTTCTGTAAGTACTGTTAGAGAACTGGGCGTATTAAATGTAGTCTTTCCAACAAAACTGCCCATATGTTCTGGACTACAACTCCCATAAGCCCTTACCATTGGCCATGCTGGCCAAGGCTGATTGGATTTGTAGTCCAAAATCTCTGGAAAGCACCATGGTCAAGAAGTCTAGTTTAGTGCATCCATTGGGAGGTTCCATTGACATCTATCTAAAAAGACTACTAGAGGCTTTGCACTTATGATTTTATTAAATCACTCTTGCTTCATTAAAATCATAACTGCAAAGTCTATAGTAGTTGTAGATTTTATTAAAGCACTTTTGCTCTTAGCAGTTTCCCTCAGATTCTTCTGCAGTGAGAAGGCAGTTTCTTATTCCCAGGCAGTTGCTATTGATGTTACTTGAAAGTAAATGATGGTCCATAAATAGATGACATTTCCAAGGTTTAAGGGTTTCTCAATAGATAAAAACCCGAGGAAGAGGGAATATGACTGAGCTGTATAACGTTATGCAAGGTGCTCAAACAATGGTTAGAGAGAAAGTGTTTGTTTTATCCTCTCTCTTATAATAGAGCTTCAGAACATACAGCAAAGCTGAATGCTGGGAAATTCAAAACAGATCAAAGAACACACTTCTTTTGTGTAAAATAAGAACATAGGAAAAGCAGATCCAACACTGCCCTTTCATGACTGTCCCTGCCTCACAGCCTGGGCTGTGCAGAAGACTGGAGGAGATTATTATTCAAGCCACGTCTGGTGTTTGAATCTGTGATGAATAGCTGCACAAATGAGGGTTGCTCTGAAGATGTTCTAGTTCCCATGAATATTAATGATGAATGCTGCAGAGGGATGGAGCACACAACTATCCAGCCTTCCTTTTGTTGCATGGCAAAGGACAGGCTAGGGGATCTGTCTTCCCACAGGGCCAAAGCTGTGCTGCTCTTCTCCCGACCTTGCACCATGATTTTCCCTGCAGAGTGTCAGTGGGATGTGGAGGAGCCATTTTGCACTGCTCTGTGATTTCTGATCACGCTTCTCTTCCCCTTTCTTCTAATCCCCGTTGGCTTGATGAAATTTGCCTCCCTTGCCTTGGTTTTTGTCCCCTTTTCTTCTGCCTTTCTGGCTGAAGCATCATATGTTCTTCAGGCCCTGTCTCCATTTCTTGTTTCCAGCTCAATGTGCCACCCCGAGCCCTCCCACTTCCCCAGCCTCCCCGACTCCACCGACCAAGTCACTCTCGTCTGACTCATCCCAGGGCACCGACAGCCATTTTATGCGTGTCTGAGCCATAAAGTAAGCACATTTTCTATTATATTTCATCTCATTCTCTGTATACCTCAGCCTCTTGGAAAAAAGGAGTGGTAAGCTTCTTTTTCAAGAGTTTCCTCTTTCCACCAACCCATCCTTCCATTGATACCCACTAAGCTAACCCTTTTTGCCTCATAAGCACAGCTTTCCTTCCACAGAGTAAGTCCAACATGCCTCAGCAGTGAATCAAGGTGCCACAGAGTCCTTGGGGAAAAATGGCCTCTATTAATCCATTGTAATTCACCTATGAAAATAAATACCAACAGGAGGAAGGAGCATCCTAAAATATGTCCATTGCCATGCCTCAGAAACAGGGGTGGCAGGTGTCAGGAGAGATGTGGCCATTTTTGACTCCTTCAAGAGGTACCAGCATACTCACAGGAGACTGGAAATAACATTTGAGGCCACTGGAACTCACTTCTGAACTCATTTGGATAGGCTCTATTACTGTTTCCACCATTTTTAAAGTCCTAGCAAGCATAGTGAAGGGTTAACACTCCTGTGGTGTTTGCTGTCTGGACCCCTGTTCAGAAGATTTCACCTTACTTTCTGTCCCTGTGAGAATTGGATTTTGAAAAATTTGGCTTGTTGTGGAAACAAGGATTTGGTGATAAAACTTCAATTATGGCACCTTTTCCCCGTGATAACTTTTTCAGGAGTGAATTTCCCTTCCGAGGGGTAGATTTCTTTAACTTCTTATTGTCTCACCCCCATTCTTAACTACAAATCATTCGTAAGTTGAATGTTTGTAATTCAGGGACTGCCTGTATATAATTGTAAACTATGTTTCCCTAGCATTGAAAACCCCATGGGCCACTTAAAATGGGGTGGTGGACTAGATTCATCATGTAGGCCTTATGTTTGAAATGTGTGCCATAAAGGATCCCACAAGGACTGTATGTGATCTACAAAATGCATAGATCTCATGCCTGTCTTAAAGTTTAATATATGAAGAGAAAAATGCTGTTTCATATCTTATTTCAGCTGTCTATAGATAACTTAGGTGTGAAATGTTGGTTTGCTACAAGATAGGCTTTGATATTGTATAATGGGCCCTGCTCTTCATGGAGGTTAAAGGTGCAGAACATTCATGAAACTGGCAAAACTGAAGTTTCTTTTTACCTAAGATAACACCCCTATATGAATATCTAGGCCCTCCAGCACAAATCTGTGGACAACATCTCCTGGAAGTGTTGATCATAGCTTTATGATGGAGGGCCTAAAATGCTTAGAGAAGTTATCTCTCTGGAAATCTCTCCAGTACAATCTGATGATCAGCATATAGTGGAAATTGATGGTTGTGCTGTAGAAGGTAGAGATTCCTAGAGAGAACATATTGGTTAAATATGTATGTGATCAGATCTGCAAAAGTCAAAACCATAAATCTGAAGGGCTGACAGTATTTTTTTCACTCCATAGCCTCCCAAGCTTCCTTTTGATGTTCTAAATAAGATGCCCCTGGCACAGATCTTTGTAGTGAATATCTTTAAGCCTTAAATATTAAGTCTTTGAGAAATTACTTTGCATGTAAATTTAAGGGAAAAGGTTTGCATAAAGTCTCTCTTTGTTGCCTGTTTTCTGCCCACAGACCTTCCCAGGAATTACACAGACTGCAAAAAATTGAAAGTATTCCATTAAAACAACTTGGGGAAACACACACACACAGAGCTGCACTTTGCCTTTCACCTTCCAACCCACTATGTAGGCAGAGTCACACTGTGCCATCATAACAGTTTGTAGCCACTGTAATCATCATTCTCCCATCCTATTGAATACTGAAATGTGTAATTTAGTGAAGCGGGTTACATTTCCTTGCACTATTGAACTGGAGCCCTCTAGCAAAGAATTATGAGTCCCTCATGAAACCCCAAGTCCAAAGACTCTGTAGGATCAACTCATAGCACATAATGTGGCATAAAAGTGCTACAGTATGTGCTATGGGTTGATCCTACAGAATATTGTGGATGCTTTCCTAAGTTTGCAGGTCTGATGTTCTTTGTGACAGTCCTGCCACTCTATGCTCCAGCTTACTGACTCTTCTGCCTTCCTTCTACCTTCCAGCACAGGCCCTGGCTGCTGTGAATGCTGTGAAGTCCCGTGGAGCCACATTTTAACACATGAGTCGAATCTGCACCTGACACAACCACTTGATGCACGCCATTGTTATGGTCCTGACAGAACATCCTCTCCTTCTGTTGAGCTTCAAAAACATTTGGGAAGGAAAAGCTGCCTCTCTGAGAAGAAAGGAGAGTGTAACTTTTACCCCATGTTTCCTGTTGCTATGGCCCATATCAGCAAGTTGTCTGGACAAGCCTTTTAAAAAAAATAAGTCACCAGTGCAGCTTGCTGAAGCTGTTCCATTGTGCAAGGCCAGGTCCTCTGCACTGGCACAGAAATCTCCAAGCAAAAGGCCGAGTAGCTAAGTATCGGCAGTTCCCCCAGTTGCTTGGCAAAGAGACATCTTGGTATGGAAATGGGGAGGGGGTGAAGTTTCCTGCACTAATGTAGCTGGCTCCTGAGTCTCTGTCTTGTTCTACCAGTATTTGTGCAGGAAGGCGGGAGATTTGAATGACTTGTCATTGCAGCCAGGGACTTCCTCACCCTCTACTAAAGGAAGCATAATATTTCCCCTCCTCACACTGCACATGACCCCTTTAGTGTCCTTTTATTGGCCAGAATGGCTTTTATATCCTTACTCTCTGGAGCTAAGTAAGCCTATGCATGGCCGCTCTGCATATGCTCATTCATAGGAGAAAAAAGGAAGTGAGAGAGCAGGAAGAAGCACAACGGGGTGGAGAACTTTGTAGACATGGCTAGTGAAGGAAAAAGAAGGCTTCCATTGAAGAAGGATGAGAAACAAACCGACAACGAAGTGGAAGAGGCTTTGAATTTATTAGTCTGAGGGGAGGTTGATGTGACTATAGTATGCTATGCTGTTATTTGCTTCTTCTCCCTAGTTTGAGGGCTGGAACAGAAAGTGTGGACAGTGTACATGGCCAAGTTGCAGATGTGTAGGATGAAGGATGTAATATGGAAATAAGGGGATGGAAATGTTCAGTTGTCTGGGACTCGCCTCTAGGCAAAAGCTTGGATGCATTCTGTGACCCTGTTAGGTTTGTTTGCCTATAGATACACAGGGTGTCAGGGACTGCTAAGGTCACATTCTTTTTACATTAGAGTGAGTTCACAATGGTGCCATTGAGCAAAATCCTTTTCATGAGTTCTCCATAGATCTGAGTAGTGGTGCACTGGTTAGATTACTTTGCTACTCTTAGTTCCCAGTGATGAAAATGCAAGACCGGGACTAAATGGGATATGATCTGAGTTGATCCTAGATAGGCTGTTCCACAACATATGAAGGAAGCTTCTCCTGGGGTGCAACTACACTGAAGGCATAATGCAGTCTGACACCGCTTTAAAAGTGTCTGGCGTAATGCTACACAATCATGAGAAGTCTTTAAGCCTTCTCTGCCAAAGAGAGCTGATGTCTCATAGAACTAGAAGTCCCAAGATTCCATAGCATTGAGCCATGGCAGTTTAAGTGGTATCAAATTTCATTAATTCTACAGTGTAGATGCGCTACTGATTAATATGGAAATGATAAAATGAGACCTCTTCAAACTTTGCAATTTGTTACATCTTTCCTTGTTAAGTTAGCCAGCAGGGCAGTTTACTGTCAATGGTGTGGCAGATGTTTTCTCCCACTCTTTATAAAATGCAGACATGCATGCATCACATCTCCTCTCCAAGGCTACATGATAATTACCGATGTGTCATTTGAGATGAATTGAGCTCCTGTGTCAAGAATATAGGGCAATTGTTGCACCAGCTCCTATTTCAAATGAGACGGATCCTTCCAGATGAGTCCATGTTGTTTTCTTAAAGAATTAATTCAAAGGGGAAATAGACTAGAGGGGCAGGCAGAGAGAAAAACTGTTGTGTATGAGGGAAAATATCAAAATACTGTATTCTTTTTCAAGTAAATCCCAAAAGAGCCACTGCTCTTCATTTATTCACATGGCTATTGCTCATTTGTCTCAAACATACTGAGGCAGGGGTCTAATAGAGAGATTTTTTTTTCAGCACTGTAGTGGCTCATATAAAGGAGCCTAGGGGTTGGCTACATTACTTTTTTTTATTACCCTTCCCCAAAATCTCCGGAGTGATCATGCTGGTTGGAAGGTTCTGGGAGTTGTAGTCCAAAACATTAACCTATCCGAGCTCTAGTAAGGCTCATTTGGATGCCATTTAGGAAAGACAAAGTTGGTCAATGTCTTTGTTCTTGGGGACAATTCTGCTTTCCAAGCAATTATGCATGTAGAATTATGGAATCATAGAGTTGGAAGAGACCACATGGGCTATCCATTCCAACCCCCTGCCAGGCAGGAAAAGCATAACCCAAGCACCCCCAACAGATGGCCATCCAGCCTCAGTTTAAAGCCTTCAAAGAAGGAGTCCCCACCACACTGTGAGGTAGCGAGTTCTATTATTGAACAGCTATTACAGTCATGAAGTTCTTCCTAAGATTCAGTTGGAATCTATTTTCCTGTAATTTGAACTCATTGCTCCGAGTCCTCCAGTGCAGCAGAAAACAAGTCTGTTGTGGAAGTATGCTTTGTCACATTACCTCCTTTTTACAAAAGCCAGGCATTAGACATCACCTCACAATCCATAGAATAACATTGAGACATAAACAGTGCATTGTATTCAAAACCCAGAGAAAGGGGAGCATTAAATTGCAGGTCTCCCTCATACACAACATTTGAAAACAATTGTCCTCCTAAGCAGACCTATGGGTCGGATTTTTATCTTAGTAAAATATAGAAAGGCTATCATGAGAAGCTGCTTTAGAGAGCGCCAGTTGGTCATTCATTGTAAGGGACTGGATTAGATATAGTTTTTGTTCAAAAGGATCCCTTCATTTTGTTTAAAATTACAATGTTCTGGAAATAGGTAAGATAGGTTGTTTTTTTACAGGTTAGAAGAATATAGAAATGTGAATGCCTTTCTTTTCTTTCTCTTGAGCTGGATTTCCAGAAAAGATCAGGGCAAGGCATTCAAATATGTCAGCAATCAAACTCACTGGATTTGTCACAGAAACACAATGGAAGATGGCAGGGTTTGTCACTGTAGACTGTGATTTGGCTTCTAAATGACAATGTAGTTCTTCTGAGTTGCTGATACACTCACCCCACACCAAAGTCAGCAGTTGCATCCTAGGCTTTGTTTCAACATATACATGTCCATAAAGGTATACATGAATGTTACTTAAAGCTATGTCATAATTTAATATAATTGTTTGGAGTAATATTGCCTCCACTGCTTAAAACCTTCAGATATAAAGCCACATACTCAACTTGATTGAGCTTGAGTCTGTGATGTGTTTGTGCTGCCAAGCTAGCAGTGGTGGGGGAAGAAAGAGCCGTCTCATTTTAAAATATTGTAGATATTTTTGTGGTTTGTTTAGCAGTTTTAAGGACAGAATCCAGTTGGTGTTTTAAAGACACATAATGGAATCAACTCATTTGAAATATGCCATGGAAAAGAGTTCTATGGATATCATGGACTGCTAAAATGTCAAATAAATGGACCTAAGAACCAGCCAAACTTGAACTATCCCCAGAAGCCAAAATTATACATTGATGTTCTCTATCATATTTTGGCCATATCTTAAGATGGGATAATTCACTAGAAAAGATAATGCTTGGTAAAGTCAAATGTATTAGGGAAAGAGAAAGATCAAGTTTCAGATGAATAGATTCAATCAGGGAAGCAACAGATCTGAAGGCTGTTGAAAGTGTCTCATTTCATAGGGTCACTATAAGTCAAAGTTGACTTGAAGGTAGTTAACCAAAAAAGGGAAACTGTTGGACATTTTTGTCCAGTGCAGTGTCCACATTCCATTCAAAGACACTGAAGAAGAGCTGCACATGGTATTGTTATGCCTGTGAAAGATGCATATCCAACAGTGTCTGTTGAAAAATGGTAGTAGTATTCCTTTGGTTGCATGTCTGGTTGTGTGTGCCATTGTCCATTGGGTTTTGAAACACTGCAATTCAGTATAAGGGTTGTATAGCACAATGTGTGTGTAACCCTGGAATAGGCAAAGTGTTGACTTCCTACATACTTATTTCTAAGTGAACCTGTGGCTCCTATTCCCTTCCAGAGCTTTGTGGTGATGAGAGATAGGCAATGACTAGCAATTTTTTGCAAGGGGGTGGTGGCATTGCAATTCATCATCTGAAAGTAAGTTACTCACTGGATTACTTCCCCAGTGTAGACATGACTGGAGCAGTTCCACATTTCAAGTTCTGCCATCATGTGGTGTAGCTTTGTCCTAAGATATTGATGTTCTGCTCACCAAAGAGAAAAAGACTAGATTCCCTCCCACTTTCCAAAGGGGAAAAAGAAAGAAATATCAGTCTTCACATAGAGTTAGTTTATTTTACTCTCTTCACTTCCTGACAAAGCTATCGTGTGTGTGTGTGTGTGTGTGTGTGTGTGTGTGTGTGTGTGTGTCTATGGAAGGAGACATGAGCTTGACTTTTCAGTGTTTGCAGGCCAGGCAGCAGCTGTGTTGACCTCAGTGATCCTTCCTTCTAGTTCATGCATGAGAGATTGTAGAACTGTTGGGAAGAATGACCATAAAACTCACAGAAGACCCGACCTATGTCCATTTAACTTAGACTAAGTCATACTAAAATCAGTGAGTATTCCTTCTGTGGATAGATTTGCATCTTTCTACGGAATTGGGTCCTTTGTCCAAAGGAAGACTAATTTCTGTGGACACATTCCTGGGATTGTGTTGTTAATGGTAACAGGTTTTGTTTCCTGGAAATTAAGTTTGACACTAAAGTAGCAAAAGCTAAGATGGTATGCCTTGTCACATTCGCGGATCTGCCTCAGTAGATTTGAAGTGGAAGCATAGGGTCTGAGCGTTTAACAGTATCTTTCTCACATAATACAGTGGAGAACACTTGGCAAGGATGCCTTTTATCAGAAATATTTCAGTGCCTGCTTTTGTCAGGTTCTATTTCCTGCACATTCATTTTAGCACCAAAGTAGCAATGGAGCGAGGTCCCATCTCATCACTTACAAGACTCCACCTCAGTAGATAACTGGTAAAAATTAGGTTCTCAACATATAGCAAGACCTTTCCTACATACCATAGTGAAGAACAGATGACAGACTGCCTTTAAATCAGATTTTACGCCACCTCCCTATTCAAGAAATAGTACAGATCCTTTTTAATTTATTTTTGAAACAATCTTGCTGGCAATATATAGAACACTCCAGGGCATCATAGTTTTAGATCCTTTCCTTCTCCTTCAGCAATACATTTGACATTCCAGGATAATAATAATAACAATAATACAGTTCTTGGTTCTGCTCTTGTAGTAGCACCTGCTAGCTCATAAAACTGTCCCTTCATGATCCTCTACATGCCTTAATATATGTTTTATGGAAATTATACAGTGATATATGTGTATGTGTATATATAAATATATATGTTTTTTCTCTTCATCGTACTGTTTTGTTTTGTGCTAACTTTCTCTCTCAGTACGCAAGGCCACTGAAGTCAGGCGTGTCACTGAGTTACTGAAGTGGAAGACACTATGGGCAGTTTATCAGAATAATAAATAAAAATAAATAAAAGAAGACATATTTAAAGATATATATATATATTTTCTGGTTTTATCAAAGCAAATTTATTTAAAATGAATAAAAGCTGTCAGTTTAAGAGGAATGATGCATTTATTTCCTTGTTGTTTGGTACGGTAGTGCTTTGTATTTCAGGTCTCAAGCTTCTGCCGAAGGTGCTTAATACTGAAACTAGCAAAGCTGAACCAATTTACATCTGTAGAGAGTATAACCTGGAAGGAATATAATAGGAAGACGTGTGGGACCGTAGCATATCAGGGACCGCAAAGATTGTCTTGCTGGTACACAGCTATCCCTTTGGGATCCTTGCAATATATTTGGCATTTTCCTGTCAGTGCCAGTTTCCTTTCTTTTCTTTTTTTACCTCCCATTTGTTCACATGAATGTTTTTTTGGTGTAGCTTTCAGAGAGAGGTCACTGCAAAGTGGTTACTTTGCCTCTCTCCAACATCCTCACTATCCCAGTGGCTCTCCTTATTTCTACCCACCATATTTTGTTAGGGAACAATACAACCTTCCAATGATACTTCTCCCCCCCCCCCCCAAATGAAAGCATTCTGGCCATTTTCTAAATGGTGATGGCTGAATTAGATGGGGGACATAAGAGCTAAAGGGAGTTCCTGAAGGAGTGTCTGCTTTGGACTGACCCTCCCAGAAGTCAGAGAGAGCCTCTGTATTCTACCTCCTCTGAGGATTTGATGTGTAATGGTCCTATATGTTTAAGAGATATGGAGGACAAACAACCTTGGGGAGAAATAGTGTCTTGAGAAAACCCTTCTACAGTTATTGAAGTTACAGGGCTGTCATGAGGTATGTAACATTTTTTGGAACTTTTGCATTTTGTCTGCCAAGACAGTGCTCATTCCCCTACTCCTGTGGCATGCCCCAGTAATATGAGCACCTATTCGCAATTAAGGAAGGATTTGGGTGTTTTTTTAAAGGGCATTAATAACATAAGGAATGTTCTCCATCTCCTCTCACTAGTCGTCTCAATTAGTTACTAGGTAGAATTTGTCACCAACTTATTGCTATTGTCACTTTAAGCATTTGGAGGTTACAAGCTGTGAGTTCTCAGCAGAGTGCATTTAAGACCACCATTTTACAGTATTGTGGAAGATGTTTATAATCTGTTTTATTTTAAGTACTGTTGTTTTCCCTTCTAATTACGCGTTCCTATGCCAGCAGCACCTGTAACCAAGAAAAAAAGGCATTATTTATGCACATTATTTGCAGCAACATTTTGCTAGTGTTAGACAGGTTTTAAGGAAATGATCAAAGCAGCAATGTGATGTTGTCTTTTGTTTGTATAAAAGTGACCTTAGATTATGACAATTCAAAAGAAAATTAGCAGTCTGTGCTTAAAAATAATATGTCAGTGGCTTGGAGTTCTTCACACCAAACCAAGGGATAATCTTTCCAGTAATTAAACCTGCGGTGGCTTGCTTACTATTCCTTCCCAGCAGCGTATGTTCTAGATGTAGCTACTTCAAAAGGTCAAAATCTCACACAAGGAAAACAAAAATAAAAATGCATTTGTACCTTGCAAGTTTGTATAAAGCAAATAAATAAAAAGTGATGGTTTGTAAACAAATTGTGTGTGTCCCTCATTTTTCTCATGGTCTCTTTTTAAGGCTTGGAAAAGTCAAGAAGTTGATGAAAAATATTGTTAGTCTACATCAAAAGAAGGGTTGAAAAGTTGCACCAAAGATCTTTTTGGAAGGGGAAGGACTATATCTCACTTCTCTCTGAAATGATTACACTTTAGGGAATTGAGATTATTTCCTCAGAAACAGATCAGCAGTGATCTTCTAGTACACCATGAATACAGTGTGTTGATATTCAGCGTCTACTACATCTAAATATGCTTGGGAAGGAGTAGACAGTGGTGGTTATGATGTTATAGTCCAGTGCTGCAACATCAAAACATAAAGAGATGGGCACTATTTCTTAGCTATACAGTATCCAAGGTTAGGATGGATCCAGAGTAGTTAGCCTGAGAGGGGAGGGGCTCTAGCTCACAGAAAATACTGGAACCAATACTGGAGTCTCCTAACTAGAGTAGAGGAGTTGATGTTATTGTGGAGTCCTCATAGTGAAGCTAGGTTTTTCTCCCACAAACAAAGGAAATTAACAGTGTTTTTTCTTTCCGGAGGAGGAGGAGACAACAGAGACAACTCAGAGGCAAAGAGAAAGGAAGAGCGGTGGAGGCAAGCACTGAGGAATTACGTCTTTTCCCGAGAAATAGGACTGCAACCTACCATCACACTGAAGGAAGCTGGGGAAATCAGGATGAATCCACTTAGCCGCATGCTCTGAGAGAAAGGTGTCCTTTTGCAAACCCTGATGACCTCATCAAATTGAGAGGGGATAGCATGGGTGTCCATCCCTTTAAGAGTAGAGAATCGCCCTCTTATATCATCAGCAGTCCCGTTTCATGTTCTGCCTCCCCCATCACACTCCCACATGGAAACTGAGAACTGGAAATACATTCATCTTACATTCATCACAAAGTCAATGTTTTTTTTAAAAACAACAACATTCAAAATCCCAGAGATCCCGTGCCCTGCCGAAAGCCCCTTAGATTAATGGAGTCTGGCACCAGTTTAAAACCTCACCTTCCTATGGGAAAATAGTTTTGCCAAACCACAGAGTATACAGGAGACAGCGATCCAGGTTTAAATCATTACTTTCCATGGGATCCTATTGATCTGCATCAACCCCATAGGATACAAGAGACTGCTGATGGTTGGGCAATGAAACAGGATGGGAAACTTTGATGGTTCCCATCACACCTGTTTTTCAGTTGTAAAGATGTAAGTAAAGTATGATAAGAGGTAAGCTCTCTCAACATGATTGCTGGCCCATATTCAGAGCTCCCTCCTTTCAGGACATTCCAAGGGAGAAGTGGCTTGAAGAGGAAGAGAACACTCAAGCACATCAGAAGAGATGAGATGAAACTGTTTCTCAATGGATGATGTCTGCACTGTTCTCCCATCTCCAGAACTGCCCTATGGCTTATGTCTGTTCTTTTCTCTCTGGTGAGGAATAACATGGATGCTGCTCAGGCACCTCCATCCTCTACTAGGCACTAAATGGCCATGAAGATGCCTGCTGGGATTGATAACCTGCCTTGAGCAGGATATGAAAGATAAGTTCCCTGGAAGTATGCTCACAGAGCAATAGGACCACAGCCACTATGCGAATGAATAAATACATAAATTCCTGCCAAACAACAGCATCTACTGGAAAGAACATTAATATGATGTGAAAGAGATGTCTAAAAAAACTGAAGTCCCTATCCCAATGAAATCACTATGCTGTCCAAAGTGAGCAGATATTTGGAGTAGTATAGGAACCTCTACATTGTAAACTTCCATTCTCTTCCGCCTGTGGTAGTGGTTCCCAACCTGTGGTCCGTGGACCTCTAATGGTCTGAAAGAACTAAAATATGGTCTGTGGCCTCACTGTTATGACACTGTTGTAACAGTGACTGTTACAAACCCTCTTATAGTGCCGAAGCTTATTAAATATGATTTTCTGTGGGTGAGCAGATGGCAACTACTGGGTGGCATATGTTCTGTATCAGAAACTAGAGCTGATGTGGTCTAACCAATGCAATTTTCTGAATCAGCACCCCAAATAACCAATTCAAATCTAAAGTTGACCAAAAACTGATTTGTAACCCTTTTGGTACTAATGTTGGAGAGTGGTCCCTGGTAAAAGTGGTCCCTGGTCAAGTGGTCCCAGGTCAAAAATAGGTTGGAAACCACTTTCCTGTGGTGACTTACATCTCCATCTCTCTCATGTGTATACATATATGCATGGGGACAGTTTCATTCACAATAAATACCATTGTATTCAATCAAGGGACATCGTTGAGCCATTGCTAAAAATATACCAAGACATTGCCCTTCATGTCCAGGGCCATGAGACTCAGGTGTTATATTAGCTTGAATGTTGAATCAATCATCTTGATTATTGGTTACAAGTTTGGATTACACCACAACACAACACATGGAAGAATTATACTGTACATACAATTATTACAGGCTTTTATTTGCAAAAAAAAATCATAATAAGCTTCAGGTATCAAAGGTATTGAATGATGCACTCATTGGAAATGAGTTTGCTATCTGTGGTCCTCAGCTATTTGTATGGCACTCGTAAGAAATGTCTATTTCTTGTGCTTTATAAGAACTGTGTTCTGTAACTCAGGCATGGCTAATCCAGATGTCCCTAGCCACTTAATTATCTCTTACAATAGCTTTTCTCTGTCAGTTGTTTGCATGAAAGCAATATCAGTGTTTTGCAAGACTATACTGTGCCTTAAAAGATCACATGTATGTTTGTGTGTGCATGAGAGAGAAAGAGAGAGAAAAATAAAACTGGCACACATATATATGCTCAAGTTTAGAAATAATGGCTATAATTGAAACAGAGATACAATACATGCTCAATTGCCCATTGCTAATTACTGATAGGTAGCTCTCTGTGTTTCCTACTATTTTTTATCATTCACTGTGGTTTAGATTTCAAACAGTGGGCTGGTCTTTTTCAGAAAACAGACAATTCTGTGTAAAATAGGATACACATTTATCCTGTATGCCTCCAAATTGCCAGCACAAAAAGCAATAAGGAAAAATGCTCTCACAGAAGAGAACAAAGAGCCTCTGCTGGCAACAGGGAAGCACATTTCCTATTGTAAGTTGCATAGATGGTCACATAAATAAAGCCATTCTCCAACACTGAAGAAAGTTTTGTTCATGTCAGAGTGTTATTTTCGCCTTACCAGATATTGGTTAGAACTACCTTTTGCAGGTTGAGGAGAAGAGAAATGTAGTGACAGAGCCCCTCTTGGATACTCCATAGTGGCACCTTCAGGGCGATCTTCACTACAGACAGGTTAATAATTTCCAGGGTGACGCAAAAAGGGCTAAAGGCCTTTCCAAGGTTCACCAGCCGGGAAATATGTGGAAGTGTCTGCCTTTGACTCAACTCTCAATGTTGTGACATTTATACTTAGGAACAGCTACTTGGACAGGAACATCCCTTTCTGGGCCTGCTGTGGTGAAGATAATGGAAATAACAGAGATCCAAAGTGAGTATGATCATGTACTTCAACCTGTGGAGAAGGGATCATACATTCCTATAACAGTCATGTTAACTTAGAAAGTGTAGTCAGGATCCATTTGTTTTTTCTTTGTTGGCCCAGCTCTTCTAGGTTATGACACCATGACCTCTAGTTCAGAGCCTGGAAAAGTTATCTCATATAACATTCAGCATGGTCCAGCTGGTAAAGCTAGTGGGATCACTGGGTCATTTTGGGAGTTATAGAAAAACACTCAGTTTTCTAAGCTTTGATGAAGAAGTCATGTGGGGTTACATTTAAAGTAACAATTGCATGTTCTGCTCTAGACCAAAAGTCTTACCTTGGCAATAGCCTTACTGGGATTTTTGTTTTCCTGAAGATTAGAGAATTTGCCCTTGGAGCGGAAAATTGACTAACCTCTTTGCCTTTGTCCACAGCAAATGAGAATTACTGCTCCACCAGGCCAGCCCAAAGCCTCTGGATTTGGCAGAGATTACCTGTAGTTATCAAGGCCAGGGCTTGTTTCTGATATCCATATAATATTCCTCCTTACCCAGAATTTTTCTTGTGAGTTTTCAGCATTATCTGCAATTTTGTAAAAATCCCCTGCAGGGTATAGGAGTTTTTTGTTTTGTTATTGTTGTTGTTTTTGGTGAGTTTCCAATACAAGTCAGGGGGGAAAGATACACGTCTATATCCACAATATCAGTTCACCCATGTTGCAAAGGCCCAACTAATCATGTTTAGAATGGAGATGTGATATTTGCCATGGAACTTTTCCACTGACCACTATTCTTTAATTCAGTGGTTCTCAACCTGGGGTCCCCAGATGTTTTTGGCCTACAAGTCCCAGAAATCCTTGCCAGTTTACCAGCTGTTAGGATTTCTGGGAGTTGAAGGCCAAAAACATCTGGGGACCCCAGGTTGAGAACCACTGCTTTAATTACATTTATATATCAAGATTGAATTGTTCTTCTTTTTTCTTTCTTTTAGAGGTATAGAAATGATATAGTAATTTAGATGAGGATAATCTACTTGAAATGTAATCCATACAAGACAGCTGAAAGGAAGATCAGGGAACAAGGATTCAGTCAGTGATAGATGGGGCTATGCTCCTGCTGAAAAAAACAGGTCTGCAGCTTGGATGCACCCCAGGACTCAGCACTGAGCACACATTTTGGTGCTGGTTAGGAATATATTCACAGTTCAGTTATGCTTTGGGAGCCTTTTTTTTTTTTTTTTTTTTTGTCGTGTCAGGAGCAACCACTCCTGTTGTGAGAGAATTGGCCGTCTGCAAGGACATTGCCCAGGGGACGCCTGGATGATTTTTGATGTTTTATCATCCTTGTGGGAGGCTTCTCTCATGTCCCCGCATGAGGAGCTGGAGCTAATAGAGGGAGCTCATCCGCCTCTCCCCGGATTCGAACCTGCGACCTGTCGGTCTTCAGTCCTGCCAGCACAGTGCTTTAACCCACTGCACCACCGGGGGCTTGGGAGCCAATTGCACCAGTTCCTTGAAATGTCAGGTGTGAACATAGTGACAGATGGCTTGTTTGAATTACTGCAACTGTCTCCAAAGTAGCACACAGTTATGAAAACAATTAAATTATAATAACACAGCAAGAAACCTTTGAAAAAGAACACAGAAAAAGCAAAGGAGAAAGTAATATTAGGCCACATACAATTGGTTCAGGAAACACAGATTATCTCAAAATGAAGTTCTTCCCAAAAGCAGAAAGAGGAAAGTACTGCACTAGCTTTTCCTCCCATAGCCAGAGGCTTCTGGGAGCTGTAGTCAAAAAAGGCAACTTTTACAAGTTCTCCAATACTATGTCACTACGATCAGAATATATCCTTCAGTAAGTTATAAGCAAGACTCGTTTCTTCTGTCCATTCGAATTCCTATGACATTCATTGCAACCATTTTATGTCTTCCAGAGATTGGTGTCGGCCTTGTGGGCTTCGGAGCATTCTTCCTCCTTTTTGGAATGCTGCTTTACATGGATTCAGTGCTTCTGGCCTTTGGAAATGTATGTTTTTTCAAAAGCATCAGATATTTCCTACCAAAATAGTGATTTTTTAAAAAATTTTGGCCACATATAATTTTAATTCCCAAAGCTTTAAAAACCGTAATGATCTCTAGATCAGTAATTTCCAAACCCTGGTCCTCCATGTGTACTGGAATTCAGTTACCAGCTGCTTCAGCCACTTCAACATGGAGTTGACATTCAAAACACATGTAAGGCCAGATGCAATGAAACACCCCCTGAGAAGAGAACATGGAGCAGCACCGAGACCCTGCCAGATAGTATGGTCACTTAACTCTTCCCAATAAATTACTATATATTCATACAAATCATGTTACTTTAAAGCACTCTGACAATCCCTGAGAACAGTTTCCTTTCTTCTCCTTAGATTCTGTTCCTGTCTGGATTAGCTGTCATCATTGGACTAAGAAGAACGTTTGGTTTCTTCTTTCAGAAACCAAAGCTTAAAGGAACCAGTTTCTTTCTAGGAGGCATAATCATTGTCCTACTTAGGTGGCCAGTCCTTGGAATGCTGCTGGAGATCTATGGTTTCATCAATCTCTTCAGGTGATTAATCCAACTAAAGTAATGGAGCATTTATAAGAAACTGTGTGTGTGTGTGTGTGTGTGTTTATTTTATTTATACGCCCCCTTTCTCCCCATGGAAACTCATATAGCAAGGATGGGAGCTGTGAAACACATGGGCCACATGGGGTCTTTAGTGCTACCACCAGAACCCTCTTAAGTCCTAGAAGTCTCTCAAAAATGTATTCTAGCAAAAATGGGAAATCTTGCCTCCAGAAGCCTCTATATATTCCAGTTATGACTGAATGACAAGCAAAGTAGTGCATGTATATATATGAATGTGTGTGTGTGTGTGTATCTATATCTATATTTCAGTGCTAAAATTGCATTTGGGGAAAACATGAAGTCCCTTCTGGTTTCATCAAAATTGCTATGTGCTGTCAAGATTTCTCTGATTCATGGTGATGCTAAGGTGAACCTATCATGAGGTTTTCATGGCAAAAGTTCTTCGGGGGGGGGGGGGGTTGCTCTTGAGGTTGAGAGAAGTTACTTGTCCAAATCACCCAGTAGTTTTTAGTTGACTAAGAATTCGAACTGTGATTTCTCAGTATCCTAGGACAGCTTGGAAGATTTCAGGTGATAAAAAATGTGATGACTACAGCTCCTAGAATATCCACAGATATCCAGTTAACAGTGGCTTAAGATCAGGCTTGTACCATACTGCAATGTATAAGTCTCTGTCCCTCATTTGTGCTTATCCATATCCGACCAAGACTATGACTTAATAATAGCTGTTCAACCATGGTATATTTATTTATTTATTTATTTACTTTGCTTATATACCGCTGTTCTCAACCCAGGGGCGACTCACAGCGGTGTACAACATAGGAACAACAAAATTCAAGACATAGTATAAAAACAATTCTGGCCCCAGAGTTGGTGTTGGGGGAGGGGCGCTGATGTCACAGGGGACAAGATGGCAATGTCCTCCCGGCTCCCCTTCTTTATTCTGGCCCCAGAGTGGCCGTTGGTGTTGGGGGAGGGGCGCTGATATCACAGGGGACAAGATGGCAATGTCCTCCCGGCTCCCCTTCTTTATTCTGGCCCCAGAGTATGCTGCCTTGGAGTATGGAAGTTTTTAAACAGAGGTGAACGGTCATCTATCAGGAGTGATTTGATTCAGGCATGGAAGGGGTTGGACTAGATGGCCTTTGTAGTTATCTCCAATGTATATTTCTGTGATTCTAAGATTTCATACTGCCTGCCTATTAATCATAGTGAGGGGCCATTGTTGTACACTCCTGCATCTGAAAAGAGCTCTAAGGCTTGTGCATACATAGTCTATGACAACTCATGAGACTAGCTCCCAGTTGCAAATACTAAGATTTCTAAATGGTATTCATATCTCAATATAAAAGTTCTTCCTCTAGTGATTCATCAAAGGATAATTGATTATCTATACAACTCAAACCTGGATGGATGCCAACTAAGAATACTCTGGTTCACAGTTTAAGGACCAATTTCATTGACACATTTTGTCAGTCAGAATGCAGTTAACTTTCAGATGCAGAGCTTTGAAAATGATGGGTTTTTAATAGATGTAAACATGGTGCTTGGATTACAATAAGGAAACACTTTTCTCCCAGAGATTTTTATCTTGGTCTGTTCTGGTATTGGGGTTTCAACTGAAAGAAAAGTACATGAAGAATGGTTATTTCTTGAGACAAGTGATAAGCAGGAGAAAGAGTTAATCACCTTCTATGTTCAGATTTAATTTTAAAATAGCCATTGTGTGATTGACAGTTCACTATTTAAGTATACAGAATTGTTGTCATATCTAGTTTGGCTTTCAAGTTTATTGCTACATGCTAATTTTAGCAATTAACAAATTCTTCTTTGTCTTCAGGAGTTTTTTCCCAATTGCCTTTGGATTTCTTGGGGCATTGGTTAATATACCATTTCTGAACACGGTAAGGAGTCATATTCTCCTGTGGGAAAAACAAGCTTGGTGGTTTAACAAAAGAAGCAATTATGCCATAAAGGTAGACAGTTTGGAGGGTCTGTATTCCAGCTGTTTTCAACTAAGATTCTTGCTAAATAATCTGTTTCATTACCAGAGTTACTGTAATTCCTCTTTGTTTTAAATGCAAGTTGATGCATAATCCTACATTTCAGTACGAGTGATATCATGGTAAACTCTGAGGTACAGATGATCCCAGTGAAAGTGTTAACATGCAGAAGTGCCAATATAGTTCTACTTGTCCCATGAACCATAGTTTCTTTGCAATCTAAAACTGTTTTTCTCTGGATGACATGCTTTGAGTTGGTGCACTGCACAGTCAGGCTTATTGAACTGATGGAAATTGTATTGATTTAAGAGCAGATATATCACACTTTACAGTTGTGTAGCCTCATTTGTAAATGCAGAAGTAAATTCTAACATAGAACTAACTTTGTTCACAGTTCTTGCTTTTTATTTCAGTTATTACTGTGTCATTTTTATAAAAGACCAATTGGTAAAAATTGATATCTCGTTGCAGCTGTTCCAGAAATTTGGAGACACCAGTTCTTTGGTGTAGTCTGGATGAGACCTATCTCAGGGACAACTTCCTTTCTTACAAACAAGAACCACTTTCAAAAACAAACATGAACCTATTATCTTCACAAGGATATATAATTTAGGCTCTCAGTCCTATCTTTATATGAGGTGACCTCCTACAAGTATATACAAATCAGCTGAAAGAAATTACTTGGAGATGTTGGTTGTATTAGCATGGTGTAAAGGTTCTACAACCTTTTGCTAGTTTATCCACAGCTTAATGATCTCCTGCAGAGGATCTTACTGAGGATGTTAAATGGATGGATAACAGCGGAGTGAACCATGAACTCACTGAGCAAAACAATCAGTTAAAGTTAGTTCTCAGAAGGACACATCCAAGTGGGATTGTCACCTTGAAAAAATAAAATGTCCAGATTTTTTTCATAACCTCGTTGAGGTGGATAATTGGTGTCCCTCCAAGTGTTTTTGGACCAATCCCAACTTTTTACCTGGTCATATTGATTTAGGGTGCATCTACATTGTAAAATTAATGCAGTTCGACACCACTTTAATTGCCATGGCTCAATGCTATGGAATACTGGGAGTTGTAGTTTGATGAGTTTACTTGTTGTTTTAAAAAATGTGCAGGGGAGGCTAAAGGATGTGTTAAATTACACTTCCCAGAATTCCATAGCATTAAGTCAAGGCAATCAATGTAATGTCAAACTCATTAAATCTACAGTGAAAATGCTCCCAAAGTCTCTCTGAAAGTCAAAATCCATCAACTTCTGAAGGGCTTGGTGTATATACAGGTTTTGAGGGTTTTTTTTTCCTTTTGTATATGTGAGCAGGATGAATATCTCAAGGCATGTGTTGAAAAATGTGCTGTAGTATTTGAAGCACTACAAAAACCTGCAAAACCACATCAGCAGAAATAATAGTGAGAGAAGAACATACTTCAAGAACAGTAATGCCTTTAACTCTCTGAACTATCCAACAAAAGATATACTAAGATAAAGGCATAAGCAGATATAGGAAGAAAAATTGAAGTTGAGATGTACAGAAAATTTGAATTTGAAGAAACAGCTATGATTTTAAAGAACATGTATGGAATATATCTACCCTCAAATTCAGAAACAGGGTGTGGAGAATAAATATTAGAATATGTAAACAGTTATTCTGGATTACCTATTTATTTCAAGTTAAACACAAAACAATTAGAAGTGTCACAAAAGATTGGAGGTTGCTTGTTGTTTTAATGTACAAGCTATACAAAGCGGCTAATTAAAAGTCTGAGAACATTACGTAGCCACCTTGCAAATGTGTTTTCCCCCTATTTTTGCATTTAATAATACTTGTTTAATTATAAAATAAAACAAGTTATCAAAACTTCTTGTTGAATTGTGCATGTTTTTTTCTCCCAGAGGAAAACTGCAAATTCAGGGGAATTGGGAAATTACTAACTGCAGTTTCAGACAACTTTAATCATGGCATCATTTGTTCACTGTTTTTTAATGAATGGAAACAAACTGCTTATGTTCCTTTCCATTCATAAGCTTCCTTTTAGCTGCACAGTACCATTTAATGAAGAATTTCTATATTGGAAAATGCTGTGTAGATGTGAAAAAGGAGACAAATATTCAGTGTGAGTGTTTGTGTGTGTGTCAAAGAATCACCTTCAATTCTTTTAAATGTACAAATTGGACCAGCTAAGATGACCATTGCCATTAAAACACAGCCATTGACACAGATTCATCAGAGATCAAGTGAAAGAAAGAGAAAAATGGTTGTAACACCACTTTGGCACTTTGAGTACAACTCCTGAATAATAATAATAATAATAATAATAATAATAATAATAATAATAATAATAATATAACTCTGGAAATGGATGACAATCAGTTTCTGAAACATTGCATGAGATTATGATCAGCAACAAGTGAAGGAGGTGGGAAGTCAGATATTACAAAAAAGAGTTCAGTTGCAAACCTGGAATATGCACATAAAATCAAAACAAAAAGAACTCAAAAGTGCTGATATTTTCAGAAGCTTACTTCCTTTCTAGATAAGCCTACTGATATAATAGTCAAATCAAATGCCTTTTATAAATTGCTGTTGATGTACTACAATAAATTTAAATGTTATATCGGAGTCAATAAGGGTTATAGGACAAGACAGAACATGTGTGTTCCTTGTGTTCTCTGGCAATATTTTACAACACATAAAGAGGAAGGAATTTTGTGGTTGTTTTTAAAAGATCTGACATGAATCAGAGGTGTATATGAAACATAAACAAATTTCGTGTTTAAATTTGAATTTCACCTCCAAGATATCTCATTAGGTATATATAGAAAAATATAAGAACTAGGCATGTGTGATCCATGGTTCTAAATGGTTCTACAGTTTTGGTGGTGAAAATTCCAGAGTTCCAACAAAATTTTCAAAATTTCATTATAAATGTAATTTCCTAATTGGTTCGGTCAAAAAAACATAGCAAAAGTTTATCTCCTCATGTGAACATGTTGATGTGCACATGAACAGAGGGGATAAAATATAAACAAATAAGGCAAATTACCTTTTCCATCTTATATTCAGCAATGGCAAGATCCTCTCCCCCGTCCCTATCTTCCTTATCCATCAACCTGTACCAAACATCACATGAACTCTCTATTATTATTATTATTATTATTATTATTATTATTATTATTATTAAACTCTATAAAATGAAGGCAAATATACATGAACCATTAAACTCCAGTAACATCTCTTTAGCAACCCCAGATGCTCATTCCATGCCGTGTGTGAGAACCAGAGATGGGACATAATCTATGAGAAAAAGGATCTTCCTGGACCTCAGCAGGAGCCCATCTGCCTATTGCCCAGAATTTCCTCTTCAGAGATCTCAGCTATCTAGGACGAAACTTTGATTGCAATCCCATCAACAAGAGACATATTTGGGACTCTTTCTTTGTCTTCCCAGCATGGGAAGAGGTCTGGCACAACAATTCTCATTGTCCTCTTTGTATAATCCTGTCAAAACTTATTTTGGACTTTTCTTTGTCTCCAGCATTCCATTGCTACACACCCAGGGGTTGGCATGATCCCTGGAGACCTTACCACCCCAAGACCACCTCTGCCACTCCATTGGAAGCCCTGGGGCCTCGTTTCCCAGCTGGGAGGAGATCCCCTGCTATGTCATCACCGCCTCCTCCAATCATGGAGCCCATCGGTTAAGACCCACCTCCTGACCAATCAGAGGCCTGGGAGTGCTCGCTGGCTTCTTGGCTATGGCCAATCAGGAGAAAGGGAGGGAGTTTCAAAACATAGCAATGTTCATGCATGAGAATTCTTGTGTAAAGAATGTCTGCTTATAATTATACTTTTACACTTTTATACTTTTAATTATACTTTTACACCTTTTGACTATCTGTGCTGTACAAGTGTCCCTTTTTCACAAACTGAATAAAGTCTCTGTCATTTCCCTTCAACCTAGTGAGATTCCTGGTTCCTGACTCGAGACATCCGCAGTTAGCAAAGCTTGCCAGAAGTCCCTCAGTAACCATGGGACTCAGGCATGTAGCCGGGGGGGGTTCTGATGGTGGTCTGCGAGAAGGCCTTACTGGTGCATTATTTAAACTGTTATGTTTATTCATATCATGATCTGATCACCATACTCAATATATCCCATATGCATGGGGGTATTGGGGTAACGATACAAAAGGTTTGCTAGGATAGACCCTCTTTCACTCAGACTCAGCCCCCCCCCCCAATCAAAATCCTGGCTACGGGCCTGATGAGACTTATAAAAACTAAAAAATTTCTTGCATGTGAAATCCCTAGCCCCCTCTGCTCCAACTTGTTATTATCTCGAACAAACAAACAGCTTCTGCTATATCTAGTTTTGTCAGATTGCTCATTAGTTACAAGAGTTTGAAAGATATCACTGTGAGCAGTCAGAGCTGTGTCTGTATGGGAGAGACTAGGAAGCAAACAAATAGATACAGCCAAGAAAACAAGGAAAGCGGCCAGAGAGAATGTAGACAGCAATAAAAGAGAGGCAGAGAAAGATGTAGCAAACAGCTAAAGACTGCTGGATGTGGTATGCCACCATCCAAAGAATCAAGACCATTTTTGATGCTGTTTCTCATGGGAAAAAAACTTGGTAACAACGTAACAATCACGTGACTTGCCCCTGGTAACCCAGTAGGTTCGTACAGCTGAGTGGGAATTTTGTTCTCCAGAGTCCTGTCCAAAACTCAAATCATGACATCACTCATACTGGGTCCTCCCAAGTGGTCACATACAATTTAATCACTGAACTGTGTGATTCCCATCCTTGTTTCAATGCCTTCTGCAAAGCACTGCAAACCAGGAATAAAAATAATCCACAGATATAATTTTTCCCAATATGAGTGGTCTTTTTAAACCATTTTTCTGAGCTCTGATAACAGTTGTCAGGATTGTTCTTTTTTAAAAATTTATTTTCTGATGGTTTGGAGGATAATAAAATTCTAGAATATTGATGTGTTTAAATGTCTCAGTATTGACTTCTTTTTTGAGAAAAAAATGTCACAGTCTAAATATCATGATTATCTGTACCTCCTGCGCAAAAAAACCTTTGAATGAGGCAACTGATACCTAGAAACAATTTCTTTACAATTTTGAATTGATGAGAAAGCTGTTGCCTTTCTCTTGGTGGGATCATGCTCAGAACATAAACAAAGTCCACTAAGTGACCTGGAAGTGGATTTATAACTGTCATCTCCTCTCCTGGGTCTTTCTCGTGTTCCCTTTACAGCTACGCAATGCAAGCAGGAATTGCTGATTTCTTGCCCTCTGACTAAAACTGCTTGCCTGGAGGCCAGGAGACTGGGCAGTATGACGCAGTACAGAGCCTGAAAGGGTGGGAGTTTCTCAGTCTTCCTTGTGGGAAAAGGCAGGAGGCCACCCTCTTGTTTCTGAAACCAAGGTAGTTCATCAATGAAGCTCCAGGGCAAAGGCACCAAGGACTGGGATGGGAAAGGAAAATGGATAAAACTTGAATTCATCAAGAGTATGGGTAGGAAAGTTTATTGTAGACATATTTTAAAAGGATTCTAAGGAATCAAAACAAATATGGAGTGCATAAAATTATGTCTTTATTCTATAATCACCTTATTCTAATACACAGAATGTTATGGGATCCAGTTGTCAAGTTATTTCCAGCTTATGATGACCCTAAGTCAGTGGTTCTCAACCTGTGGGTCCCCAGATATTTTTGCCTTCAACTCCCAGAAATCCTAACAGCTGGTAAACTGGCTAGGATTTCTGGGGGTTGTAGGCCAAAACACCTGGGGACCCACAGGTTGAGAACCACTGCCTAAGGCAAACCTACCTTGGGGTTTTCTTAGCAAGATTTCTTAAAAGTGAACTTGCCATTAGTTTCCTCTGAGACTGGGAGAGGGCGGGTCCCACAGGTTCACCAAGGTGGTGGGTTTTCATGGCCAAAGTGGGAATCATGGTTTCCTCCATTATCAATAGAACACTGAAACCACTACACCATGGTAGCTCTATTTCCTCCACTTCATCTTCCATCTTTTCTTTTTTCTTTTTTGTATACATAAGTTGGTTAAAGACGGAAAGCCAAAATGGGAGCACAATTATTGATAGTATCACTAAGAGCTGGCTGTACCCTTGCACCTGAAAAGCCATGCCATTTCTTGACTTGGAGCAATTTATGCAACCAAAGTATGCTTGTGAAAATTAAGAGCTATATGTATCCATGATGTGATGGCTGATCTTGTAATTTATATAGACTGGGCACAACTAGCAACCAGTGGAAGGGTTAATTACAGGAGGAAGGGTTTATGTCCCATGCACAATGAGCCCAGTATGGATATGGGCACCGCATCCTTTATTCAGAACAAACAAGAAAGTAGTGCTTAGCCGCATGTGTGGTATGTAATGTAATAATCAGTTTAATTCTGCAGGTGAGGTGAGAAAAGATTAGAAATATTGGAAAATTACTGTAAATACAAAAAAAGATAGCACTATAAATAACATTAGACATAAGGTGAGAACAATGTGGCCCATCACATACAGATGCTGAACCTTCCATGCTGGAGGAAAAACCAACCCTAAAAATAGACACCCACTCCCGAAATCCGCAGAAAGCATTACCATTGCCATAACAGTATTTGCATTTATGTACATAATGAAATATCTTGAAGATGGGAACCAAGTCTTAACACAAAATCCATTTATGTTTCATATACATCTTGTACTCATTGCTGAAGGTCATTTTTATATCATGTTTTAAATAATTTCATGTAGGAAACAAAGGTTGGGTACATTGAACCATTAGAAACCAAAACCTCCCATGTGGATGATTTTAGAGAATTTTAGAGAATTTCAGATTTCCAGATATGAGATCTGGAATTTCAGATATGGGGTCAACCTACAGTAAAGTGTCATAACCACCTATAAGCTCCTCTAATATAATAGGTCTTATTTCTCGTTCCTGTCCAAAGCTGTTTCTATAACTCAACACAAAGACAGTGTCCTCTTCAAACCATGTTTGGCTAAAATAATTTCTTGAAGTACCATAATGGTCCAGAAAAGAACCAAAAGATGGAGAAATTGCTTTATACCCTCACTGATAGGTATTTAGGAGGGCTTGGAGTAATCATTCAAATTAAAATTATTTAGGGTAAAGCAGAGGGTCCCCAGGATGATAAATGTTCCTCCCACCCCCAAGGGTTGTCCCTTTGCTTAAGTAGATCCAAGGGTTTTCTTATCACAAAGCCTTGGGGGTTTTTTGTTGTTGTTTTCCTAAATGCTTTGCCTTGTCAAAAACCTTGATGCAAGTTGTGTGTATACAGAAACTCACTGCAAGTTTCCCATGCCTCTCTTTGTTATAAAATGTTTCACCAAAGGTCACCAAGGCCATTGCAATAAATGCAACTCCGCTGATATTTGGAGGAGCTCCCTATTGCCACACATAGCTCATAATATCTTTATGTTGAAAGATCTTTGTTCTGGCCCTTTCTGACCTTTAACCCATTTAGCAAAAAAAAAAGTTTGGGAAAATCCTTCCTCACAAACATAATGCCCAAAGCCATCTGTGGGAAAATAAACAGGGTCAATCATTCAAGAGTACTGAAATGCTCTTGCAATTGCCCATAGAAATAGATTACCTTTCCATATGGAAGCCCAAGGATTTACCTAGATTTGATGAACCATGAGGCCCCTAAATCCATAAGGTTTAGTGCATGGCTCGTTCCTTTTAGTTTATGTACAAACTGTAAGACCATAATTAAAATAATTTATTTTGCTCTCTTGTTAAAGGCCCAGACTTTCCATAAATGCCACAGGTTGAAGGAGATGCTTTATGTGACATTTATCACATGGTTTAGGCCTTGTATGGTTGATTCCTCCCTCCTACCTCAATTTCCCTAATAAACAGCTGGTAAATACAAACCAAACAAGAACTATAATCATAGCTGGAATACAGGTATACCTTAGTTAATTAAGCCTTCGAAAAGGAAGCTTATTTCTACACAGAGTTTTTATATTTGCCTAGCTCCTACATGTCTTTTTTCTAGAAAGGTGGTGAAGGAGAGTTGGAAAAACATAAGTGTTCAGTGTCAGAATAAAGAAACACCTTTTGATTTAACTGTATTTTGTGTTGCTGAGGTTGGGCATGTTGCTCAGCAATGAGTCTGCTGAGGGATCAATGAAGCCCTCCACAATTGCCTATCCTACCCTGGTGTTCTAGATTCTGTCCCAAATTGAAAGCATATAAAGCAGTGGTTCTCAACCTGTGGGTCCCCGGATGTTTTGGCCTTCAACTCCCATAAATCCTAACAGTTGGTAAACTGGCTGGGATTTCTGGGAGTTGTAGGTCAAAACACCTGGGGACCCACAGGTTGAAAACCACTTATATAAAGAATAGGAAGAAGCCTATGAGCTTCTTCAAAGTGTGACCACAGTAAACAATTGTACTGCATTCATTATTATGTTTTATGCTACAGACAGTGGGATCTGCAATTCAGTGAACTATTTAAAATGTGCAGTTTAGAAATCTCTATTACACTATCCTCAACTACCACTCTACATTATCCAAACTACAAATCCCATAATTGCACAGTATGTGGATATGGCAGTTAAAGTGGCATCAAAGTGCAACAATTATATGCTACAAGTCTGTGCTATATTTATGTGTGTGAATCATCACCACCATAGGTGATCACTCATGGCCGAGAATCATTCTCTTCCAGGTGTAGAGTCTTGATGGTAGATTCGTAGATGACTGTGAATATCTACTCTGAATCCACATGATCTTTCACATTGAGAGCATAGATTTGCAGATGAAAGGTGGTCATGGCAAGGGTTTGTTCATTGTGCCTTCCTCTTGGCACGTTTCTCCCTTTTGCCCTCTATTCATGCCTTTTCTAAATCCATAGCCCCATCGATAACAGCTAACCTCCGGTTACAATGCCCAAGTGTCAGGGCTTCTCGATGTTTATGCCATATTTTTAAAGGTTACTTTTAAGCCCATTTAAAAATCTCTTTTATTGTCCACCAACATTTCATTTTCCAGTTTTGAGTTGAGAATAAAGCAACTGCTTTGAGAGATGGTGATCAGACATTCAGACAATGTAGCCAGTCCAGTGAAGGTGGCATCAAAAAGCTACAATTATATGTTATAATTTTGTGTTATAATTATATGATGTGAATGTACCCTTTGAGGCAGTACAGAACAGGTGTATTCCTGTTCCAGCAATGTTTTCCGGTAATTGTAGCAGCTTTTCATGGTTAGAGGGAGGAGGGATTAGCACTCTGAAAACAGGGTAAATGCTAATAAGTAAGATTTGTGTATGCATAAAAAGCAATGCCTTTTGTTTCCTGTATTATAGTGAATAATGCTCTCACATAGACACTTCAATGTACAGAAGCTGGTTTGATCAATGATGATTCCTACTTGTATAATGGCTGCTGGCTAGTTTAAGATTGGCAAATATAGTAGACCCTTAGTATTCACTGCTGTTTGGCTTCAAAATCCCCCATGAATACCATCATCCATGAACGCTCAGGTCTCATTATGTATAACGACATAGTAAATTTTATTTATTTATTTACTCTATTTACTCTATTTATTCCCTGCCCTTTTTACCCCAAAGGGGAGTCAGAGTGGCTTTACAAACTACAGCAAAAATTCAATACTGCATCATGCACATAATAATGATGTTTCTTATAAAAAATGGCAAAATCAAGCTTTATTTTTGGATATATATATATATATAGCTGTGCACAGTTGAATCAGTGGATGCAAAACCCATGGGTATGGAGAGTCAACTATATTTCTGTTTGCCTCTTCCCTGCTCCATGAAGCAGCTCAGTGATCTGACTCCCTCTGTCCAATTACCATTTCTCTAATTGTCTGGAACACATATATTTAGGAAATGGACTGATTCCATAACTATTCCAAAATAAGAATTGTCCGGTTCTACATCCTCCTTAATAAAGGTCAGAATTATCCCCCGGGCAAAAACCTCTACGTTGATAAACAGTCTAATCATATTGCCTCCACTCTTCATTATAAATTTAATGATTATATGCCTCAGCTCAAAAGAAAGCCAATAAAATCCATAGTCCAAGTATGAACACAGAGATTCCCCTTTCCCATCCCTGCCAGAAATACTAATACATGAAAGGAACAAGATTGGCCTACTTAGGTTTTTTAAAAAAACAAAAACAAAAAACTTCTCCAACATGCTAAAGAGGGTTCTTGGTTTGCCTCACCAAGTTACGCACATTGAATGAATCCCATACATGTGAGATAGTGAGTGTGCATAAACACACAACCAATCTGCCCTTTGCCAGGAAGCAAGGTCAAAGTGGCTGACTACCTCAAAAGTGTTTCCCTTTACCCACATGGCAAGATTTATTACCTCCTTCTACCAATCAAAATAGTAGAAACACAAGCCAGTCACATAAAGTTTTGCTATAAAAGCCCACTGGACCTGGTTCCTTGTTCCACACAAAAAGAAAACACAGATTACGAGAGAAGTGTTTTTTTTTTTTACCAAAACCAGTCATATAATGCAGCTGTGCTGGGTCTTTGCAGTAGTTACCTGCTGCTTCTTGTCATTTTCCAGTGATGCTTTCCAAAGGTAAGACAAACTTTAAAAAAAAATCAAGAGTGGGCATGTTGATGGGAAATGTGAGCCTTCAGATGTTCTTGGGTTGCAGATACCAATAAAATTACATTAATTGAGGCATCCGTAGGTTAACTGTTTTTAATATTTAAATAAAACTGTAATTTAAGATAAGACTGTCTTAACTCTGATTAAATCATTATTCTAGCCTTCTTCAATGTAAACGTGCTTACATATTCTTCCAATAATCACCAAAGTTTATTTTAACTATACATGTTGGGGGAAATGCTGTGTGTATATGAATAAGGAAAAGTGGGAAAGACTGGCACTGGAGGAGGAGGAGAGGAAGGCGCACGCTACACCGAGAGAGGAGAGGAAGGAGAGATGGGTTGCTGTGTGGAAAGGTGAGGATCCTGGCAGGAAGGCATGGAGCTGAAAAAAGCCCTTCTTTCAGCCCCACACCTTCCTGCCAGGACCCTCACCCAAGTATAAGCTGAGAGGGGCTTATACCTACCTGATGAGGAATTAGATATCTCCTACTGCATCTGTTAGGCAATAAGCTTGGGATGGCGGAATATGGGATCCTATCTAGCCATAAGCTAAGGTTGGTTCTCTGCCACTGAGAAGTGAAAAAGATATGAATGCATCTTGCCTGGGCATGTCTCTGAAGGGTTTTATCCCCAAGACAGACGGCATTGTTGGACTGCATCTCCCAACAGCCCCAGCCCACATAAGCCTATAGTGAAGCATTTAGAGGCTGAAATTCAACAAGATTTGGAAGGCGGTGCAATTTCCATTGTTCTAAATGGGTTGCTCAAAACTGAAGAAGACAGGCATGTAGGCTTTGCCTTTTAATCAAATGCATCCATCCCAGTGCCAGCTGCTCCACAAAGCAGGTACAAAAGAAAGGCAGCACAACAACAGAGACCCAAGTAGCATCTGGCAAAAAGGACATGCAAAACTGAACATAAAAAGTGGAGATTGAGGAAGAAGTGGGTTGTGACACTCAGGAAGAGCATACATGGGATAAAATATACCTATTGAGATTTTTTAAATGAGGCATTATTTCCTTTATCATTGAGAAAATAATCTAGAAATCATCCAAAATGTAAATACAATGAAACACCTAACACAGTGAAGCACAGAAAACAGACAGAACCCACATGTCTATTTAAACAATTTCCATTGCCTTTCAAATCAAATATTCTAAATTTATATATGAAAAAGGTTTAGAGGACTTGCCAGACCACTGCAAGTATTTGCTGCCACCTAGTGCAATAGAGTGCTGTGTACCAAGCTAAGTCAGTTTCAATGTGTTTATCAGCTGTTTGCAAAAGTCTGCGCTTGTAGCAATGGTTATAAATGGTCCTGGACTGTAATTTCCATCAGCCTGGCTTTACCAGAATCTGTTCTTACTCCAGAACTCAGCTTAATAAGGATTTTTCAAGAGAGGGGGAAATATCCACTGTAGGTTTGCATGTGAATAACATTTCAGATATCCTAACAGTCCATATTAAACTGAGGTGCTATATTTTCCTCTATTCATACCTCATTTTCAGTTTTAGGTAAGTTACTTTGTTGCACAGTGACTACTTAGGATATAAAGCTAAACCATAGTTTATTACATGAAAGCAGTGTTTTGACATGTATTAGCTACTGTTTCTCATGCTATCCAAATCTAAAGAAACTGTGTCTTTCCAGTGGAATCAAACTGGTTTGTTTCCTTAATCATAGTTCAAATCAGCTGCAGTAGAGGTTTCTGAGATTATGTTAAACTCTCTTTCATCTGATGTAGAAATTGGAGTTTTTAGTCTCCTCATCACAACCACACTGGAGGATAAGGTAATGCAGAGTACACATGGAGGATGAACTTTTTAGGAACCACTGATCTAGACCTTAAAGTGAGCTATCGAACACTATTTGCAAAATATAATTAGCATCTTAGATAATCTCTTTGAAGTTTAGACTTGAACCTGAAGCAAATCATTTGCCCTGTTCACATGGGAGCCACAAGATGCCACAAGTTTAGCATATAGCTCTAATAATACTTTTTTTTAATCCATCATACATCCCAGGAAATCTGCAGCTTAGTACTATTTATTTTCAAAAGGATGTTTTCTGCCACCTTATGTTGCCTGTGGCTTTTCAATCAAGTTTTAATTTTGCTTGAGGTTTTGTCTGGTGGTTACTAAATACTTTCTGGGATAGTGTTGTCTGAGTAGTGTGGGTCCATCGCCAACAATGGATAAGATTCCCTCCCTACTCACATCACAAGCCCCTTAGTGTCAATGGCAATTTGGCAATGATATTAGCTAACCTTTGCATATATTGCAAATGTGATTGTGCCTCATACTAACATTTTAAAATTCTCTTTTATATATATTTATATGCATACTCATCAGAATTCCACTCAAGAAAATGCCCTCCATACGAGAAACTCTCCAGAAGATGGGCATAAAAGTGGCAGACTTCTTCCCTTCCTTGAAGCATGGGATATACTTTCTAAATGATGGTTTTTATAATGGAACAGCTCCTACCATCCTCACAAACTACCTGGATGTGAGTACGTGATATGATCCTGTGCAAAGCAGTCAGCATCTTTAAAGAAATAGTTATGGGATGTGATTAAAAATGTAGGAGTCTGACATCCCATCGCTTCTCCTTTTGTTACATGTGTTTCAGATGCAGTATTACGGCGAAATCAGTATTGGCACACCAGCTCAGATCTTCAAAGTAGTCTTTGACACAGGGTCAGCCAATCTTTGGGTGCCATCCCAACAGTGTTCCCCATTGTACAGTGCTTGTGGTAAGTCTGGATAAATATAAGGCTCATACATGGAAAACTATTGGCAGTACAATATGAAGATGAATGCATGTTCATGTTGAATCATTCCCAATATTAGATGGATGGCCATGTTAATTCCTCAGTTCTTTTCAATATCGATGTGAACAAACCGAAAGTCAACAGGAATAGAGTAGCAATGCCAACATGACTGCTGCCATAGTACCTGAAAAAAGGCACAATGTGTGCACACTTGTGAATAGGTTGCCACATAGGATTCTATTCAGAGGGACGGGAATAATGTATGTTGCCACTTTATTCTATCTGTATTACAGATGTCACACAAAAAGAGCTTTTGTTGTTTAGAATATTAACTGATTTTTAAAACCCAGCACAGAAATGCCAACAATTATCCCCAGACCAAACCTCTTCCCTCATCCTCATTAGTAAAAGGTAAAGGTTTCCCCTTGACATTAAGTCTAGTCGCATCTGACTCTAGAGGGTGGTGCTCATCTCCATTTCTAAGTCAAAAAGCTAGCATTATCCACAGACACCTCCTAGATCATGTGGCCAGCATGACTGCATGGAGCACTATTACCTTCCCACTGAAGCGTTACCTATTGATCTACTCACATTTGTGTGTTTTAGGCTGACAGAAGCTGGAGCTAACAACGGGAACTCTTCCCATCCCGCAGATTCAAACCGCCAACCTTTCAGTCAATCAAGTTCTGCAGCTTAGGGTTTCACCCACTGAGCCACCACAGCCCTCTTAAGTAATCCTATGTATATACTCAGGATTAATATTAATTCTTATATATGAGTCAACAAAATGTAGTGGTTTGAGTGTTGGACTATGATTTGAAATACCAGTGTTTATTCATATACTTGCCCAACAAATGGAAACCCCCCTGGGTGAACATGAATACAGTACACTTCTCCCCAGAAACATGCCAAGGAAAGATCTTTCTGAACAAATCATTCCAAGAACACAATCACCTTATGGTCATCATAAATTGGAAATACTTGAAGGCACACAACAAAGAAATTGACAAAATAAGTACACAAAAGACAAAGTAGGAGGGAATAGAAAGGGAGGGAGACAGAAAAGGTGACACTGATACTGCAACTTTCATTAATCCTACATATCTAGGTTAACCATCATCTTCCCAAAAAGATGTGGCCATGGTTGTCCATGCTCTCGTTACATCCAGGAGAGACTACTGCAATGCGCTCTATGTGGGGTTGCCTTTGAAAACTGTTTGGAAGCTTTAGATAGTCCAATGAGAGGCAGCCAGGTTAATAACTGGTGCGGCATACAGGGAGCACACAATTCCCATGTTGCATCAGCTCCACTGGCTGCCAGTTTGCTATTGAGCACAATTCAAAGTCCTGGCTTGGACCTATAAAGCTCTAAACGACCCTGGCCCAGTTTACCTGTCAGAACGCATCTCCCTCTATGAACCACCAGAGAGATTAAGATCTTCCGGGATGAGTCCCCTTTGGGGTTGAGAAGGATGGAATATAAATGCTTTAAATAAATAAACAAATCAATCAATCAATCAATCGTGGAGCACAGGTTTAGAATTATTTTTCTTTCCTGCTTTTCTCCTGGGACACATTATTTAATTTTCATTGTGAGGTCCACCAAATCGTTTGTCCAGGGAACAAGGACAGAGAGAATGTCCAGATCTGTCGGACAATATGCTTTGCTGCCGTAGCCATCTATGGAATCTAGTGTGATCCTGTTGAATGACATAACTATGTACACATAGATGGTAGTGCAGTAGCAGGGCTAAAATTGCTATGGATATTGCAATGATGGGGGCGAGCCAGGAGTGAAAAACATCTCTATCAGGAGAGATCAACTCCCTGACATCTCTCTCCCTTTGATGAGAGAGAAAACTTTATCTACCTTGCTAAAGATATGCCCTGCTTCAAAGTGTGTCTGAAACCATTATAATGGACTCTTACACTGCTGTGAGTCACTGAGAGGATTTCAGCCTCTTTATCTGCATTGTAACATCATACTTTCCTAATATTATGGGAATAAAATGTATTCAGTACAGTGCAATGTTGTATCTATTAAAATGGTGATAGGTTTTCTCCTGCCTAAAGGAACAATGCCAGAATAAGGTGATAACATGTGGATTAGGATGGCTGCATTTCAGAACATGTTCAACATTTGTTATGCTCCAGTTAGTGAAATTTCTCTTGTGTCCAGGGCATCCATAAGATGTTATATTCAGTTGGTTAAATCTATCCTATGATCTTTGGCTGGGTTTAATGGATTAGCCACAACAAGGAAGAATGTTGCACTTTTAAGAATACAGTTTGAGTGAGATCTATCAAGTTCAATACTGTCTGATCCACTATTCATCTAACATAGATCCTAGTTCAGGTATAGTATAGGAGTATAAAAACTTTTGTGCTGGTGAAATGACTCCACTGGGTGTATTAATATAATTATCCATGTAGCCCGTGGTGCTTCTGGTGTATCCAGAATAATGCAGTGCTTAAATTATAGATATTGCCATAAGACAACTTTAAGAAATTTGAATATTGACTTAATATTCAAAGTCATCAAATGATTTGAAGTCTGGCAAATATTTTCAAGATATCATCTTCAGTATCCCTGGCATTTCTGAACTTTAGATAATTGCCAGCATTTTGCAGGGTGCAATGTTATAGGATACTCATATATGTGTTAGAAGTTAGACTATAAATATTGACTATGTTTATTGGATAATTCTGCCAACTATATTTTAAAACAAATGAAATAGGCAACTTTTTAAATTTTTCATATTTGATTGTAATTTTCTTTGGAAGAATAAATCTCATTGACCCGGTAGGATTTACTTCTGAGTAAAGAAATTTAGGATTATATTGCAAGTACTGCAGTCTTTCATTGAGGAGTGTGAAATGTCAACAACCAGAAACTATCAATATAATTTCCTGTGATATTAAAATTAATTATTTTTCTTTTTAGTTTCACACAACCGCTATGACTCTTCCAGATCAAGTACATATAAGCCAAACGGAACAGAAATTGCAATACAATATGGCCAAGGATATGTTAAAGGTTTTCTTAGCCAAGACATTGTCAGAGTAAGTGCAACAAAAAGAACAAAATAATTCCTTCTTTGACTCAGGTGCCTTTATGCTTCTCAAAGATGGAGGATGGTGCAATAGTTTCCTTCTGCCTGGTTAGCACAGGGTTATTCATGAATCTCTCTCACACATAGGGTAACATGAGTATGTCAACTCAACCAGGAAGAATCCCAATACAGGCAGTCCCTGAGTTACAAACATCCGACTTACAAATGACTCATAGTTAAGAACAGGGGTGAGACAACAGGAAGTGAGAGAAATCCATGCCTCGGAAGGGAAATCCACTCCTGGAAGAGTTATCATGGGAAGAGGTGTCTCCACTGATGCTTTATCACCAAGCTTTGTTTCCACAACAAGTCAATTTTGTCAAATCCAATTCTGACAGGGACAGAAAGTGGAGTGAAATCTTTTGGGCAAATCCATAGTTATATGTGTGTGCATGCATATATACTCACACACACACACAAAATATACCTATTCCAACTTACATATTCAACTTAAAAACAAACCTACACTACCTATCTTGTTCGAAACTTGAACTCCCTATAATTCCATATCTCTTGTGTCATTTCATCTGCCAAATATTTTTATTAATTAAAAAATTATTGGATATTTCTTCAAATTTCCAGTTACAAAGAAAGACATTGTGAGAGGAAGAAAAAGAAAAAAATGTAGCTATACATTAATATAAGTTTACCATATTTGCAAAATGCATATTTTATTTATTTAGTTAGTTAGTTACTGCATTTATATACCACTTTTCTCACCCCTGAGGGGACTCAAAGTGGTGTACAATAAGTAATGACAAGATTAAATGCCAAAATATATACAAAACCAAAGCATATATAGCATATAATTATAAATTAAACCTTAAAATCATATTAAACATTGAACATAAAAAGATTTAGATATTTAAAATATAGAATTAAAAACATCTTAATATAGCATTCAAATAACAAAATCCATTTTCTTGTAGTATTGATAGAGTATATATTCAGAGATAGCTAAAACTGAAATACCTTGTGACCACTGAACTGTGGTTAGTGAATCTTCTATCTCTCTTTATCCTTTCAGCCTCAACCTTTTGGCAATAGTAAAAGCATGCACTATCCATTTAGTTAAACTATTTATTTATTTATTTATTTATTTATTTATTTATTTATTTCAATTACTTATACCCCGCCCTTCTCACCCCCGAGGGGGGACTCAGGGCGGCTTACAGACAACGGCACAATTCGATGCCTGAATCAATAACAACAATAGCTAAAAACGATTTAAACAGTTAACAAGTTAAAAAACATTAGTACATAATAAAACAGCAAAAAAAATCTCATGCTCAGTGTTCAGAGTTCCATATATCCATTTCATTCCATTCGCCCATGTTTGTCGTCAGATCTTCCCTTAGCTGCAAGAATGTCCAAAAGCTTGGTCCCATATCCAGGTCTTCAGTTTTTTCCTGAACGCCAAAAGGGAGGTCGCTGATCTAATCTCCCCGGGGAGTGAGTTCCACAGGCGAGGGGCCACCACCGAGAAGGCCCTGCTCCTCGTCCCCGCGAACCTCACTTGTGATAGTGGCGGAGTCGAGAGCAGGGCCTCCCCAGATGATCTTAAATTTCGAGGTGGGATGTAGGGAGAGATCTGTTTGGACAAATACACTGGGCCGGAACCGTATAGAGTTTTGTAGGTTAAAACCAGCACTTTTAATTGTGCTCGGAATTGGATCGGCAGCCAGTGGAGTTGATGTAACAGTGGGGTCGTATGCTCCCTGTACGTCGCTCCGGTGAGCAATCTGGCTGCCTCTCGCTGGACCAGTTGGAGTTTCCGAGCAGTCTTCAAGGCAACCCCACGTAGAGTGCGTTGCAGTAGTCTATTCGGGATGTAACAAGAGCGTGGACCACCGTGGCCAGATCTGACTTCCCAAGGTACGGGCGCAGCTGGCGCACAAGTTTTAATTGTGCAAAAGCTCTCCCAGCCACCGCCGAGACCTGAGGTTCCAGGCTCAGCGGTGAGTCCAGGATCACTCCCAAGCTGCGAACCTGCGTCTTCAGGGGGAGTGTAACCCCGTCTAACACAGGCTGTAACCCTATACCCTGTTCGGCCTTACGACTGACCAGTAGGACCTCTGTCTTGTCTGGATTCAATTTCAATTTGTTAGCTCTCATCCAGTCCGACACAGCAGCTAGACACCGATTCAAGGTCTGGACAGCCTCCTTGGTGACAGGTGAGAAGGAGTGACAGATCTGGACATCATCTGCGTAGAGATAACATCTCAGTCCGAAACTCCGAATGATCTCCCCCAGCGGCTTCATGTAGATGTTAAATAACATTGGGGACAGAATCGAACCCTGTGGGACTCCACACAACAACGGTTGTGGGGCCGAACAGGTGTCACCCAGTAACACCTTCTGGGTCCGTCCTCAAGGAAGGATCGAAGCCACCGCAGAGCAGTGCCTCCGAGCCCCATATCCATGAGGCGGCTCAGAAGGATACCGTGATCGACGGTATCGAAGGCCGCTGAGAGGTCCAGCAGAACTAACAGGGACACACTCCCCCTGTCTAGCTCCCTGCGCAGATCATCTACCAAGGCGACCAAGGCTGTCTCAGTTCCATGTCCCGGCCTAAAGCCAGACTGTGCCGGATCCAGATAATCAGTGTCTACCAGAAACCCCTGGAGTTGTGTTGCTACCACACGTTCCATGACTTTGCCCAAGTAGGGGAGATTGGAAACTGGCCGATAGTTGTCGAATTGAGTGGGATCCAGTGATGGTTTCTTCAACAGCGGTTTTATAATAGCTTGTTTTAAGCTCGCTGGAAATTTCCTTCCTGTAAGGAGGCATTAACCATCACCTTCACCCACTCTGCCAAACCCCCTCTGGCTTCTTTTATCAGCCAGGATGGGCAGGGGTCTAGGATGCATGTGGTAGGTCGCACCTCTCCAAGGATCCTGTCCACATCCTCAAGCTGAACCAATTGAAAAGAATCCAACAAAACTGGACAAGCAGATGCTCTCGTTACATCCCCAGAGACTGCCATTAACATGACGTCAAAACCCGACCGAATCCGCTCAATTTTATCCGCGAAGGATCGAGCAAATGCTTCACAGCGAGCCACCGAGTTATCCGAGGCCTCGCTTTTTGGCGGATTTAACAGGCCCCTGACAACTCGAAAAAGCTCCGCTGGACGATTCTTCGCTGATGCAATATTGGCTGTGATGAATATTTTCTGAGCCACCTCTATTGCCACACCGTAGGACCTTAAAAAGGCATTAAGGTGTGTTTGGGCTGGATTGGTGGGATTCTGGCGCCACACACACTCTAACCTCCTCTTCTTTCGCTTCATCGCTGCCAGCTCCTCAGTGAACGAAGAGGCTGGTTTAGCTCGGTTACTCGAGAGGGGGCGTTCCGGAGCGATAGTGTCAATTGCCCTGGTCAGCTCACTATTCCAGCGAGAGACCAGGGCATCGACAGTGATATACATCGACAGAGGTTGCCAGTACAGAGATGAGCCTCTCCTTTATCTTATATCTTATAGATACAATTTAAAAGAACACGTATATGTGTGTAAATAGCAAAGATTTTTTCCAGTTCAAAACTGATATTGTAATATAGCCAACCAAAGGAACACACCTGATTCAACTGCCCAATATTAATGCTCACCAAGACCTTTTGGTACCACAGCTCCAATAATTGTTGGATGGCCATGATAGTTGGAGGACACTGGCAATCTAAAAGGGACGTTTTTAGTCTCTGTGCTCCTTCCATTTCTCCTAGAAACTGTTCTGGCTCCTTTTATTGTCATAGGAAATAGAACAATGTCAGGTTGCTAAAATTTCACAATCATTGTGTTTGTATTTACAAATGTCAAGTATAGAAGAGAGTTAGAGCCACTGCTTGAACATTTTCAAAGACAGCCAAAGTCCGCTATTCTCATTAAGAACTATATGTTCCTATGGCCAACTAGCTACGGTTTGTTGTTATGTGGTAAAACAATGCTTTATTGAAAAGAACAAAGATCAAACTCTGTTTTCTGATCCTGGCTTTTCCCAGTAATCCACAGTACAAATCAGTATTGTGCCAGTAGTAAATTGTTCTAGGATTATGTGAAAGACTGGGGCCAAGAACTTTGGCCTTATATAGCATTTTAGAGACATCATGGGTATTATTGAAGCAAGAGATGAAGATCCTGACTGCTGTCCCAGTAATTCCTTATTTTTGGCCAGAGCAAATGAGAAGAAAAGGAGGAGGGTTGCTGCCCAGTATTGGAATATAATTTCTGGCTACTATGACAAATCATGATTCCCCAGTGGTGCAGCAGATTAAACCACTGAACTACTGAACTTGCTGACCAAAAGGCTAGCAGTTCAAATCTGGGGAGCAGGGTGATCTCCCGTTGTTAGCCCCAGTTTCTGCCAACCTAGCAGTTTGAAAACATGCAAATGTGAGTAGATCAATAGGAAGGTACCAGCACTCCATGTAGTCACGCTGGCCACATGACCTTAGAGGTATCTATGGAGAATGCCAGCTCTTCAGCTTTGAAATGTGGATGAGTACCACCCCCCAAAGTCAGACACAACCAGACTTAATGTCAGGGGAAACCTTTACCTTTATGTTTTAATATGTGTATTTTGTCAAATGTTTTTAGGTAGCTGTGTGATTTTAGCATGGTTCCAGGATGGAGCACTGCTGGAAGTAGCCCTGTGTCATATGATGGGCTCCATCAGACTCCATCCTGTCACTATTCTAAAACGAAGAAAACCCACCATCTGATGTGGTCCTTAGTGAGAGGACACAAGATCTGCTCCCACAGCAAGATCCTGCCATATCAAGTACCTCTGCTGCTTGTAAACTGCCATTTTATGTGAATTACATAACTTTCTCCTTCCTAATATTAGGTCCGGTCTGTCTGTCTGTGTCTACAGAGTCACATGGTCATCAATCCTCCTGCAAGTTTCCTCTCATCTGATTTGTTTCTATGTGGTTTTCAGATGTGAGAGAGGCAACTTTAAAACTTGTTTTTATTCCTGTTAACTTGAAATACCAGCATGATAAACATATGACTTTGTTTGTTTACTGTTGTTTTTCTCCTGTCATTCTCTCCAGGTGGCTGATATTCCTGTTGTTCAGTTGTTTGCAGAAGCGATAGCACTGCCCAACAAACCTTTCATTTATGCCAGATTTGATGGGGTACTTGGTATGGGGTATCCCAGCCAAGCTATTGATGGTGTTATCCCAGTGTTTGATAAGATAATATCTGAAAAAGTCTTGTCTGAGGAAGTTTTCTCCGTCTACTATAGCAGGTGAGTGTTTTTAGGCAAATAAAACTCATAGACCAAGACAACAGAGGAGAATACATAATAGGCCCCACTCAAATAGTCTTTGCTTTGGATGAAATGACAAAGGCTAATGCACCTACAAGGTTCACATCTAGATGTTTCCAAGTTATAGATCAGTATAATACTCTTTAAAAAGCCTTCAGATTTGGGGTTAAAGCAGGAATGGGCAAACTTTTTTGAAAGCGGGCAGCATGTTGGGTCTGGGCAGGCAGGGGCAGAAAAGGGGAGAAGGCTGAGGGTTGGCACAGGGTGAGGCTGGGGGGGGAGGGCAGTTGATGCAGGAGGAAGGAGGCCGAGGGGGTGCTTGACGTGTGTGTGGGAATGGCTTCAAACGTGGCTGTGAAGGGCTCTTGGAAGAGCCCTACACAGCAAGTTGTGGCTGGGAGGGCCGGGGCTGTGACACACAGCTGGGGGTGGGGCCAGGGGCAAGAACCCAAGGGCCATATCCAGCCCGCAGGCCTGGATTTGCCCATGCCTGGGTTAAAGCATGAGTTAATTTGAGCCAGCATTGTTTCTTTAACTGCCAGTATTTTATTTACTCCCAGAAAATGAACTTCTGTATAAGCACATCTAAGATTTGAGGCACAATTTTAGATGTTCATTGTGGAAGCCCCAACATCAAAACAGAAATTTCATTTCTAATGTTGAATGTATGGCCTTGTTAAAAACTTAACTTTTAGTAAGACTGACTTCAATTTTGTCTCAAAATACATTAACAAGAAATCAAGCAAAAAAAAATCTGAAAGAAATGAATATTCACAACAATCTGTATTTAAATATCATTTCCATAATTATCAAGTATATGTGTGTTTCCAATCTGTTTCCGGAGTGTTTCCTGTATGCTATAAGCATTTCAGTGTGCTTGTCTCCATATTACAGAGGGTTGTTATGCTCAAGGGATTGACTACCTTAAGGTTTTCTGTCCATATGAAATCTGAACCAAGGTCTCAAATCAATAGTCAGAGTGGATTTCTTTGTCATTACCACTAGGGCAGGAAATTTGCTAGTATTTTTCAAAGATGTGGAGCAGAGGGCATTTCAATCAAAATAAAAGCAAAATTTTCTGGGTACCAAAATCCATTGATGCTCAAGTCCCATTATATACAGTGGTGTAGTAAAATGGTGTTCCTTATACAAAATTAATTCTTTAAAAATATTGTTAAACCAAGGAAGGTTGAAACCAAGGATATAGAAGGCTGACTATATCTCACTCTTGAATCCTAACCCAGGGTACACATTTCTGATGGCTCCACTGGAAGTATTTCTTTTTTTAGTAGGAGTTCTGTCCCATGGCTTGGTAAAGTTACTGTTTTAGATAATAGCTTCCCGAAATCTCAAGCTGGCTATGGTCCACGAAAGATTTTTTTCCAAGCTTTGCTCTTTCTGTACTAGTACGGTTAATATGAATATGATATTTGGAACCTCAGCTGGCACAGTAGTATACCAATCTCTTACTTACAACTAAACTACCACCTGTCTTACTATTTAATGCAAAGAATGATCCCCTTGTATAGCCTCTAGTTTCCTTACCCATGGCAACTAGATTCCAACAGTCTCAAGTCAAGGAGAAATAGTGTGTTATAGTTGTTAATGTTGGACCAACTCTTAAGAAATCTAGGTTTTAGTACTCATTGACCTATGAAATGCTGGAGCTTCAACCTGTACTATCACACAGGTGAGTTTGAGGTCATCCTACCTGGAGGTCATTAAACAAATTACAAATATAACAAACACTCTCTGTCCCCTCTAGGCTTCTTTTGCCTATATTTTAAGGTAGAAGAGTAGACAGGGTAGGGATTGACTCTGTGATGTTGCTTTATCTTAGAAACTCTGAGATGAATACTGGGGGAGAGATTATCCTGGGAGGCAGCGACCCATCTTACTACACTGGGGACTTCCACTATGTCAGCATTAGCACACCAGGCTACTGGCACATTGATCTTAAAGGGTAAGTGGCATGCATGTTACAACCAGGAGGTGGGGAAGGCAGACTGACCATCAGGCAGGGGTCACTAAGCCCCAGTGATCATGTCCCCTGAACCATGAAATTTGGGGGGGGGGGGGTATAAGGGTCTGTCTGAAAACTGAACGGCTGTTTGATTTCTTTACAGGGTGTCTCTGGGCAGTGAGATGCTTTTCTGTCATGAGGGTTGCACAGCAGCAGTAGATACTGGGTCCTCCTTTATTACCGGTCCAGCTAGTGCTGTGTCTATATTGATGAAATCCATAGGAGCTACTTTGCTTGAAGAAAGAGATGTAAGCAAATTGAACATTTCTGCTGTAGTGGTGGACAAAAAGATGACTTTCCAAAAAGTTCTAAAATTAAACTTATTTATTTATTTACAATATTTCTATTCCACCCTTCGCACCCTGAAGGGGACTCAGGGCAGATCACAGAACAAACATATGCAACAAACATTCAATGCCATTTTATAAACAAACAAGACAGACAATTATACATAGATAGAGGTATATATCAGTTTTTCCCATCTTCGGCACCTTGGAGGATTTGTGCTCTGTTCCAGCCACCAGGGTCGGGACAGGGGGTTGCTGTTGCTCCAGCTCCCTGCCGAAGAGCTTTGTTTGTAACTTCCTCCATTTGATTGAATCGCCAGCATCCCTTATGGGTGCCTCAGAATACCTCCCCGCTTTTAAGTGGTACCTATTTATCTACTCACATTTGCTTTCAAAATTCTAAGTAGGTGGAAGCTGGGCCAAAGGCCAAGAGCTCACCCTGAGCCAGACTTCAAACTGGCAGCCTTTTGATTGACACGATTTACTGCAGCTAAAGCCCAGCCCAAAAAGTCTAGTTGCCTTCCTGGGTATACAAGTACACGCTTTGTGGGCAGAATTTAACACAAATTTGCTTGTAGATTGCCTTGGAAAAAGAGATTCCCATCGGAATTAGGAATTAAGCAGTTTTATCTTCCTACAGGATCTAAAACTTTATATGAGTAGGCTCTAAAGTTTTCCTCCTCCACTAATTCCTCTTTTTTTCTCATGCAGTATGTTGTTGAATGCAAGAAAATCCATTTGCTGCCTGATATTTCCTTCCATCTTGGAGACAGATCCTACACTCTCAGTGGCCATGCCTATGTCCTCCAGGTGAGATGCTTGAACATAGTTTGCAATGAGAAGCTAGGAAAAAATAGTAGTTGGAAGGGAGACACTTATTTCTCCATGAATTTCCATCAAAGAACATGCTGGTTTTTGCATGTTATTCTTTCTAGCAAATTGAAAAGTACACCTCATTCCAAATCCCACTTTTTAGGCATCCAGTTTAAATACAGTGCTGTTTCCTCCAAATAAGGTGTTTTTAGACTCGATTTCATTCTTCAACTAAATTTTCAATGTAAATATTTCCTTTTGCCCAATTTGGCACTTTAGGTGGCTTAAAACTACTGTAAATGATGATACTCAACCTAAAGTATTTCCCTTTCCATAGAGGAATGGGAATAATTGCAAGAAAAATTCTTAAATATTCAGACTTTATAGTCATTCCAAAAATTGAAACTGGCAGAATAACTGGATTGATTTCATCACAATTTTCAGTCATTCCAAAAAATGAAAAAACACTGCATTTCAAACACATGCATAAGAAAGCCCTTTTTGGACAATCAATTGTACACAAGCCTATGAAAGTTAAAGATATATGAGCAAATTCTGGTGAATGCTTTTGGTATCTGGCAGGTAGAGGAAAGTTCAGGCAACCAGAAAATGGGGGAGCGGCTTATAGCACTAATTTGTTAGGTATCTTCCAGGGCACTGAACTACCTCATTCCCTTGATTTGTTGGATTATTTTCTCTACAGTTTTCTGACTATGGGAAAGAGCTCTGTGCTGTGGCGTTCTCGGCTTTCGACATTCCTCCTCCTCTGGGCCCCATCTGGGTTCTGGGTGCTACCTTCATTGGGCAGTACTACACAGAGTTTGACCGACAGAACAACCGGATTGGCTTCGCCAGATCCCTTTGACACCAGGAGCCTACTGTTTTGAAAGTTGCTTTTTATGAGAGACTGCTTAAACTGTGAAAAAGAAATGGCTTAATAATATATTATTTTCAAAAGCTGTCCGCAAAATGCTTCCTATTATTCTGTTTTACAACCAGAACATATTACATTCTGAATCTTATAATCCTTGGGTTTCACTCTCATCCCTACTGTCCACTAAAGTCAGATAGGTGAAATCTTGTGTCTTAAAAACAGAATGATTTTGATCTTTTGATTTTATATTGTGGCCTGTAAAGAGAGGATTCATTGATGACTTGTCCTTTGTACTCAGAGGAAGTGATTAGAATGTGGGCACATAATGTTGATTCTGTAGTTATGTTCCTTCATGTAGTTTTCAACTTATGGCAGTGGTTCTCAACCTGTGGGTCTCCAGATGTTTTGGCCTTCAACTCCCAAAAAACCTAACAACTGGTAAACTGGCTGTGTTTTCTGGGAGTTGTACATCAAAACACCTGGGGACCCAAAGGTAGAGAACCACTGACTTATGGCAACCCTAAAATGAGCCTTGGCAAGCTTAAAGGCAGACCACATTACAAGTGGATAGACACAATCATGGAAGTCACATTCCTGAGTTTGCAAGACCTGGGTAGGGCTGTTTATATCAGAGCCACTTGGAGATCTCTTTCATAGGGATGCCCGGGGCGGCTCAACCCATTACGTAAAGTAAGCCTTTGCAGTTGATTTTGCCCAGGGGCGCTCTTGAGGCGCTCTTGGGGGAAAATAGACCTTGACATGCACGAGTTGTAGTTACTGGGATGTATAATTCACCTACAATCAAAGAGCATTCTGAATTCCACCAATGATGGAATTGAACCAAATATGGTACACAGAACTCCCACGACAAACAGAAAACATATATCAGTGATTGGTTGGGGAGGGGGGGAAAATACTGTTTGCTTACCATTGAAAATTACCTAGGGCCGCCTCTGGGGATGCCCTAAATCAAAGTCAACTTGTTGGCAATTAACAAGAACAATGTGAATCTATAACTGGGTTTTCTTGCCAAGATTGGTTCATAGGAAGTTTTTGTCTGCCTTCCTCTGAGGTTGAGAGAGCATGAATTGCCCAAGGTCACCTAGTGGACGATGGCCAAGGGCAGATTTATAACTCTGGTGTCCAGAGTGCAAGGGACCTTCCACACAGTCCTATATCCCAGAATTTCAAGGCAGAAAATCCCACTTTATCCGAGTGTGGACTCAGATAACCCAGTTCAAAGCAGATATTGTGGGATTTTCTGCATTGATATTCTGAGATATAGGGCTGTGTAGAAGGGCCCATAGTCCAATGCTCAAACAATTACAACACACTGAGTCTCTCAGTACAAGAGGACTTACTTAGCACTTCACCTCCCATTAGATGTTGAATTGAAAGCTGATGTAAGAAACTGAGAGAAGGCAGGTTTGAAAAATTGAAATATTATATCCATTAGGCACCTGAATAATTTTAAGCAACTTTCCTTTTTCCTAATCATCTAGGGGCCCTTCAACACAGTTATATAACCCAGAATATCATGGCAGAAAATCCCACAATATCTGATTTGAACTGAGCTATCTGAGTCCACACTGCCATATATTCCAGTTCAAAGCAGATAATGTGGGATTTTATTCAAATGTGTAGAAAGGGCCCAGGTCTCCCCTAGTTTTATTTATATTTTTGTCTACAGATGCTTCTGGCAACAGAGATTTACCCATATCTTTCCTACTGTCAGTTTTCCAGAGTCCATTGAATACGAGACTTGATAGGATTCTAGTGCTCCCAAAGCAGAGAGATTATGCCTTGCATGACACCCACATTCTGGTATGGTGATCTATTTCATTTTGCATTAATATTGTATACTTTCAAGTGATTGCATAAAGCAATAGGTCTAGAAAATCATTTGTTTCTTCATTCATATTTTAACCTTCCTTTTGAGGCTTTCCTGCTTCTTTCTCACTTACATAGATCAAAACCTGCTTAGCTTTAGCAGGTAACTCTCCTGTACATTCAAGCACAACTCAGAAATGTTACTTTTTGTATTAGGAAAGGTAAAGGTTTCCCCTGACATTAAGTCTAGTTGTGTTTGCCTCTGGGGGTGGTGCTCATCTCCATTTCTAAGCCAAAGACACCTCCAAGGTCATGACTGCATAGAGTGCCATTACCTTCCGGCCAAGGCGGTACCTATTGATCTACTTCACATTTGCATTTTTTTGAACTGCTAGGTTGGCAGAAGCTTGGGTTAACAACAAGAGCTCACCTCACTCCCTGGATTTGAACTGCCAACCTTTTGGTCAGCAAGTTGAGCAGCTCAGCGGTTTAACTCGCTGTGCCACCAGGCCCCCCCACTTTTTTGTATTACTGTGCCAAAAAATCCCAAAATGGCATGGCCAAAGAAGGGTTTTAGCAGATGCAGTTCCAAAATTTAACATTCAAGGTTATAACCTCAATCAAAATCATGCTAATCTGCAAATGTTGGCCATCTGATTAACAGCAGGGTGAAATCAAGATATCTGTTGAAGTCAAATTGCCATATATTATAATAGCCATGGAGTACAGAGCTTCTTCTTTGGTTACTCTCCTTTTAAATTTCTGAAAGAAATCAGCAATGCAAAAAGCAAGCCATAATAAATATGTATTATTCCACTTTTTTTACTAACAGGGGGCCGAAATTTGGAGTGGGGAGATGACCTCACAATCTGCACATCAATAGAATTAATTACAAACTGGGGTTATTTCTTTCCATATTACTTAGGAAAACACTGCTTTACTGTAATGCAAAGTGTATGTGCCACAATCATTTTTCATATTACTATACAAGATTGGGAAAGCAACATGTGACTTCTTTTCTGTAGAAAAATAATACTGCATAAAACAGTGTTAGTGGCTAATGAGAAACTACATGTGATGCTGGGTCACATGCTTATAACCACCACCCAACACGCACACACACAAGGTCTAATGCTAGGATTTGTCTGCCTCGTTTTAAATAATAATACGGTTCTAATTCATTAAAAAAACAGTAGTTTGGGAAACATTTAAAATACAGCACCTTAATGAAGAGCAGGAATTATAATACAAGATGGGAAGAAATGTAGCAATTTTGAACTAGCCCAGTCGCCCCTGGGCTGAGAGTGGCGGTCTATAAGTGCAAGAAATAAATAAATAATAAATAATAAATTGTAAATTAAACCTGCTGAAATTCAAGCAAAGGGGCTGAAATTCAAAGAAACCAAACAATCCCTTATAAATTAAATTGCAAAAGAAATATACAATATAAACAAATGGATACATTCATTGCATTAAAACTATTTAAAAGGAATGTTCATTGCTTCATGAAGATTCACTCATAGATAAAAAGATGTAGAGTGAAACATTTCCTCTTCCCTACATCTAATCCATCTTTCTAAGTAGCATGGATTCAGATTAGGACCTGCCATGCTGATCTAAATAAACAAAAATACCTTCTTAAATCTCGATACCACTTGGTATAGAGATTTAAAATTGTCAAAGTGTCCTCAAGAATAGTCTACACAGAGTGTATTATAGTAGCCAATCATGAAGATAACAATCATGCATATAGGATAGGCAAGTCTTTAATGCTCCAATACAGAGTATCACTGACATATCATTACATGCATTTGATAAAAAGTGCCTGTCACCAGATCTATCATCCCTTTTTCCCAAACAGTTGAACCAAGGGATAGGCACGTTGCGAGTCTGTGAATTTTTTTACCTAAACAAGGATTTGTGTTGTTTTGATGCAGTAACACAAAGTATCAACCCTCTGTTCTAAACTATACATTTCCCTTTGCACTATCTCTAGCCATATTAGCTTCCTAGAATGCTTCAGCAAGAAAAGAAAAGGAGGAATCATTAAGGACCACCACACAATGTTCTAATGCAAGGGTCAGACATCATGGTCCTCTAGATTTGTTGGACCAAAATGCTCATAGCATGGCCAATAGTAAAAATAATGGGATTAGTAGGCCAAAATATATGAGGATGGGAACACAGTCTCCTCATCCCTGTTGTGACAGACATGAAATAATATCACAGCCTACAGATTTAGAAGAATCAGTAGAGAGGAATTCCCTCAGGTAAAGATCATCCACTAGGATAATCAAAGTTGTATGTTCCCGCCCCCAACCGAGATGCTCAACTGCAAGAGGAATTCAGTAAGAACTGGAGCTGATCTATGAACAGGTCTTATTGAGAAAACCTGACCTGGATCCAACCAAAGGCCTACCTAGGACCATCTTCTCTCCGTTTCTCTGTGCTGCAAAAACAGAGTCCCATGGAAGCCATTACATGACACAAGGCTACTTCCGGTGGTTGCCCAAGGGATTCCACTGTGGCAGTACAGGGAAATGGAGGGAAGACTGTGTTTTCAGTTGGGTGCTATCCAACTCCCAATGGGAGAAAACTGATAGAAAGGCAGACAAAGAATGTGTGATGGTAACTAACCTTTGCCATCACCGAAAATGGAAAAGCATGGGACCTAGATAGTAGGGAACAAAAGAAGGCACTTCCCTCTGCTTTTTCCCATTCATTTCCCCTCATGTGATGAAGTCTCTAATCCAATATTCTGTTCACACAGCGGCCAACCGGATGCCTATGGAAAGTCCACAAACAGGGAATCTCAACAATAGCTCCCTCGCTGCTTTTTTAAAAGGAGATATAATCACTATTCCCCTTCAGAACAACTTTCTGGCCCAGTCTCTACCATGAAACACTGGTCTTGATTTGAAAGAATGTTGTATTTGGGAGTGAGCAAGCTTGTTTTCTGCTGCTTCAGAAAATAGGTCACAGAGGAATGGATTCAAACTATGGGAGAGGTGGATTCCACCTAAACATTACTTCCTGGTGATAAGAGCTGCTTGACAGTGGAATATGTTTCCTTGTAGTGTGGTGGCATCTCTTTTTCTGGTAGTTTTTAAACAGAGCCTAACACCCATCTGTCAGGAGAGATTTGATTGTGTACATAACAGAGGTTTGGACTGGATAGCCCTTATGGGTTCCTACA